CACAGTGGCAGCAGGAGAAGCAGCAGCAGCAGCAGCAGCAGCAGCACCACCACCAGCAGCAGCAGCAGCAGCAGCAGGAGCAGGAGCAGGAGCAGCAGGAGCAGGAGCAGGAGCAGGAGCAGGAGCAGCATGGAAAATATCTGGAAAGCACGGCATTCTTCCAACAGCTGCAACAAAAGCGTGAGGAAGAGGAGGGGGAGGAGCTGCAGAAGCAGAGGGAGAGGCAGGAACAGGAGGAGGAACAGGAGCAGGAACAGGAGCAAGAGCAAGAGCAGGAGCAGGAGGAGCAGGAAACCCAGAAGCAGGAAGAGCAGGAAAAGCAGGAGAAGCAGAAGCAGGAGAAGCAGCGGAAGCAGCAGCGAGACGCGGTGGCACTGGGAATCGTTGGCATGATCAAGAACCTCGCAGTGGCTGCTGCTGGTCTGCTGCCTCCCCACCAACAGCGCAGTGCACTCCTTCCCCTGCTCCCCCTGCTGCCGAACCTGCAAGCTGCGCCGAATCTGTCGAGGCATGTTCTGCCGAGCCAAGCTTTGCCAAGCCAGGCTGTGACGAATGTGGGGAGTAAAGAAGGTCCGGATCAGATGGCTTGGGGAAAGGATGAAGGTAATTACAAGCAGCGGATGCGTGAGGGGAATGAGAGAGATAGCCACAGCATGTACGAAGGGAAAGAAGAGGAAGAAGAGGGAGGGGCTGCGGGGGGGAATGATGATGACGATGGTGATGGTGATGAGGATGATGATGAGGATGAGGATATTGAGGAGGATATGGAGGAGAAAGAGGAAGAGGAGGAAGAGGAAGAGGAGGAGGAGGAAGGGGAAGAGGCTGAAGAAGAGGGAAAAAACGTGAAGAGGAAGGATAGGCTGCAGGAGAGGGAACGGCTGGAAGTGGGAGGAGGAGGGTGCAAGGAGGTGCATCCTATTCAAGAAGATGCTGGCCATTCAAGAGCCAAAGAACGACTCAGGCCTGAAGGTGGAAATTCTGCTGATGTGAGCATCTTGGCAAGGGATTCCGGGCAGAAGCGCAAGCAGCGGGAGGGGGAGGTGACCCGTCGCAAGCGCAGGAAGCTGAAGCGGCTGATGCTACAGCTGCAGGCTGCGCTGCAAGAGAGCTTGGCGCAGGGAGGGGCAGATGGTCAAGGAGGAATGGCAGAAGGAGCAGCGGCAGCAGTGGCAACAGCAGTAGAGGTACCAGCAGCAGCAGCGCCGCCAGAAGAAGCAGCAGCAGGAGCAGCAGGAGTACCAGCAGCAGAAGCAGCACCAACACCAGCGGCAGTAACAGCAGCAGAAGCAGCACCAGCAGCACTAGCAGCAGTAATAGCAGCAGAAACGTCACCAGCGGCACCAGCAGCAGAAGCAGCAGCACGAGTAGTGGTAACAGCAGGAGGAGCAGTACCATCACCAGCAGCACTAGCAGGAGCAGCACCACCAGCAGCAGCAGCACCAGCAGCAGCAGCAGAAGCAGCAGCAGCAGCAGCAGTACCAGCAGCAGCGCCAGCACCAGCAACAGCACCAGCATCAGCCAGAACAGCAGCACCACCACCACTACGTAAACCAACACCATCACCAGCAGCAACAGCAGCAGCAGCAGCACCACCACCACCAGCAGCACCAGCAGCAGCACCAGCAGCACCAGCAGCACCAACAGCAGCACAAGAGCCAGTGCATGATAATCTTTCCTCCGATTCAAGCCTGGCCGCAATTGACTGGGCTTTAACAGGGGTAGCCCAAGCAGACAGAAGGCAGGAGGCTACAAGTGGGGCAGCCTGGGCAGAAGCAAAGCAGGAGGCTGCTAGAGGGGATGTGAGGGTGGGAGTAAAGGCAAAGCAGGAAGATTCAAGAGCGGCGTCTAGGACAGAGTCAAATCAGGAGGCTTCAGATGGGTCTGGGCGCTCATGCAATTTCACTGGCCGTCATGACACTCTCTGGTTCTCAAGGTGCCAACTCTTATCTGCGTCTTCTCAAGGACTTTCAAGCTGGTTTTGTTGTTCTGCCTCCCCTTGCTCTCCTCCTACCTGTGCCCGTCCCAACGCTCTCTGATTTTCAACATGTTGGTTCTACTCCTGCTGCTGTTGTCGCTCTGCTTCTCCTTGCTCGGCTCGTCCCACCTGTGCATTGGCATTGACCATAGCACGTCTCTACCAAACTCCAACGGACCCACTCTCCCTCACTCAGTCAGTTTCTTCCTCTCGACCTCCCTACATCCCTAGTACCTCCCTCTCTCACTCCCTATTCCGCCGCCATCCCACTCAGCTCTTCCCCCTCAGCTCTTCCCCCTCAGCCTTCACTTGCGCAAAGCCAGGCTGCCAGCAAAACAAACAGCATCCTCACTTCCTTGTCTCATCCTCTCCCTCTCCTCTTCTCTCTTTCCTCTTCACTCTTCCTCTCCCCTTTCTCCCGCACCCCTTCAGCTTCTCCCCCACCACCGTCACATGCCCGAGCCAGGCTGCCAGCACAACGAGCACCACCCGTGCTTCCGCCCTTGTCTCATCCCCTACCCTTTGTCCACCTCCCCTTCTTCTCCTGCCCTCCACTTCCTCTGCGCACAAACCCACAGCTCCTCCCTCACTACCGTCTCCTGCCCCGAGCCAGGCTGCCAGCACAACGAGCACCACCCGCGCTTCCGCCCACTCAAGTCCCTGGCGTCGCTGCAAACCCACCACCTCCGCGTGCATGGCGACAAGTCTTTCATCTGCTCACGATGCCAGGTGAACCACCACTTTCACTTCACTCCACTGTCCTCTCCTCTCCTCTCCTCTCCCCCGTTCGCTCAAGTTGCTTGCCTCCCTTCACACCCACCACCTCCAGCCCTTCACGTGCTCCCGATGCCATGTGAGTCGCCTTCACTATGCTCTCCTCTCCTCTCCTCTCCTCTTCTCTCCTCTCCTCTCCTCTCCTCTCCTTTGCTCGCCTCCTCTTCTCTCCTCTCCTGTCCTATCCTCTCCTCTCCTCTCCTCTCCTCTCTTCTCCTCTCCTCTCCTCTCCTCTCCTCTTCTCTCCTCTCCTCTCCTCTCCTCTCCTCTCCTCTCCTCTCCATCTCCTCTCCTCTCCTCTCCTGGCCCCCCACCTCCTCTCCTCTCCTCTCCTCTCCTCTCCTCTCCTCTCCTCTCCTCTCCTCTCCTCTCCTCTCCACCTCCTCTCCTCTCCTCCCACCAGTGCTCTCAAATCTCTCTTATTATTCAGATTCCGAGAGCACAAAAAACAGTGCTGTGTGAAGCGGTGACATTTCCTTTTCTGCATCTGCCCCACTCTCCTTTTATTCCCCCACTCTCTCTTCCCCCCAGGTCAAGTCATTCGCCCTTCAATCCGACATGCGAGCGCACGAGAAGCAGTGCGGTGTAAAGCGGTGGCACTGCTCCTGTGGGAACTCCTTCAGCAGAAAGGACAAACTATCCAACCACCTCAACACCTTCAAAGACCACTCGCCTCTCTTCAACCTCCGGCCAGTCGCCATCCCCTTTCAGCCCAGGCAGAAGCCACCGCTGAAAAGACAACCTCAGGTGCAGCCGAGGCTGCTAGTAGCACAGACGAAGCAGCTTGATGCGCAGACAAGAGAGCTTGAGGCACACACGAAACAAATTGAGACGCAGACGAAGCAGCTACAGGCCCCTGTGAACGCCAGCCACACCAACGCGTCTGTCACGGACCAGTCTCCTGCTGGTAACTTGGGCGTTTTCGAGTCGATTGAACCGCACTCTCATTCCGTTCGCCTGGAACTCTCTGCTAGCTGTGCATCAGAGCAGAATCATCCTTGGGGACAAAACGCGGCAGGGAGAAATGAGTTGGAGAGAAATGCGTTGGAGGGAAATGCGTTGGAGAGAGATGAGTTGGAGGGAAATGCGTTGGAGGGAAATGCGTTGGAGGGAAATGCGTTGGAGGGAAATGCGTTGGAGGGAAATGCGTTGGAGGGAAGTGCGTTGGAGGGAAATGCGTTGGAGGGAAATGCGTTGGAGGGATATGGTTCGGAAGGGAAGGAGGCCACGATCGGGTACATGTCATTGCTGCAGCAGGAGGCCGTTGGGTGGGATCAAGAAAGCCCCTTTCAAGCCGCGGGTTCCGAATCGGGACAACAGTTTCAGCAATTTCAGCAGCATGAGCAGATCCAGGCACCCCAGTTGGATAAGCAGCCTCCATTGATACACGACATGCACGCCTCTCCAGTCCCTCCACGTGCCTATCCAGTCCCTCCACGTGCCTCTCCAGTCCCTCCACGTGCCTCTCCAGTCCCTCCACGTGCCTATCCAGTCCCTCCACGTGCCTCTCCTGTCCCTCCACGTGCCTCTCCTGTCCCTCCACGTGCCTCTCCTGTCCCTCCACGTGCCTCTCCTGTCCCTCCAGTGCCCCCTCCTATCCTCCATCCAGTTGCTCCCTCGGTTTTCCCTCCCACCGAGCTTTCCGAACCCCAGGCACAGGCTCGGCCCGGGGCTGATCAACAGCGGTGGCAGCATCAACCGCAGCAGCAGCTAGCACAACGGCACCAGCACCTTCACCAGCAATATCCGCAGCAGCAGCAGCAGTCAGAGCAGCAAGTGTGGCTGCAGGGGCAGAGGCAAAAGAGACGGCAGGGTGTAGCAGCTTACCAGGGGCAAGGGAGGCAGCATCAGGGTGAACAGGAGCAGAAGCTGTTGCAACAGCAGCTGCGATCAACGCAGCAGCAGCAGCAGCAGCAACACCAGCAGCAGCAGCAGCAGCAGCAGCAGCAACAGGTGAAACGGCAGAAACAGCATCATTTCTCGGAGCACCGTTCCAGCCAGATATACCAACCACCCTTCCACCACCAACAATCCACCTCGGATAACCAACAATCCTTCCAGGGTTACAACCCTGTGCCAGCCTCCCATGGAGCGGCCACTGCTGACCCTCCTTCCCAACACCGTACCCAAGCCCAAGGAAATCCTCTCAAGTCAACGCCCATGATTACTGAAGCTGTAGATTCAACCACTGAAGCTGTAGAGTCAACCCTAGAGTCAACCCTAGAGTCAACAGCCCATCCACCACCACACACTAGGAGGAACACCACGGTGGCCCTTGAGTCAACCCAAGGGCCCCCACCTTCCCACCACAACCTTCCACCTTCCAACCACAGCCTTCCAACCCACTATCACAACCTGCCAATCCCCCACCACAACCTGCCAACTCCCCACCACAACCTGCCAATCCCCCACCACAACCTGCCAACTCCCCACCACAACCTGCCAATCCCCCACCACAACCTGCCAACTCCCCACAACAACCTTCCAACTCCCCACCACAACCTGCCAACTCCACATCACAGCATGCCAATCGCACATCAAAATCTCCCAACTCCTCACCACAGCCTCCCAACCCCTCACCACAGCCTCCCAACTCCTCACCACAGCCTCCCAAATCCTCAACACAGCCTCCCAACTCCTCACCACAGCCTCCCAACTCCTCACCACAGCCTCCCAACTCCTCACCACAGCCTCCCAACTCCTCACCACAGCCTCCCAACTCCTCACCACAGCCTCCCAACTCCTCACCACAGCCTCCCAACTCCTCACCACAGCCTCCCAACTCCTCACCACAGCCTCCCAACTCCTCACCACAGCCTCCCAACTCCTCACCACAGCCTCCCAGCCCCTCACCACAGCCTCCCAACGCCTAGTCACGACCCAAACCCAGCAGCCCCCCACCACAGCCTCATTCACGGGGACCCTGAGGATGGCACGCGGCCAGTCGGGGAGCTCTTTCCCGAGCTTCGAGACGACTTCTGACACGCCTCAAGTATCGCCTTTGTAACCCCACACAACAGCCTCCCAACCCCTCATAACAGCCTCCCTACCCCTCATAACAGCCTCCCAACCCCTCATTACAGCTCAACCCTACATCTAGAAATCTGCGTGTAGGTCCAGGCAGAGGTGCTAGCTACTTTTCACACGCCTCAAGCCTCTGAGTATAGGACCAGGCAGACTGGTTGCCTGCTAACCTTAGGCCTGCATGTGCTAGGCCAGGCCTTTCACATCATCTGCTCTTAATTTGGTCGAGCACATTGCTGGCAAGTAGTCTATGCCCCTGCATCCAATATTTCCTCATTGTGTAACTTGCAAATAGGCAATGCCTCATAGGAATTAATTTGTTTATTATTCAATTGATTCTGCCGCACGTAGGCACGTGCACCATCTGTCCTCAAGCAGACTCGGGGAGCAGAAACCTCAAACCGAAGCTGCAGGGTTAGTGGTACGCAGCACAAGGCAGGCACAAGGCAGCACAACGCCGCACCTCATTGAGAAGCTGCAGGGTTAGGGCGTATTCCTGACTTTGTGTCAAGAACCAGTTGGTGTCAACCCATAACTATGGAGCGCACCTGATTGGCCAGTTGTACCTTTTAAACCAATCGCATGCGTTCCAAGATTCTAGGTTGACACAAACACAGCTTGACACGAGGTCCAGGAATACGCCCTTAGTGGTACGCAGCACAAGGCGATATTGTAATCACTTTTGAGATTTCTCAAAGGTGCCCAGCCCAGGCCAAAGCGAGCAATACAAGCAGCGCCAATCAATCATCTAAACAGCAGCAACCGCAGCAGGTGCCGGCTCTGGCAGAAGCTGAAGCAGCACGTTCTGCAGCAGCTGCGCCCACACGTCCTGCGGCCCTGGAATGCAGTAATGCAAGCAGTCCTCGTGATTCAACTCCGGAATGAACCCCTGATGCGAGTCCGGTCGAAGCACTGTCATCGCCGCTACATCCAAATACATGCCGCCCACCTCCTCCACCGCCGCCCGCGCCAGCTCATTCTGCTCGTGAAACCTCCCCCAGAAGAACGGCAGGTTGTCTGTGGGACCCGGCACGAGCAACGGCTTGTCGTGCTCCGAGCAGTTGGCATGGCCTTGCACGGTAGTTCGGTAGATCAAGATCGCGTCGGGTAGCTTGTTTCGGAGAAATCGTAAAGTCGAACGGACGGCTGAGATGAAGTGCCGGTCCGGGCGGTAGTGCGCACCGCGATTCAGTATAATCACGCGGGCGCCGGTGAGTAAAGAAAGGCGGGTGAAGGGGACGCGGTCGAATTTGATCTGCGAGTTGGAGAGCTGGAGGTAGTCGTGGCGAATGAATCGGATGGTGAGATTGGCGCACACGTTGCCGTGAAGCTTGTAGTCTCGACAAAAAGAGTGCCTCGCATGGTCCGGTTCGATCAGCTCGCTGCATTCCTTGGGAATCGTTTCCTCTACTGCCCACGTGGCCGGTTTTTTTACATGCGTGAGCATGTTGTTCACCAGCACGCGCACAAACTGCTCCTGTACGAGTCGCCTATAAGGAGTACGAGCGCGCCGCTCCCGTCGCCCTTCTCCCTCACAGCCTCCCCTTTAAAAGCCGCCTCTTCCCTCTCCTCCTCCTCCTCTTCTGTCAACGGCATCCCAGTGCCATTCCACCTTCTCCCTCTCACCCAATCGCACACCACTCTTCCATCAAAAGGTTCCCATGCCCCACACTTACCCTCTGTGTCCCACACGTATTTCAGCTGTGGCCTCACATCCCACTCCTCTTGCCGCACCTTCCTCTCTTCCGGAGGAAGCTTCATAATGGAATCTGCGATTTGATCAGCTTTGGAGACTACGACTGCAGTAGGGGATGCAGCCATGTGCCTTTTGTCGCAGTAATTCGAGTAACCCTTGAATTCCCAGGGTAATCTCCTCGGCCTCGGGTCGAATTTCCAGCTGCCCTCTGCTGCCACACACTCCTGCCATTTCAGAAACCTTTCTTTCAAATCTGCCCGGCTGACCTTGCTGCCTGGAATCTTCGTCCGGAACCCCTCCCCGGACCTGTCAAGTAGGTTCGGGTCAAAGCTCTCCGAAGCAAACACATTGTGCAGAACACTTTCCAGGACCGTTCTCAACCGCTCAACACCGCAAGCCAGGGACCCTCGAGGCAAGTACACTGACGACCCACCACCTTTCTCCCCATCCTCCTCCTCCGTATCCTCCCAAGCAACCCCTGAAGCACCACCAGCACCAGCACTGGCATCACCATCGCTGCCACCTCCACCGCTCCCAACCTCTCCCCACCGGTCTCCACCGCTCTCTGCCCCTGCATCTGTTGCCTCCACCACTGGCTCCTCTGGGCATTCCAGCAGATAGTGCCTCACAGCTGCCGCCAGAGCTAGGTTTCTGTACAGCTGCCTTCCCCCGTCCGGATACACTGAATCTGCACCGCTGGAGCTGGTGCTGGTGCGGATTTCGATGACGGAAGAATGGGAGGGCATGAAGAGGGTGTTCACGAGTGCATTATCACAGGCAACGAATAGCAGAGCTCGTTGAAAGAGCGCCCTGGCTGGGTGGGAGCAGGGGAGGGGTAGGGTGGGAGCAGGGGAGGGGTAGGGTGGGAGCAGGGGAGGGGTAGGGTGGGAGCAGGGGAGGGGTAGGGTGGGAGCAGGGGAGGGGTAGGGTGGGAGCAGGGGAGGGGTAGGGTGGGAGCAGGGGAGGGGTAGGGTGGGAGCAGGGGAGGGGTAGGGTGGGAGCAGGGGAGGGGTAGGGTGGGGAGGGATGACATGAAGAGGGGTGCTCACGAGGGCATGAAAAACGTCTCCTATGTGCTGCAGCTCACTGGAATGATCTCCCTGGAATGATCTCCCTGGAATGATCTCCCTGGAATGATCTCCCTGGAATGATCTCCCTGGAATGATCTCCCTGGAATGATCTCCCTGGAATGATCTCCCTGGAATGATCTCCCTGGAATGATCTCCCTGGAATGATCTCCCTGGAATGATCTCCCTGGAATGATCTCCCTGGAATGATCTCCCTGGAATGATCTCCCTGGAATGATCTCCCTGGAATGATCTCCCTGGAATGATCTCCCTGGAATGATCTCCCTGGAATGATCTCCCTGGAATGATCTCCCTGGAATGATCTCCCTGGAATGATCTCCCTGGAATGATCTCCCTGGAATGATCTCCCTGGAATGATCTCCCTGGAATGATCTCCCTGGAATGATCTCCCTGGAATGATCTCCCTGGAATGATCTCCCTGGAATGATCTCCCTGGAATGATCTCCCTGGAATGATCTCCCTGGAATGATCTCCCTGGAATGATCTCCCTGGAATGATCTCCCTGGAATGATCTCCCTGGAATGATCTCCCTGGAATGATCTCCCTGGAATGATCTCCCTGGAATGATCTCCCTGGAATGATCTCCCTGAAATGATCTCCCTGAAATGATCTCCCTGGAATGATCTCCCTGGAATGATCTCCCTGGAATGATCTCGCTGGAATGATCTCCCTGGAATGATCTCCCTGGAATGATCTCCCTGGAATGATCTCCCTGGAATGATCTCCCTGGAATGATCTCCCTGGAATGATCTCCCTGGAATGATCTCCCTGGAATGATCTCCCTGGAATGATCTCCCTGGAATGATCTCCTTGGAATGATCTCCCTGGAACAATAACAGCATCCCCCTCACTCACCTTCTTGGAGCGGCATGTTTCGTCTGTACACGGCGACTCTATCCTCGGTATAGAGCTGCTTCAGTATCCACTTCACCGCACGGAGCGCTGCAGCCAGCGCAACGGCTTGCACTGTCGGAAGACGGGAGGGGGGAGCCGCCACCACCACGACCCAGTCATGCTTCAAACGCCCATCCGTATGTCCCATAGGCCCCATAGAACCCATGGGTCCCTCAGGCAGCTCCCCTGCTTCTTCCTCTGCTCCTTGCTCGGCCAGACTCCCAGGTGCAGGGGCGCGGTAGGAGCCGTCTTGGGAGAAGAGCGGCAGGCCGGAGGGGGGAAAGAGGTGGCGCGCGCGGAAGGCGTGCAGGAGTGACGGGCTGGGGTGGCCGCATGGGGGGAACAGCGGCTGGGGGAGGGGGAGAGGGGGAGGGGAGGGGAAGTGGGGAGGGGAAGGGGGGAGAGGAAAGGCAGTGGGAGCCGTCTTGAGAGAAGAGGGGCAGGCCGGAGGGGGGGAAGAGACGGAAGGCATGCAGGAGAGAGGGCTGGGGTGGCCGCAGGGGGGGAACAGCGGCTGGAGGAGAAACAGGGGGAAGGGGTGGGGCGCAAGAATGGGGAGGGGTGGCTTATGTGTCAATTCAAAGTAAGAATCAAGAATCCCTGACGAGTATACCACATTATGAACTATGCATGCAGACAACAGCATGTGGAGCGTGCGGGTATGCATACCATGTGGAGCGTGCGAGCGAAGAGCGGTGAGGAATGCGCCATGGCATGGACGGCACTCGCTGAGGGCCTCAGTGGGTCTCGCTAACCCTACCACAGCCTGCTGTGTGTGTACGTGCGTGCAGTACCTGCAGTGCATGCATTGCGTGCAGTGCGTGTGGGTATGCATACCACGTAGAGCGTGCGAGCAAAGAGCAGAGACGAGTGCGCCATGGCATGGACGGCACTCACTGAGGGCCTCAACGGTCAACCCCACCACGGCCTGCTGTGTGTGGGCGTGTGTGTGTGCGCCTGCACACGTGTGTGCGTATGTGTGTCCGTGAAGTGCGTGCAGTGAGTGGAGGCACATACAATGTAGAGCGTGCGAGCAAAGAGCAGCGACGAGTGCGCCATGGCATGCACGGCACTCGCTGAGGGCCTCAACCCCACCACGGCCTGCCAGATGCCCCGCACCAACTGCCATTTAGGGAACACAGAAACAGGAATGCAGTCTTTTTTTTTAGGGAATCACAGAATGCATGGGGATTACAAGACGAGAAGAGGAGAATACGTGAGAGTGTGAGCAAGGGTCCACGGTACAGAAACGCGAGAGGAACTTACCTTACTGTTCTGCACAAAAACAGGTGTGTGCCTGAGAAGTTTTGCAACGACTCGCTTTCGTAACTTACCTTTCTGTTTTGCACTGCGACCGGTGTGTGCCTCAGCAACGGCATCACAGGCGCCAGCGACAGGAAGAGAGGAAGCTTCTCCGTCATTTCCGAGAAGACCACATCGGCCGGTGAGCGGGCGGCAGAGAGCAGGTTGAGGAGGGCAGGGAAGGCGGCGAAGCGGGTGCCTGAGGGGTAGTCGAACTGAGCGAAAAAAAGGGGGTGGGGCGAGTAGGGCGGTGGGGGAGTGGGGTGAAGGAAAGAAGGGATGAAGAAGCAGAGAGCAGGTTGAAAAGAGAGGGGGTAGAAGAGTGGGAGTGGAAGTGGGGAGAGTAGGGGATAGATGGCAGAAGGTGTGAACGCAGCATGGAGAGGGACGAGGAAGGGGGAATGGTGGCGTCAAATACGTGAGTCACTTACATCAGCCAATCGGTCGCCGCATCTCCCGGCGTCAAACAGATGCGTCTGGTTGAACACCTGACCCCTCCAGTTCACAAACACGTTCCGCAGCCGGAAAATCTGCCCGGACCATTCCTTCGGGCTGCCCGGATCCGGTATTTCCACCTGTAATGACTCCGGCCACTCCCCTTGCTCCTCCCAAAACCTTTTCATTTTCAAAACCGCCTCTGCACACTGTGCTGGGACGACCCTGGTCATCTCAAGCTCATCTGGTATCTCCGGGCAGAATGCAGGAAACTTTTTCTGCTGCCCGGAGGAGGTCTGCTCCAATACGTCCACGAAATCTCTGTTCCAGCATGCCTCAATCTGCCCCAGGGCACCTGAGCAGGGTGAAAAATCAGGGCAGCTTCCTCCTTTACACCCCCCTCCTCTTCCCCCCTCATCCCCTCCTCCTGCATAGAACCCCAGGGGGACAACCGAGAGATCTGCACCATTGATTCGCGCTGTCGTGGATTCATCAGCTGTCACGGGCCTCTGAGGGCCGTTGGATTCCCCAGATGCGCCTTCCCAGAGTACCACCTCCGATCCTGATGCTCCCTGAGCGCGACCAGCTCGACCAATCAGCTTCCTCCTGCTGCCGCTGCTATGATCGCCTGTCCAATCGCTGCTGCTGCTGCCGCCGCCGCCGCCACCGCCGCCGCTAATGCTGCTGCTGGGCCCGATTCTAGTGTCAGCTCTGGCGCTTTTGGGCAAGGAAGCAGCAGGAAGGACGTTGGACAGCGCGATAACGAGCCGCGAATGGGCTGACAGGTGGAGAAAGATGAGGAAGCGGAGGATGGATCTGTATGGAAAGAGCCGCGTGTAGCCGATCCGGAGTGTCATTTCAGAGCCTAGGGAGCATCAGAAGTCGTTCATTGAGGCGCGGGAAGAGTCGACGCAAAACTCGTTCCGGAGTGAGCCTAGGGAGCATCAGAAATCGCTCATTCAGGCGCGGAAGATCGGCATGGGTAGCGAGCATCTGATTTAGTAACTGTACTATCCGCGAAGGGGGAAGAACCGGCTGCGCAAGACTCAACCTTCTCTCCTTCTCGCATATTAGAAAAATCGGCTTTCTCAATGCATCGCGAAATGGAGTAGTAATGTCTAGCACCGACTGAGCGGGAGTAACTGACGGAACCAGCCAGACTGTCACTGGCCGAACCAATGCCTTGAGGCGGAACAATGCAGGCAGGAATCTGAAAATAGCACGAATTGGGAATTGAAAGAGTGAGCGGATGGCAAGCAGCTGCAGTGGCAGCCAGTTGATGCTGTTTTGACTGGTTCATTCATAATGCTTTCAATATCTGAAACTGTACGTGTGCTTCCGTCCGGATTGATTGGAATTTACGATAGCGAGTATGTGCTCTCATCTTCTTGCAGTATATGTTCGCTTGTTTTATTGCACACGTAAAACTAGTGTAATGAATGGTTAAGAGTCTAAATCGGGACAGACTTTATTGACACCCAAGCTGCATTTGCCCAATCACTGAGCTCGAGGATTTTCGTTGATGCTGTGGGTGCTGGGCGTGAGCGAGGGTATACCACCAGGCACAAGTATCGCCGACTTTTCCCCCCTGCATGCTCCCGCCCACGCCTTGAGCGAATACGCCCGCAAGCCAGCGAACCAATCAGCCGCTTCTGAAACTTTCGGTATATTCGTCAGCCGAAGCTCATGAGTCATGCCTCCGAAAACTTTTGTGTTTTTCGCCGTTTCGCCAGCTCGGGCACCATATGGACAAATGCGGCGTTCGCTTTGTGCTGACTTCACCCCCAGAACCAGGAACTGATCGAAAGGATATTCAGCCACCTCGGGTTCTAATAACGAGTCAAGCCTCGCTTTCCGATTTCGAGGCCCAACCGTGTTCTCTCTCGATATAAGCTGCCCAGTACTGAAACTTCTGCGCCGAACCCCTCCTGTCTCCCGCCAAAGTCTGTCCCCCTGTTCCAGGGTCCACCCTCCCCTTTCCCCTTCTTCCCCCAACCTGCTTGTCCTTTCATTCTGCGAACCTCGAGATTTGCTGGCTGCTTCAAATACCCCAGCCTGTTTGATGATCGTACTTTTCAGATCTTTTTCTGATCCAGTTCCTTTTGTCAATCACCATTTCTTCTCTTCATGGTCGCTGGATTTCACAAGCGACCTAAGGCGTTGTCAGCTCGGCATCGCGCCGCCTGTCGGTGGTTTGTCGGGAATTCTCGAGTAGATTGATGTCCCAGCAACCGGGTAGGGCCGATAGATCGGATCAGGCGAACCGGAAAGGGAGAGGAGGCGGGACGAGCGGTCCGCGCCAGCAGGGGGTTCCGCAAGGAGGAAAGGGGCCCAGCCCCGTAGTTAGCGGTCAGAGCTCTGCTGCCGGCTCATCTGCCGGCTCGGCTGCCGGTCCGGCAGCCGGACGCGGCCAATCGCAAGGAGTGGGACGAGGGTACGTGATTTCGATGTTTCATAGCGCGGTAGACTGTAGTGTACTGATCATAGAAGCGTGTCATACATAGTTGCACATTGTGGGTAGTGTCATGCAGTATTAAGTATATTACCTTAAGCTAATCGTCTACTGCGGAGAAGCAGCAGATCTTAGGTATCAGGATATAACATAAGTAGCAGCTCTAGAGAGAGGACAACAGCAGCAGCATATCGTGAATAGTAGCAGCATGAGGTATTAAATGTCTTAAGAGAGAATGACTGTAGATAGAAACTTACCTTACTGGCGTTCGTATGTGGAGTAGACATGGAGATTATCTGATTGTCCCCTTGCGTGGGCCTTTCGGTAGGGTTTCCCGCGACCTAGTTTTGTGATCTGCTCAAGCCAGTTGGCCTGTCTGATCCGTTAGGTTACTTATCCAGCAGGTTTAGAGACATCGACCACGCGTGATCCGACATTCGGACGTGATCTGGCATTCGGACGTAAAATATCGGTGTTCCTTAGTTTCACGGATTGAACAGACCTGTTGACGCGTGTTTGCGAGGTTTTCCGCAGCCAGCAGATCGACCGTTTCTTCGTTCCAGTCTCGTTCAAGGAAGCTTGCTTCCGGAACCTAGGTCGCTCTGCGACTCTCTCCCTTGACTGTTTTCTTCCATACTTGATCCCAGACATCCCTTCCTCACAGATTTCCCTCATCGTTCCGCGGATCTTTCCCGATCCTTTCTCAAATTCCGCTTCCCCCTACTTCAGGTTCCGCCGGACGCCGAATGGCCCCGCGGAAGGCGCACAGAGCGCCGGCGGTGCGGGCAGAGGCGGCATCGGTCGGGGAAGCGGGCAGGGGGTGCCAGGCGCAGCGGGAATAGGCGGAGCTGGCGGGGGATCCGGCGGAGGTCCGGGCGGGTATCGTGGAGCAACAGGTAGGCATATTGAGTGGGAGAGGAAGAAAAGTTACGGTAGTTGCGTGTAGTGTAACAAACGGGAGATGCTTACAGATTCTCGTGCCGGAGTTGGTTGGTCATGACAGAAGAAATTCGTTTGTGAAACAGAGTTACATACAAACGTTGGTGTTCAGAAAAAAAAGGAATTAAAGTAAGGATTAAGAGATCGGTGTATTCAGCTAGAAGTTTGACTGGTAGCAAGTGTATTCTACTTGTACTGCCCCTTATCTCGGAGATTCAGTCTCGGTATGCCAAGTTGTCACGATTTCTCATGCAGCGTGATCCATTCGCCAGCTGAGGCGAGGGTATTTTTGAGGCATGATTTGTATGTTTTGCCTGTGCTTGCCTCTGTGTTCGTGCCTTGTACAAATTCCCATCCGACGACGAACTTCCCTGTTCGATTGCTCCCCTTTGCTGGTGCAGGTGCTCAGTCCCAGCAAAGATATGGATCAGCGGCAGTTGCGGGAAACGGTCCCACGCCAGCAGCAGCGCCTGCCCCTTCCGCGTGGGGTGCCGGGCCTGCGCGCACAGGTGCGCCTACCCCCGCCGCTTCCGCCACCCAGCAGCAGCGGCAGCAGCAGCAGCCGGCGGTGCAATTGTCATCTGGCCCGGGAATCCCAGGGTTTGAGTCTGCGCCCCCCCCTGCGGATTCCGCCTTCCCCGGTCTCTCCCGCTCCACGTCCGCGGGCGGAGCAGCAGTTCGGCCTGGGGCCCCCGGCGCAGCTGCGCTGGGGCCAGTAGCAGGATCAGGGGGAGCGCCTGGCGCAGGACCTGCGGGTGTGCCTGCGCCCAGAATATCGTTCGCTGCTGCAGCAGCGGCTGGGGGGATGTCGTACGCGCAAAGAGCAGCGCAGGCGCTGAATCGCGCGGCTGCACCGCCAGCCCAGGCGCAGCAGGCACAGGCACAGGCGCAGCAAGCGCGGGGGGGCGGAAGCGGGGCGCAGCAAGCGGCAGGTCAGGCGGGGGAAGCCGCGTCTCAGGGGAAGGCGGACACTGCGAAGCCAGCACAGAGCACGGAAACAGCAGCACAGGCGGGTAGTGTATCACAAGTAGGTGTGCAGCAGCAACAGCAGCCGTGGCAGGGCCAGAAGCAGCAAGTACCAGCAGCAGCAGCAACAGTTGCAGCAGGTACCGGTGGCAGTAGAACTGCCGTCCCTACACCAACCGCAGCAGCAACCGCAATGCCCACAGCCACAGCAACCGCTACCAAGCCTGTTGCGCCGTCCACCACAGCCGCTACTGCTACTGCCACGGCTGCGGCGGCTGCTGCAACTTCCGCAGCAGCAGCAGCTGTTTCTGCTGCTTCAGGCGTTTCTGCCCCAGTCCAGTCCTTCGCAGCGGCAGCTGCTGCTGGTGCCGCGGCTGCTGCTTCCAAACAGCCTGCCGCAGCAGCTGCCAAGCCAGGCCAACCCGTCACTCCTGTTCCCCAAACCTCCACCGCAGGCTCGGCAGCAGCGCCGGCGGGGTCCCTCACAGGATTCTTGTCAGCTGCGCGCGCAGGGCTAGGGGAGGGCGCAGGCGCAGGAGCAGGCGCAGCTGGTGGGGCGGGGGCGGACGGGGGTCAGGGGGCAGGGGGCGGGGCGAAGGGTAGCACAAAGGGTGGGACGAAACCACCTGCGAAGGCTCCTGGTACTGCTGCGGCTGTAGCGGGGCCATCCCCGGCTGTAGCAGGGCCTCCTGCTCTCCCCCCCGGCGTGTCACCTGTAGCTCTGCAGTTCGGCACGTTCAACCCTAACTTCATGGGCGCCAGTGGCCCCGTCATTGTATGCCCCGTTTCCCCTTTCTCCCCCGCTCGCTCCTGACCCGTTTGACGTTTTCTCTTTCGTCCTCTGTCTTTCACCACCTGAGCTGCTTTTCTTACTGCCTCCGCTGCGACTGCGGAAACTGTCAATGATGCTAAAAAATGTTATTCCTCTTGCCTCCTCCGTGTTTTCACCACCTGTGCTGTTCCATTTTCCCCCCTGCTTCCCTGGAAACTGTTGCAGGTTCCCCCTCGCACAACGTCTGCTCCGCCCAATCTGGACGAGCAACAGAAGGAGCAGGTACACCATCAGCCCCGCGCGCTGTGCTTCCCTCTCCGCCTTCGTTCTCTCCTCTAGTCTTACTTCTCTCCCACTCCCTTTCCCCTAGTTAACAAGTCTCCCACTTCTCCCACAATCCCGCCTGCTTAAATGCCATCCTTATTCTGCATATTCTGCATGACACAAGGCCTTGCCCAGAACCAGCAGCAAGTCGTCAAGTCTGGAAACTCTTGTTTTCCCCCTGATAACCGACTGTTTTTTCCTGCCTGCCTGCCTGCCCCGTGTCGTTCTCCTTCCCATTAGGCCCGGCACGAGGCCATGCTTCGCCAGCAGCAAGCAGCCAAGTCCGGAGAAGCAGGAGCAGTCCCAGCAGGGCCGAAAGCCCCTATCGGCGGAAGCATCCCAGAAGAATCCCAACAGGTACTGCCAGCTCCCGCCGCTGCCGTCCCCACTAGTGGCAGCGGCATTACTGCTCCAGTTGCTGCAGGGGCGGGAGGAGCCTCAGGGGTAGCAGCAGGGGCACCAGCAGGAGCAGCAGCCGAAGCAGGAGCATCAGCAAGAGCAGCAGTGGGGCAGAATGGTGGGGGAGTAGCAGTGGGAGGAGGTGGGACGGGGAGGGGGATGGGACGAGGGGGGCAGCAGGCACATGGGGGGGGCAGAGGGGGCGCGGGGATTTTGTCGTCCGCTGGGGTCAGTGCATGGGGCGCTGGCGCTGCAGGAGCAGGCGCACCTGGTGCAGGTGGTGCGGGTGCAGCTGGGGTAGGTGCATCTGGTGCAGGTGCAGGTGTGGCAAGTGAGGTTGGAGTACCAGCGGCACGACAGAACCAACAGCAAGCAGCAGCAGCAGCAGCAGCAGCAGCAGCAGCAGCAGCAGCAGCAGCAGCAGCAGCAGCAGCAGCAGCAGCAGCAGCAGCAGCAGCAGCAGCAGCAGCAGCAGCAGCAGCAGCAGCAGCAGCAGCAGCAGCAGCAGCAGCAGCAGCAGCAGCAACAACAGCAGCAGCAACAACAACAGCAACAGCAGCAGCAGCAGCAACAGCAACAGCAGCAGCAGCAGCAGCAACAGCAACAGCAGCAGCAGCAGCAGCACCTGCAGCAGCAGAGACTGCAACAACACCAGCTTCAGCAGCAGCAACAGCAGCAGCAGCCTCGCGGTCAGGGCTTTCAACAACCTCCGTTTCAGCTCCAACACATTCCACTACACCAGCAGCACCCGCACGCACCAGGGCAAGTCCCCATCCCTCTGCAGCAGCAACAACAACAACAACAACAGCAACAGCAACAGCAGCAACAGCATAGGCCCCAACACCCAGGGCAGCCATCCCAACAAACCCCACAGCCCTCCCCTCCACCACCGCTCGTTCAACCGCCCTTGCAGCCTCTTCCCGCCCCTCACATACGCCCTCCCCTGATGATGCCTGGCGGTCAGCCTCAGCTACAACCGGGTCAGCTACAACCGGGCCAGCTACAACCGGGCCAGCTTCAGCCTCAGCTGCAGGGTCCGCTACAGCAGGGCCCGCTACAGCCAGGCTCGATACAGTCTCAGTTACAGAACCAGCTACAGCAGCTGCCGCCTCACCTGCAACATGCTGCCATGGCGCTACAGCAACAGGGCCACGGCCTTCCACCTCATTTGCAGCATCCGGGATTACACCAGCCGGGATTGTCGCCTCAACCGGGGATGGGGATGGGTCAGCAGCAGCAGCCGCAGCAGCAGACGCAGCAGCACCAACAACAGATGCAGATGCAGCAGCAGCTGCAGTCACAACAGCAGCAGCAACAGCAACAGCAGCAACAACAGCAGCAGCAACAGCAGCAGCAGCAGCAGTTGCAGCAGCAGCAAGGTCAGGGACCTCACCCTTCCCCTCCCCCTCCCCAACAACAACTCCAACAGCAGCAGCAGCAGCAGATGCAACAGCAGCAGCCACCGCATTTGCTGCAGCACCAGCCGCAGCAACACATTATGGTGGCTTACCAACAGCATGGCCCGACAGGCATGACCATTCAGTACGGCACTGTCCCAGCAGGGTCACAATACCCAGGCATGCAAAACCCTAAGCCCTCTGCGCTGCTACAACCCCGGGCAAGCCGGGCACTTAAAATTATGGATCCGACCACTCAGAAAGAGGTGAAGGTGGAAAAAGTGCCTGCGACTAAAGCCAAGCCCGGCGCAGGAGCAGCAGGAGCAGGAGCAGGAGCAGCAGGAGCAGGAGGAGCAGGAGGAGCAGGAGGAGGGGTGAAGGGAGGGACGGGGGCAGGGGCAGGAGCAGCAGGAGGGGCAGGAGAGGGCGCGGGTGCGGGGGCAGGGGGAGCACCAGGAGGGGCAGCAGGGGGACCAGCAGGGGGAGCTGCAGGGAGGGGTTCATCAAGTGCCACCACGTCCCCTGCTCCTCACGGGCTTACCTCAACCCCTGCAGGCCTGACATTCGAAATCCCAGCCCAGCCACCCACTCCGGGTTCCGCCCCCACCACTCCCCACGGCGGACTAGTCTCCCCCGCTGCTGCTGGGGCGGCAGCAGCAGGGGTGGCGGGCCGGGGGATGCCTATTGGGGTGGCGGCAGCAGCAGCAGGCGCGCGGCCCCCCATGGGGTTCCCGCAGCCGCAGCACATGCTTCCATCCATGTACTATCCGGGCATGCCTGGTGTGGGGGGAGTGGCGGGTATGCCTGGGGTCCCGGGGGTGGCTGGTGTTCCCCCCGGTGCCTTCCCCCAGCCGCGCTTCTTTCCCCCCCAGCAGCCTGGGCCTATCCCAGCAGGGGGGGGGATGGTCGGGGGGCCGGGAGGGGGGATGGGCGGGCCAGGGGCAGGCGGGCAGGGGAGGTTTGCCCCCTCGTATCCGCAGCAGGCGGGGCATGGCGGGGGGGTGAGGCCGCATATGGGGCACGTTTTGCCACACCAGCAGATTCCAGGGGGCGGGCCAGCTGGTATGGTGCACTATGCTACTGGTGCCGTACCTGGTGCTCCAGGTTCGGGAGCGGGTGGTCCGGGCGCTGGCGGGGCTGGTTCGGGGGCAGGAGAGGAGATGCCCATGCCTGGGATGGATGGTATGGGGAACTTGCCTGTGTCGTCTCCGGTAGGTCCGGGGCCAGGTATGGCGATTCCGAACCTGCCGATGATGGCTCCGGTAGGCTCGGGAGGGCCGGGTGTTGGGGGGTATATGATGGGTGCGGGGACAGGGTTTGTGATTCCAGGGCATGGGCGGGGAGTTGGAGGAGGAGGGGGAATGGGGGGAGGCGGAAGGGCAGGGGGAATGCACGGGAGGGGGTCAGGAGGGGGAGCAGGGGGTGCAGGGGGGGCAGGGGGGACAGGGCATGGGGCGGGTAGGGGAAGCGGGGTAAGTGCGCAGGTCATGTCTTCGAATCGTATCGTAGTGTCTACAACTGGAGTGGTTACCAATTTGCCGTCACCAGGTTCGGCAACGCGAGACAGGCCCGGTGCAGGTCCGGATGGGCTGAAGAGGTCCGGGAGCGGTAAGGCGGCAGGGCCAGTGGTTCGGAGCCCCTCTGGTGGTGCGACGGGGCAGCAGGGGAAGGAGGAGAAGGTAGGGGAAGGGGAGGAGGGTGTGGGAGAGGCTGTGGTGGAAAAGAAAGAGGATGGTGAGAAGGGCGAGGAGAAGCGGGAGAAAGGGAGGGAAGAGGTTGTGAAGGAGAGTGGACGGGAAGGGGAGAAGCGGAAGGGAGAGGAAGCAACTGCAAATGGGGAAGGGGATGTAGCAGGGAAGAGTGTAGAGGGTGAGGAGAAGAGCAAAGAGGAAGTGGCAGCTAAGGTCACAAGCGAACCAGTTGCAGCAGAGGGGGGTGCGGCGAAGGAAACTGCAGGGAAGGAGGGTGAGGTGAAGGTGGTAGAAGGGAGTGACGGGAAGGGTGGTGGTGATGCAGAAGTGAAGGAGGAAGGGAAGAAGGCAGGCGGTGAGGGTGTTGCTGCACCTGCTGCTGCTGCTCCTGCTGCTGCTGCTGCTGCTGCGGCTCCTGCTGCTGCAGTTACTCCTGTTGTTGCTTCAGTAGCAGCGGTCGCTCCTGTGGTGGTGAAACCAGTGGAGGAGAGGAAGGAGGTCGAGGGGTTAAGCGGGGAGGCGGGCGCGGCTAAGGATAAAGGAGAGGAGAAGAAGGGAGGGAAGAAGAAAGACAAGAAGGAGAAGAAGAAGAAAGGGGAGGAGAAGAAGGAAGGGAAGGAGAAGGGAGAGGAGAATGCAGGCAAGAAAGAGGGGGGGGAAGCAGTACAGGAGCCTGAGGGGGAGAAGGCTCAAGGGCTTGAAGGAGAGGAGAAGGAGGTTCAAGCCCCCACCGCATCTCAAATTACAACAGCTACAGCTGTCGCTGCTACAGCTGCTGCGGCTGTTGCTGCTACAGCCGTTGCTGCTGCAGTCGGTACAGCTGTTGCTACAGCTGAGGGCAAGAATGAGGTTGGCGAAACTGCGGGTGCTGAAGGGAGTGCTGCTGCTAAGTCCGAAACTGTTAAGGTGGCTGAGGTGAAAGAGGGGGCTAAGGAGGCGGAGGCGACGGGTGAAGTGGCTAAGCAGGGGGATAAGAAGGAGATGGAAGGAGAGGCGGTTAAGAAGGGGAAGGAGGAGGAAGGGGAGAAAGTGGAAGGGAAGATGGAAGAGAAGAAGGGGGAGGAAAGTGCTGAGGTTGCTCCTGTTAAAGCAGAAGAGAGCAAGGAGGTGAGCAAGATGAAGGAGGAAAAAGAGGAGGAGGAGGAGGAGAAGGAGGAGGAGGAGGAGAAGGAGAAGGAGGAGGGGAAGGAGGAGGTTAAAGTGGAAGAGCGAAATGCTAAGGGTGCTGGTGAGAAGGGAGGGGAAAGTGCCAAGTCAGCAGCAGCAGCTGCTGCGGCAGCAGCGGCAGCGGCTGCCACTACTGCTGCAGCTACAGCCGTTGCTGCTGCTACAGCCGCTGCTGCTACAGCTACCGTTGCTCCTGCCAAAAAGAAGAAGCTGAAGAATATCCTGGCCGAGAAGGATGCTGTTGTATCTAAACCCGCTGACCTCTATAACGCGTTCACTACTCCTGCTGCCAAGGACAAGGAGGGAGAAGGGAAGAAGGAAGCAGAGAAAGCACAAGAGCAATCAGGGTTGTCTGAGGGTCAGTCGACAGTGGATGGAAAGAAGGACGAGGCTGCAAAGGCAGCGACGCAGGAGGAGGAGAAGAAAGAAGAGGAAGTGGATGATTGGGAGGAAGCAGTGGATACAGATGCTGCTGGGAAGAGTCGTGCTGGGAAGGGAGAGGCAGCAGAGGCGGGGGCTGGGGGAGCCACCCCTGCTGCTACTGCTGCTGCAGCAGCAGCCGCTGCTGCTGTAGCTGCAGCCACTGCAGCAATCGGAGCAGCAGGCAAGGGCCCTGCACCAGCAGCAGCAGCAGCAGCGGGCGCAGCAGCAGGCACTGCAGCAGGCACGCCAGCAGCAGCAGCGGCGGCAGCAGCAGCACAGAAAGGAGCGAAGGGCGCAGAGGCTGCTGCAAGCAACGCGGATGGCTCTTACAAGTACTCTCGAGACTTCCTGCTCACACTTAGAGACTCTCACAGGGATCTCCCAGGCGACATGGATTTCCGCTCCTTCCTCAGGGAGTGTAATGCTGTGCTGAAACCGCCTGCCGCACAAAGAATTCAGCAGATGGCGGCACAGGGGTTCAATCGCCCTATGGACGCGCTGGCAGGTGGGCCTGGGGGAGGCTTTACCCGGCCAGGTATGGACGAGGACCGGTGGGCCAGAGGCCCGGGTATGGGCCCGAGAGGTCCGGGAGGTATGGACGGAGGGGTGCTGGGCGCGCCGGGAGGTCCGGGGTTCCGAGGTCCGGGAGGCGGGCCGCCGATGGGTATGGGAGGTCCGGGGATGCGGGGAGGAATGGGGGGACCTGGGGGGCCGTTGCTGGGGAGGGGGGATAGGGGGGTGTTACCCCATGGTGGGCCTGGGATGGGGGGGCCTGGGGGGATGCCTATGGGTGGTCCGAGGGGAGGGGTGGATGCGGATAGATGGCAGAGAAACCCTATGCAGAATAGGCCTGCTGGTCCTGCGGGACCCCCGCTGCCTGCGATTCACAAGACGGAAAATCGGTACAAGGCTGGGATGGTTTCGGATGAAGAGGAGAAGAAGCAGCGGCAGATCAAGGGGATTTTGAACAAGCTGACGCCGCAGAATTTCGACAAGCTGTTTAATCAGGTGAAGGAAGTGAAAATCGACTCCCCTGAGACGCTCACAGGGGTCATTGGGCAGATTTTCGATAAGGCCTTGCTAGAGCCGACGTTTTGTGAGCTGTATGCTAAGTTCTGCCAGGCATTGGCGGTGGAGTTGCCTCAGTTTGGGGAGGGGGATGACCGGGTGACGTTTAAGCGCACGCTTTTAAATAAGTGCCAGGAGGAGTTTGAGCGTGGGGATCAGGAGCAGCTGGATGCTGAGAAGGAGGAGGAGGAGGTGGAGGTGGAAGAGGAGGAAGGGGAGGGGAAGAAAGGAGACGGGGAGGGGAAAGAAGGAGGGGATGGGAAGGGGGAAGAGAAGAAGGACGGGGAGGAAGGGAAGAAGGAAGGGGAGGAAGGGAAGGAAGAGAAGACGGAAGGTGCAAAAGGAGCGAAGGTGATGGTTAAGAAGATGGTGAAGCTGACAGAGGAAGAGAGGCAGAGCAGAAGGCAGAAGGCTCGGAGGCGCATGCTGGGGAACATCCGCTTTATAGGAGAGCTCTATAAGATGAGCATGCTGACGGAGCGCATCATGCACGGGTGCATTCAGAAGCTTCTAGGGAACACCGAGGTGAGCCCTTATAGCACATGACCTTGCTTTAGAGCGGTTGGCCACCACTGGGCATATTTCTTACCACGAAACAGCACATAGCTACATTGACGCACACATGGCTCGCCTCACCCACCTCTCCACCCACCTGCTTCCCTCCATCATCTGTCTTTTCCCCCTTTTCTCTGCCCTGCTCCCTTCCCACCCTTCAACCCCCCAGGACCCCGATGAGGAGGACATGGAGGCTCTCTGCAAGCTCTTAGCGACCATCGGGCACATCATCGACCATGAGAAAGCCCAGAGCCACATGGAAGCATACATGGCCCGTATTGCCTACTTCTCCTCCCTGTCTTTGCCCTGCTCCCCTGCACGCTCCCCGCTGCTCCTCCCCCCCCCCTCCCACCTTCAGGACCCTGACGAGGAGGACATGGAAGCTCTCTGCAAGCTACTGGCCACCATCGGGCACATCATTGACCATGAGAAAGCACAGAGCCACATGGAGGCATACATGGCGCGCATTGCGCACTTCTCCACCTACCCCAAGCTCTCCTCGCGCATCCGCTTCGCCCTGCAAGACATTCTCGAGCTCCGCGAGAACAAGTGGCAGGCGCGGAGGAAGGTCGAGGGGCCGAAGAAGATCGACCAGGTGCATAGGGATGCGCGGGACGAGCGGTCCAATGCCGTCGCGACAGCTGGCAGGCAGATTCTGGAGCGCGGGGGCGGGGGGAGCAGGGGCCCGGGAGGGGGTATGGGGAGTGGCCGGCGGCCGGGGTATGATATGGAGCCGCCTGGACGGCCGGGTTTGTCTGGGTCTGCGTCAATGAGGGGCGGACCGGGGTTGATTGGGGGGCAAGGGGGCCCGGGGGGAGGGATGTATGGGCGGGGGCCGGGGTATGGGCACCCTGGGGGGATGGGGGGAAGAGGGGGAGGCCCTGGCGGGTATGAGGGGAGGGGGGGAATGGAGGATATGGGTCGGCCAATGCCGCTCCCCCAGAGGAACATGGATGAGGGGGAATTGAAGCTGGGCCCGCATGGGGGGCTGGGGAGACCTGTGGGCGGAGGGCCAGGGGGGGGCATGGGCGGGGGGATGAGAGGGGGGCCTGGGGGACCCGGGGGACCTATGGGGGGACCCATGGGGGGGCTTATGGGGGGGCCAGGGCGTGGGGGACCTGAAGTTCCCCCGGGCGCCATGCCTCCTGAGATGCGCAGGTTCGGGCCGAGCCAGAGCGAGAGGTTCGGGCCGAGGGTGGGGGATAGAGACGCGCCCATGAGGCCTGGTCCTGGCGGGTATGGGGAGAGAGTGGGGGAGAGAGAGGGGGGGCGGGGGTTAGTAGGCCCTGGATCAAGGAGTATGATGATGGGGCGAGGAGGGCCTGAGGGGAGGGGGTATGGTGGGCGGGGGATGGGGATGGAGCGGGAGAGAGAGAGGGAGGTGGACGCATGGAGAAGAGGCACGAGAATTGATGAGGAGCCGCAAGTAGGAGGTGTTAGGGAGGGAGGGAGAGACGGATGGAGGGACGTGGGGAGAGGAGAAGGAGGGAGAGGGGAGGTGGGGAGAGGGGGAGGGCCGGGAGTGGGGCCAGGGGCAAGAGAGGGAGCAGGAGGAGCAGGAGGTGGGGGGGCTGCAGGTGGGGCGGGAGCAGGAGCGGGAGCAGCAGGGGGGGCGGGAGGGGGAGCAGGAGGGGCAAAGGCGGGGGCAGGGATGGATGAGGAGAGTGCAGTGGCGAAGGCGAACAGTGCACTGGAGGAATTCCTCAGGTGAGAAGTCTGTTTTCCAGTCGGTATTGAGAATTCTGCCACGCCACGTAATGGCAGGCTCGATCAAAAGGCACCCTGGATGAGGAGAGTGCAGTGGGGAAGGCAAACGGTGCACAGGATCCTCAGGTGAGGCAGCAGATGGTTCAAGTGTTGGCTCAGGTGATTTTGCTGGTCCAGCATCCTCACAGCTTCTAATCAGTGTTTTTTTCTTTCCCCCCTTCTTCTCTCCTCCTTTTCTCCTTTCTTCCCTAACGCTCTCCCAATGCTTGTGACTTCAAGGAGGTGTGTTTGTGATTTGAGGAGCTACATGCGCCGCTGCATCAACAGCTCTCTCACACCTTCTAACTACCCTTCCCACCCTGCGTGTTACCTTACCTCCCTCCACTCACAGCGCACGTGACTTCAAGGAGGTGTGTCTGTGCATTGAAGAGCTGCAATCCCCGCAGCATCACGGAGCGATAGTGGCGGGGTGGGTGGCGGCAGGGCTGGACAAGAAGGAGGCGCAGAGGCAGCAGGTGGAGGATCTGGTGGTGCGCCTGTGCTGCGAGCCCAAGCCGGCACTGTTTACCAGTGAACAGATTCAACAAGGGTAAGGGCATAGAAGTGTAGGTGTATGGAAGGGGAGGTGGGGCAAGCGTAGGTGGGGCGGGCTGGGTGGCGGCGGGTCTCGATAAGGAGGCGGCGCAGAGGCAGCAGGTGGAGGACCTGGTGGTGCGCCTGTGCTGCGAGCCCAAGCCGGAACTGTTCACGAGTGACCAAATCCAACAAGGGTGAGTGGAGTGGAGTGGAGTGGGTCTATTCCCGTGCAGCAGAGAGGCGCAGGGGCAGCAGGTGGATGGCCTGGTGGTGCTGCTGTGCTGCGAGCCCAAGGCGCCGCTCTTCACAAGTGACCAGATTCAACAAGGGTAGGTTGTGGGGGTACACAGATGGCGAGGGGCAAGAGGTTCCTCCGTCAGTGGCACATATGCACTCCGTTGCTGCTGGCCACTCCACACCAGTTCAATGTGCCCTCCCTCCCTCCCTCCCTCCCTCCCTCCACCCATCCGTCCCTCCCTCCCCCCTGTACATTTTCATTCATCGCCCCTGTCAATACTGTTCCTTCCTGCCTTAAATTTCACTAACTTCACTCCTCTCCCCTCTCCTCCCTCTATCTCTTTTCCCCATCTCCCCCCTCTACTATCTTCTCCCCTCCCTCCCCCTGCTTCAGTCTGGTGCGAGTCTTCCAGGAGCTCGAGGATTGGTCAGTTGACGCCCCCAAGGCCCCACAGCACGTGGGCCGCCTGATTGGCCGGCTCGTGGCAGCTGGCGCCGTTCCATTGGCCGACGTGGCGCGGCTGGTGAAAGCGGGCGGTGCAGAGGAGGGGAGTCTGGTGGAGATGGGTGAGGGGATGAAGGTGATGGCAGCGGTGGTGGGCGCAGTGAGGGGGGAGAAGGGGGAGAAGGAGGCGGGGGAGATGGTGCGGGCGGCGGGGATTGAAGGGCCAGAAGAGTTTATGGAGGAGCGGGCGAGAGGGCAGAAGGAGAAAGTTGAGGAGGCGAGGAAGGCTCTTGGGCTGGCAGATGCTGCAGACCCGGTGAGTGGTGTGGAGCGGTGAGTGGTTTAGAGCGGGGGGTGGTGTAGGGCGGTTAGTGGTGTGAGTGGTGGTGAGTGCAGCGGGGATTGAAGGGCTGGAGGAGTTTATGAAGGAAAGGGCGAGAGGGCGGAAGGAGAAGGTGGAGGAGGCAAGGAAGGCCCTTGGGCTGGCAGGTGCTGCAGACCCGGTGAGTGGTGTGTGTGGCGTGAGTGTTGTGGGTGGTGAGTGTGGTGCGGGCAGCGGGGATTGAAGGGCCAGAAGAGTTTATGGAGGAGAGGGCGAGAGGGAGGAAGGAGAAGGTTGAGGAGGCAAGGAAGGCTCTGGGGCTGGCAGGTGCTGCAGACCCGGTGAGTGGTGTAGTTCTGAGACGTCTCGAAACAGGTGTAGAGTGGTGAGTGGTGTAGAGTGGTGAGAGGTGTAGAGTGGTGAGTGATTGTGCGGGCGACGGGGATTGAGGGGCCAGAGGAGTTTATGGAGGAGAGGGCGAGAGGGCGGAAGGAGAAGGTGGAGGAGGCGAGGAAGGCTCTCGGATTGGCAGGTGCCACGGACTCGGTGAGTGGTGTAGCTTTGAGATGAGTGTGTGTGTGGTGAGATGAGAGTGTGTGTGGTGAGATGAGTGTGTGTGTGAATGTGGCGAGTCGTGTGCTGTGAGTGTTCCAGAAGTGACGAGGACTAGGTACTTAGCTTGATTTCTGACATTTCTGACCTCTCCCCCCCTCCTTCCCCCGCCTCTCCCATCTCCCCCACCCTTGTACCCCCGCGAAGTGGATGCATATTTCTGACCCCCCCCCCTCTCCCCCCAACCTTGTGCCTCCGCCTTTCTCTTGTCTCCCTCAGCTGCAAGCAGTGGCGGAACACCTAAAAGACGCTTTTGCCAAGGGGGAATCGGCAGAGGCTGTGCTCAAGTGGCTTCAGGTGAGATCTCAGGTGCCTTCATGTGAAATTTCAGGTGACTTCAGGTGGAATTTCAGGAGGGTCGAGTCTCAGCTCGATAATGTTCTGTGGCCAGATGAAGTAATTAGTTCGCATTCCATCCGTTGCAAGAGCATGCAAAATTCCAGCCTGCCCCTCTGTGTGTCTTTCCCGTCCCTGTGACTGCTGCAGGCCAATACTCCGCCTGACACCCCAACGCAGCCGCCTTTCCTCCGCCTGCTCATGCGCTCGCTGCTGCAGCAGTGCATCGGCGCTAGCAGACAAGACTTCAAGGTACTGACCTCACTTGCTGACTGGCTGATTGGCTGGCTGGCTGGCTGGCTGGCTAGCTGGCTTACTGACTGACCAACTGACCGACCCTCACACTGCTCTATCCCTGTCAGACGGGCAGATCTCTTGTTTATCCCGTTTTTTCCATCCATGCTTTCCTGTTTCCCTTCATCCGCACTTGCCAGTCTCTTTTCCTTCCCCTCCCCCCTCCACCCCTTCCCAACGTTTACTTGTTTACATTCTCGGCGTATTCCTCAACATCCCTCTTCTCCCTCACTGTCCCTGCACTGTTGCTGTTGGCGATTGGCATGTGACTGTTGGCGATTGGCATGTGACTGTTGGCGATTGGCATGTGACTGTTGGCGATGGGCATGTGACTGTTGGCGATTGGCATGTGAGTGCAAGCAGAAGCTACTGGCAGGGCCAGTGAAGAAGTATGCCAAGGTCTTTCAGGAGTACGCATCAAAGAAGCAAAAAGCCAGCCAGGTTCAATGTGAGTGCTTCCCTTCCTTCCCAGCCTGGCCTCCGTTCCACCTCGTCCATCCCCCCGCTCTTCCATGTCGGCAAAGCTTCTTCTTACCAGTGCGTTTTGTAGCATTCTCACAAGTTACTTTGCCGAATGTGTGTTTTTCTGTCTCCCGTACACCCACTCCTCTTGCCTCGCTGTCAGATCTTTTCGGAGCGCAAGAGTTTGCAGAGTCGTGTGGGCACCCACAGGGCCTGCTAGATGCTGTCTTTAGAACACTCTACGATCTCGACGTGAGTCATGCTCTTCTCATTTGTGAACGTTCTAAGGCCCGCTGAATGGTTTTTTAGAACCGTCTACAATTTTCCTGTGAATCTCACTCATTGCACACTACTTTCCTGCATTCCCATATGTGATGGCCCTCACGAGTATTATTACCACCACCAACCCATTTCCTTCCCACCCTTTCTTTTATGTACCTCTTTAGGCATGACTTGTGCGGAGCAGATGGTGGAGGAGCTGATGCTGTTTAGGTGGCAAGACGACAAAGTTCCAATCTTATGTAGATCTCGGATACTTTGTTTTCACAATCCCCTGTCCGTCCTGTCTGTGTGGAGCAGGTGGTGGAGGAGCTGATGCTGTTCCGGTGGCAAGACGACAACAAGGACCCAACGCCTGGCAAGCAAAAGGTGTGTGCCCATAGATGTTTGCAAGAACAAGGATTGCCGTATGGCTAGTGTCAAGAAGCTTTGTGTTTGGCTTTTGCTTCACTTCTTATTGCTGGCTTTTTCTGCCTTTCTTTTTTTCTTTTTTTCTCTCTCAAATCTGCAGGCATACTTGGATGTACGACATTTTCTCAATTGGCTAAGTACGGCACAGGAGGAGGGCACAGAGGAAAATGGAGGCAGTGGTGATGAGAATGCTTGATACCAGCATACCACAACAGATGGAAGAGGAGTTTAGAACTCGAAGAAAACGCAGCTCCGTGGCTTTAGAAGGCCATGGATGCGATCAATCTGATGCCAAGGCAAATGCCTGTATCACCATTCTTGTCACATTGTTGTTTGTACCGGTATCTTGCTCTGATTCTATGCTGCTACACCTCGTAAGGTACAATCTCGATTTTGCCTGCATACCGTAATCGGAGATATCGGGGTTAAAGCCGTGCCCTGGACGAGCCATCCACCCTTGATCATCGCTAGCGTGTTCAACACTTGTACCCTTTCGCTTCGTGCAGTGCTGACGTCCATGACCACGTCGCATGCGTCGTCACGCGCACGCTGCGACACGCTCGCAACATCGCCAAGTTGTCGATGTCACGCGAAACGCTTGTCATGATGGATCAGATCTTTCGCAACGTCGTCTCTCAGTCGTGCAAGGTATTTCTCAACCACCCAAACCTGCGTGTCTCCCAACTTCCACCTCGTCTCCGATTCGGAGAGGTTGGCCAAGAAGGCGGCTCCTTGGGAATTGTGCGCAAGGTTTTTGCGCCTGCCCCAACAGCATCTTTGGCAGCTTGCGCCAAAGTTGCGCGCGCAACGCCTGCGCCCAAAACAATCTGGTTGCGCTCCCGCCCCTGGTCCTTCTCCAGGGTGATCAGTTTCGTTCTGAAGCTTTCCACGTGGCCTCGGTTGTACCAGCTTCCGCCTCGCGGCCCTTGAAACTGCCGATTTGCGGAGAGGCGGGCGGAAAGGCAGGTGCGACATTATCTGGATTTCTGTACGCACCAGACAGCCACTGTTTGAACGAGGGAGGGCGTGTTGAGTTGAAAGTTGAAATCACCTAGCCGAACCGGACCAAAGAGTGTTCCGAACCGAACCGAACCGAACCGGACCAGTGTGTTCCGTGATCAGTCAGTCAGTGAAAAGCAAGCCAGTTCAGAACAGAGGGCTAGTTATTTTGAGACAGCAGCGCAACCTGCAAAACAACACACGTCTAGCACCCACTTCGACTAACCCTAAAGTTCGCTTCGGCCGCTGTGAAGCCATTTTCCAGCCTTTTTCGCTCGAGCCCCTTAGACGTACCTATTCGCGTTACAGTAGCGGCGGGGCTGTGGCGGTTGCGTATAGAACATTCCAGATTATCTTGATGTTATTGTAGCTGGCGGGGAGTAAGGCGTAACGTTCGTGGCGTCGTTGCGTTTAAGAATGGAGCGCTTATTATGTAGACCCTGTCTACGTTCGCGGGGTGAATGTAGATGACGTGACGTACACTGAGACTCCTTAGATTCGTGTTCTTTGTATCGCGACGCACTTTTGAAGTAGACACGTTTGCGCTGCGCAAAGACGGACAGACACTGGCGTTCCTGACAAGAGAATGCGTCCCGTTCTTTCTCGCTTCCCCGCCTTTCTTTTGACATAGCTAGGCAGCACTCGCGATGCTTTCGTCTGCTCTTCCCGCGTGTGACCGTTGGCTAGAGACGTAACATCAAGGATCGCCAAGCGGAAGTAGGGAGGGTTACCAGCCTTCGCCATGAACAGGTGCGATTATCGTCATGAAGTGTCGCAACTGGTGCCTGTCGTCACGTGCATCACAGAACGTAGCGTAACAGCGATCCAGCCACTGACAGCATCGTAGAGGATCAAATTGCTTGTTCTGGAAGCATTTCACGTGTGGCCCATTCGCAGCCATTTTCACTCTTAGTTGTTGCGACGTGTCTATCAGAGCAACCTTGGACGTTTCAAATATCTTCCGTCGTCAGCATTCTATGTCTGATCTCATAGCAAGGGTCTTCAGGAATGCGTCCTCCATCACCCGTTCCATTTTGAACACGATGGTCCGCTGGTTATGTTAGGAGCTTCACTACGATTTGTTTAGGTGCCTACACGAGCGCATGAACACTTTCAGTCATTAAGAGTCCTTCTAGCACCTTCCTTCTAGCACCTTCCTTCTAGCACCTTCCTTCTAGCACCTTCCTTCTAGCACCTTCCTTCTAGCACCTTCCTTCTAGCACCTTCCTTCTAGCACCTTCCTTCTAGCACCTTCCTTCTAGCACCTTCCTTCTAGCACCTTCCTTCTAGCACCTTCCTTCTAGCACCTTCCTTCTAGCACCTTCCTTCTAGCACCTTCCTTCTAGCACCTTCCTTCTAGCACCTTCCTTCTAGCACCTTCCTTCTAGCACCTTCCTTCTAGCACCTTCCTTCTAGCACCTTCCTTCTAGCACCTTCCTTCTAGCACCTTCCTTCTAGCACCTTCCTTCTAGCACCTTCCTTCTAGCACCTTCCTTCTAGCACCTTCCTTCTAGCACCTTCCTTCTAGCACCTTCCTTCTAGCACCGTCCTTCTAGCACCGCTTCCATTCTGGACCTGATGGCCCGTAAAGTTGACTCAAAGTTATCGCTGATGAGCGCTGGTGCAAGCTCGTAACTCGATCGATCATTCTTTTTTCAGGCGCGTCAATAGTCGCATCTTGCCTCGTGTATGCGTGCTGGCGCACGGTGATAAAGACGATAGAAGAAGGAGCTGTATTTGTCACCCTGTTCAACTTGAAGTGTCTCCCTGTGGGTGTCGTGCGGGCAGGTACAAGGTGATTAAGCAGATGGGCGATGGCACGTACGGCACCGTATGGAAGGCCATGAACCTGCACACCAATGAAATCGTGAGCGCAACCGTTTGACAATTCTCTTGTGACGCTTATATTGCGTAGCCCGTACTATACCGTGTTCGCTGCTGTCTTCTGCGGTGCATCTCGCCGTGCCTTCAGAAGCGTACGACGGCGTGTGTCACAGTCTCGGTGTCCCCTCCCTCCCCTCCCCTCCGTCGCCTCCTTACCCCCACCGCCTCCCCCTCCTCCCCTCTTCCCCGCAGGTGGCGGTGAAAAAGATGAAGCGGAAATTCTACTCGTGGGAGGAGTGTATGAGTTTGAGAGAAGTCAAGGTAAGCGCTTAAAAAAGTTGTAGAGCAGAGCGCTGGAATGAGCTGAAGTGAACCGTGCCTGAGATACACCTATTTTTTGGCATCCCGCAACCCCCCTCGCCCCCTCTCGCCCCCAATCCCGCACCCCCACCCCCTGTCCTTTTTTTTTTCGCCTGCTACTGTTTGCCGCGCTTTTTCCCCCATCCTTCACTGGCTGATCACTGCACATGCACTCTCCTCCCTCGCTGCTTCCTTGCCTTCACTCTCCGCCATCGCTGTGGAAGCTGAACCGCATTCGGAACCTCCATTTGTTTCTCTCACGATCCTCACCTCCCCTTCACTATTCATCAGTTCCTGTGCAAGCTGTGCACCACATTTCTTCCCTTCTCCTCCCCTCACTCTCCCCCTTACTGTGCGCCAGTCGCTGCGCAAGCTGAACCACAGCAACATCGTGCGGCTCAAGGAGGTGATTCGCGAGAACAACGAGCTCTTTTTCATCTTTGAGTACATGGTGAGGCTTTTGGGAGTTCTTCTCGTCGTTTGGATTACAAAGTGAGTGAGACCCGGTGGCTTGCCATTCTGAAACCCGTTAGCTCGCCTCTTCTCTGCGATGATGTAGAGATCACCCTGCAATCTGCAATCATGTGGTGATCACCCTCTACCAGTTTCCCTCCCGTTCCCCGCCCTGGCCCCAGTTTTCCTCTTTCGAAACTGCAACCAAATCATGAAGGACCGTCTTTGTTGCGATCTCCCTCCCCGTTCTCCCGCCTTCTCCCGCAGGACTGCAATCTGTACCAAGTCATGAAGGACAGAGAGACTCTTTTTCCCGAGTCGAAAATACGCAGCTGGATGTACCAGGTAGTACATGAACCCCTTCCCTGGCGACGTGTATGAAGATTTGTTTTGAGACGTCTCAAAACAGCTGGATGTACCAGGCACATGAACCCCTTCCCTGGCGAGATGATTTCTGAGTCGACTCAAAAATCAACTCGAGAATACGCAGCTGGATGTACCAGGTAGTACATGAACCCCTTCCCTGGCGAGATGACTTTTGAGGTGACTCGATAGTACACAGCTGGCTGGATGTTTCAATGTCATGCTCCCCTGGCGCTCCTGCAATTGGGATTCCTCGCGTCATCCCCGTTATACTGTCCTCTGATCTTTGACAGCACTTGGTTGGTGTTACACGTGATGGCCGTTTCGCACCATTTCCCATTCAGCTACCCCCTCCCACCCGCCATTTCCCCTTGCCCTTTCCTTCCTCCAGGTGCTACAAGGCCTAGCCTACATGCACAAGCATGGGTACTTCCACCGCGACTTAAAGCCCGAGAACCTGCTGGTGACCAAGGACGTGATCAAGGTGGCGGACTTTGGGCTCGCCCGGGAGGTGCGGTCGCGGCCGCCCTTCACGGACTACGTCTCCACGCGATGGTGCGTTCAACAGCAGATGGCCTGCACTGCTGGGTGGTGTTGTATTGATGAGAGATAGTTATTTCACAAAAAGGAGGTGCGGTCGCGGCCGCCCTTCACGGATTATGTCTCCACGCGATGGCACGTTCAACAGCAGATGGGGACTTGAGGTCACACAGTTGGATTCGTGCTGTAGAGGTTGCGAGACTTTGTTCTCGGACTTCTTGCTACAGCACTAGGCTGTAGATCAGATTATCCTTTAGGACGCCCCTGTAACTTCCCTCTGTCTCTAAAGCGCTGGTGTGCCTTGTTCTCCTACTCGCACCCATGTCTCCTCCGCTCACTCCTTGTCTCCTCCTCTCTTCTACCTGCTCCTCTCTTCTCACTGCACAGGTACCGTGCTCCAGAGGTGCTTCTGCAGTCCACTGTGTATAACGCCCCCATTGGTATGTGAGATGTGCCACTTGTTGTATCAAGAAACGCATAAGCCCCCAGCATACTCGCTTCAGTTGACCTCCTCTCTGCGGTCCCCTCCGTTTACAACGCCCCCATTCCCACGTCACGTGCTGTTTCGCTGTATTCCGAAAACCTTGAAGTACTCCGTTCATCTCCTCCCGTCTCTCCCAATTGCTGAAGCGCCTTTCACTTGCTTTCGTTCCCTGTGCCCCTCCCCCCCACCCTCCCCATCTCTCCCCCCTTCTCCCCTTTTTCCTCCCCCCGTGCAGACATGTGGGCCATTGGGGGCATCATGGCAGAGCTATTTTCCCTCCGCCCGCTCTTCCCTGGCGCCAGGTGCGGATGGGTTGGAATGTGGGGGCATGTGGATTGCAGGGGCATGTGAACGGCAGGGGCATGTGAATTACAGGGGCATGTGGGTCACAGGGGCATGTGGATCACATGAAGCACAGCATTCAAGCCTCATTCTCTTCACAAAGCGCTGCAACCTTCCCCTCCTACCGCTCCCAATCGTTCCATACCCACCTTGCATCTCTCATACATTGCACATCCTATCGCCCCTCCCCACCCCTGCCAGCGAGTTTGAAAGGATTGTGAAGATACATTTTGTCGTCGGCACACCCACCCACCATTCACACTGCACGCGTTCCATTCCCACTGCTCCCAACCGTTCTGTACCTTTTGTGCACCCTCAAAACCCCTTGGCAGCGAGATTGACGAGATAGTGAAGATCTGTTCCGTCATCGGCACGCCCACCGTGCACACTCTCACTGCTCTCAACCGTCCCATACACCTTCTGTTCCCCCCTCTAAATGCTGGCAGCGAGATTGACGAGATAGTGAAGATCTGTTCCGTCATCGGCACGCCCACCGTGCACACGTGGCCGCAGGGCCTCAAGCTCGCCGCTGCCATGAACTTCCGCTTCCCAGAGGTGCGTGGGCATGTTGGGTGGGTGGGTGGGTGGGTGGGTGGGTGGGTGAATGGGTGGGTAGGTCCCTCGCAGCTGAGTAGTGTCAAGCTCAAATGCAAGCCACATACCCACCGTGCACACGTGGCCGCAGGGCCTCAAACTCGCCCCCGCCATGAACTTCCGATTCCCTGAGGTGCGTGGCGGGCTGGGTGAGTGGCTTGCTGGGTCGGTGGGTGGGTGGGCATGCGGGCGGGCCGGTAGGCGGGTGGGTGGGTGGATGGGGGTAATCGCATTTATGATGCTTCAACATGGCTCGTTTCCCCTCTCCAACCCCCATTGCTTCCAAATTCCAGTACTCGCCCATCCCGCTGTCGAAGCTCATCCCATCAGCATTCCCCTCTCGAACTCCCCCCTCCCCTCTAAACCCCCCCCCACCCCTAACACCAGTACTCGCCCATCCCGCTGTCGAAGCTCATCCCATCAGCCTCTCCCGAGGCCATTGACCTCATGACGCAGCTCTGCTCCTCACTGCCTCAACTTGCCTCGTTTCCCCTCTCAAAAGCCCCATTCTTCCTCGTCCCACCCCCACCCCTTTTAACGCCAGTATTCGCCCATCCCGCTGTCGAAGCTCATCCCGTCTGCATCCCCCGAAGCCATTGACCTCATGACGCAGCTGTGCTCCTGGGACCCTGCCCGACGACCCACGGCGGCACAGTCGCTGCAACACCCTTTCTTTTTGGTGGGTTATTGGGGATTGTTTGTGGGGAGGTGGGACGGAGGGGAATGATGGGCGCTTCATGACGCGGCTGTGCTGCTGGGACCCTGCCAGACGACCCACGGCCGCACAGTCGCTGCAGCACCCCTTCTTCCTGGTGGGTGTTGACGTGAAGTGAGAGGCGTGAGGTAGGGGGAGGTAGGAGGGGATGGTGGGATCTCATGACGCAGCTGTGCTGCTGGGACCACGCCAGACGACCCACTGCTGCACAGTCGCTGCAACACCCCTTCTTCCTGGTGGGTAGCAAGAGGAGAAAGTGGGTAACGAGAGAGGAGGGGAGTGGTGGGATCACATGACGCTGCTTTGCTTCTGGGACACAGCCAAACGACCTTGCCTCCCATGTTGTGCTCTACTCTCATTGTCCTTGCCTTACCATCTCCCGTGCGGCCCTGCTGCCCTCCTCTTCCTCCACCCGCGCCCCTTTCTTTCCCTCCTCTCTTCCGCAACCCGCACCAATCTCTTTCCCTCTCTTCTTACAGAGCGGAATCCAGGTTCCGCCATTCATGCCATCTCCCAAGCTCACCACCAATTCCGGACCCCTGTCCTCCCCCACCCCCCCCTCCTCCCGCCACTTCCCCTCCCCCAGAGAGGAATCCAGGTCCCCCCAGTGATGCCGTCGCCCAAGCCGAACCCAACCAACTCCAGCCGCACGCACCCCGTCACATCGCCGCACCTCCCCTCCCTGCCACAAGCCGCCAGCAAGCCATACAGTCACCTGGATGAACACCTAGATGAGTGGGAAGGGGCGCCGGGGCAGTCCGGGGGAAGTGGGGCAATGGGGCCAGCAGGGGGTGGGATGGGCGCGGGAGGAGGAGGGGGAGGGGGAGGGGGAGGGGGAGGGGGAGGGGGGTATTTGCCGCAGCAGGGGCAGGTGGTTCAGCAGCAGCAGCAGAAGCAGCCGCTGCAGCCGCACCTGCTGCAGCAGCAGGGGGGTTACTCGGGACAGGATAGTGTGGGCGCGAGGGCGGGTGCTCTGACTCAGAAGCAGCTGCAGCTGCAGCAGCAGCAGCAGCAGCAGCAGTAGCAGCAACAGCAGCAGCAGCAACAACAGCAGCAGCAGCAGCAGCAGCAACAACAACAGCAGCAGCAGCAGCAGCAGCAGCAGTTGCAGCAGCAGCAGCAGTAGCAGCAGCAGCTGCAGAGGCAACTGTCAGGGGTTAGTGGGGTGGAGCAGCAGGGAGCAAGGAGAACCTCAGGGCAGTACGGGCAGCCTCAGGTGGGGCAGCAAATGGGGCAGCAGCAGATGGGGAAGCAGGTGGGAGCGGTGGTGGGGGGAATGGGCGTGGAGCAGCAGCAAGCCCCGAGAGGGAGGGGACAGGGGCAGCAGTACGCGCAGCAGTTGCAGCAGCAACTACAGCAGCAGTACCAGCAGCCTCTGGACGTTGGAAGCGATTTGGCTGGAGGTGGGCTTGAAGCAATGACTCCTAGATCTCGAGCCCAGATGCAGCAGCAGCAGCAGCCACAGCCATACATGCAGATGCAGAAGCAACCGCTGACGCTGCAGACCCAGCTGTCTGGGGTGAATGCAGCTGCATTGGAAGCTATGACCCCTCGCGCCCGTGCCCAGTACTACCAGCAGCAGCAGAAGCCGCTGCAGTCGCAGCTTTCAGGCGTAGGCCTTGACCCGCTAACCCCCCGTTCCCGCCAGCAGCAGCAGCAGTCCCAGTACCAGCAGCAGCAGCAGCTGCAGTCCCAACTGTCAGGGGCAGGCTTGGAGGCTATGACTCCCAGGTCAAGGTCCCAGGCACAGCAGCTATTCCAGCAGCAGCAGATGATGCAGCAGCAGCAGCTGCTAGAGTCGCAAGCAGGAGGGCAGGAGCAGGCGCAGTCTCGCATGCGTGCCCGCGCCCCTCCCGCTTTGCAGCAGCCGCAGCAGGGAATGGGGCAAGGGCAGGGGCAGGGGATGGGGCAGGGGCAAGGGCAGGACTATAGCATAGTGTCTCCCCGAGCCATGCAGTCGTTTCAAGACGGGGGCTATGCCGGGCCTGCGGGCCTGCCAGAAAACTTTTCGGGCAGACCGGATCCGATGCATATGGATGGCGGGGGAGGGGGGTTGGGGGGAGGGGGAGGGGGAGGGGGAGGGGGAGGGAAGTCTCAGGGTATGGGGTTTCTGGGGAAGAAGATTGCTTCAAAGAGCATGAGTGCGAGGAATCAGCAGCCTGTTGGGGACGGTGGGGGAGGGGGTGGGGGAGGGGGTGGGGGAGGGGGAGGAGGGGGAGGAGGGCGGTTGGCTTCGTTGCAAAGATATGGCAGCCAATTACTGGGTGAGTGTAAAGAGCGTGGCCCGGTTGGTAAACACCCTCATTCTCTCCTTCCCCGTGCGCCACTTGCATCAATTCCCTCCCATCCCCTCCAACGTCCTTCCCGCATTTGCCTCACTGACCGTTTCTGCCACTACCCCATCAAACGCCGTCCCTCCCTACAGGCATATCACGGCACTCAAATGCTTCCTCTTCTCGATCCAACGCTACAGGAGCTGCCCCAATGATATAACCTCCTTCCTCCCCGTTTCTGGTGCTTCCCCATCGATCTCCTCTCCTCCCTTCCCTACAGGCATATCACGGCACTCAAATGCTTCCTCTTCTCGATCCAACGCTACAGGAGCTGCCCCAATGGTACGCCCTTCACACCTTCCCCACCCACCCTCCCTCATCCCACGTTCTCCCCTCCCTCTCTTCCTTTGTCCTCCCACCTCATGGCTACACTGGATTACCCAACACCCGCCAACTTCCCTCCTTCCACCTCCCCACCCCCACCGTTCCACCTCAACTTCTGTCTGAACTTCTCTTTTCTGACTGTATAATCTTGTTTCTCTTTGACTCTTCCCGCATTTCTCCGTACTATCGTGTTACATCATCCTTCTCTTCTTGCGATGATGATGATGATGCAAGGATCATCTGGAACATCAATACGGCTCATCATCAACATAATCGCATCACATCACATCACATCACATCACATCACATCACATCACAACACATCACATCACATCACATCACATCACATCACATCACAACAATCACCCTCGTCACACACACCACCCTCATCACACACACACACACACACACACACACACACACACACACACACACACACACCACCCATCATCTTGCCCCATCAGGACAAGCAGATGGACACATCACAACAATCACCCTCTTTTCCAGACATCACCCTCTTTTCCACACATCACCCTCATCATCACACCATCTATCATCTGACCCCATCAGGACATGCAGATGGACACATCACCGCACATGGCACATAACATTGATCACCTTATTCTCACATAACCCCCTCAACACACACACACACATACCACAATCTTACCCCATCAGGACATGCAGATGGACACATCACCGCACATGGCACATAACATTGATCACCTTATTCTCACATAACCCCCTCAACACACACACATACCACAATCTTACCCCATCAGGACATGCAGATGGACACATCACCGCACATGGCAGCACCTTCATCCCGCAAGTCTGCAGCAGGTGAGACGTGCAGCCCTTTGTTGTGCCGCTTCCCTCCCCCCTCTCCACCTCCTTTGATCGTTCTCCCCTTCTCGTCCCTGTTTCCGCATCCACGCTTGTCTTCCTTTCTCTTGCCCCCTGCCCTTATGCCCCCTCCTTTCGTCCCCTCCCCTTGCGCCCCATCCCCGCTTGCTCCCACCCCCTTGTGTCCCCTCAACCCACCTCGGCCTTCTTCCTGTTTTACTCTCCCAAACCCCTTCCCATCCCCCAGCACTAGCACGCGCAGGGTCAGCAGCCGCAACCATGGCAGCAGCAGGGCCCCCCTCGCCCCACGATCCCAGTGCAGCCTATTCCAGGTATGCTGCCTTGTTGCGACATTTGCATCTTGAACTACTCATTCCCGAATACCACTTGCTCATAAGAATGCCATACGTTTGGACGTGTTACATGTTACATGTTGCATGTTGCGCTACGCATGCATGAGGGGTGAAAGCACATGTGTTTTGCATGTGCCAAATCTACGGGCCTATGCATGCACCCCGTTCCTTTCCCCATCACCACCACCATCAGAATGGGGACCTACCCAGCTACACACGCCCAGGATGCATACGCGTATGGGAACGGGCCAGGAGACATGGGTCCCCCTGGGGATTACTATGGGGGGGGAGGAGGTCAGATGGATATGATGGGAGGAGGTGGGATGGACATGATGGGGGGAGGCATGGGGGGAGGGGTTGGTGGAGGTGGTGTGGGGGGACCAGGAGGGGGTATGGCTCGAAACGGAAGATACCCGATGGATTCGGGGGGTTACTCGGTGCACTGAGAAGCCGGTTTGTTGGTTTGATTCTACTGCTAACTTGGCTGCAACTGCTGTTGCTGGTAACAAGAGTTTGGTCTCTGGTGATGCTGCTGCGCTGCTGCTGAAGGAGCAAGTATCAGTGGCAGTCATTTTAACCGAAATCAGCAACCCAGTGATCACTAACGACCGCAGTATCAAGGCTTACAAGTTACAACCCCTAATTTCCCTTTCGTCCATTTCTCTTCGCTTCGAAATGGGTCCGTTCCAACATGGCAATGCTATTCGTGGCTGCAATTACCTCTGTGCAGTGCATGTGAACCAATAAGGCCGAGACAAAACATTACGTCCAAAGTCGGCTTTGGTTCCCTCACTCTAATGTCAGTCTTTGTTCCCTCACTCTGATGTCGGTGTTGAAGCATTCTGTTACTGTCTCTGTAGGGGCTGTTGGTAAGGGGGTCCTCAATAGCGAAGTTGCTTTTTACCGAGCGGCATCATAAGGGGTCCGTTGTGTCAGACGCGGACATGCGCGGTGACTCCTTTCCCTCCATGCGCGCCTCGACATCCGCGCAACCCCCGCGGAATCGAATTCACGAAGCAAGCCTTGGTCCGAGAAGGCAAAAGCATGCGACAATTCGCCTTGGAACATGAGTTTCTCTTTTTTGCTCACCCATTCTGAGGCGGGCTGGGTTATGTTGTAATCGTAAACAATGCCAAGCCGGGTTTGCAAGAACCCAGCACTTGCAGGACGGAATAAGCGAGGTTGATATGGTTATATAAAGGTCGTAACCAGGTATAACAACGCATAGAGAAGCTGGAAAAATGGTCTACACGAAAATGGCGAGTTTGAGCCCTTGATTCACAGGGCTACGAAAACGTGTGCTCATCATGCGCCCAGCCCCCGCATGGCCGTTCGGTCTCCACGCGGGAGGTAGCGGTTTCTCCCCGTGAGTCACGTTGCTTGGGTCCCCCCTTGTTGATGAGTGTATGTCGACGAGTTTCCTGCAAACATGCTACGAAGGAGGTCACTGAAAACACATTCCCAACTGCCTGAAAACAAGGGTAAAACACACTACGGCAAGGTTTCCGCGGGCTTATCGCCTGCGACCGTCGCGTGCGTGAAGCCGTTCGCCAACACGAACTTTGGCGAAGTAGGCATGCTGTCAGAACAGTTGACTCCGCACATCGACATTCTGCACAGTACCTAGATTCCATTTCCATGGTCTAAAATTTGGCCTAAGAAGACATCCTACGAACCGTTTTTCGCCGTACTAAAACTTCTTTCTTCTACCGTTTTTTTTTTTCGCCGTTTTCCTTTTTTTTTTTTTTTTTTTTCACTCGTCCATCATTGACTTTCCCTCCCGTCGCAGATCCCATGAAACATGATGCTCACACCATAATCGGAAAAGTAGCCATCCGTCACATATACATTCATGTGACAATATCTATGGCTCCATGGCGGAGGTCCTTTTTGTTTGGTAGTCAGGCTATTCCATGTATCGAACGCAGATTGCGCTGATGCTTTCTGGAGCTCGCACGGTAGCAGCACGTGTGACTGAATCTGCTGTACTGATATCCTCGCGCCAGCTATTTTCCGTTTGAAGCCTTTCGAGCTCCTCACCTCGGAATGCTGACTAGGCCTCTTGCCGAGGTCCACACCTCAGCGGCTTCCTCAGTCTGATTATGTCATAGCGGAAACGATACCCCTTGGGCATAACTCCACCCACTAACGGTCCCATAACAGTCCCTCCCTGACCCTGATAACCCGATCCTCTCCAGGTAGATCCAGGCCGTTCACATTTAACGGAGTTGCAAGTCCAGATTCGCACCTCTTGGCCTCACAGAAATAGACGATTTATTCTCTAGAATGTGCTTGATAGGTTCGTCCAGCTTTCAAGTTTCGATCCAGAGCAACTTGGGGTGCGGATATTCTCGAAGCGGCTGCGTCTATGGGAGGCTGTTTGGGAACCAGCAAGAACCACCACGCGTCGCAACCGATCGCTTCGGATCAGGTTCGTTGAATCTCGCTCCGGTCACGAGTCGCGTGCACGATGATTTGATGGAGAATCAGAGCCATGAATTCTAGTAGGTATGTCGGTGTGTCAGAAAATAGTGCTCGGATCTGCGTTAGGATATCATCTAATAGTACATTCCAGTTTTGTCTTGACTCTCTTGTGCTCGTCAGGAGCGTTAGCCTATCAGAATGAGTGCTGAAGAGACGAGATAGAGGTGAATCTGGAGTCGACCAGAAGGTGGAATCGAGCTACACGAGATTCACGATAGAGATTCGTCAGCTATGCGACAAATTTTGTGACGTTTTCACGGATTATGTGTCCGATCCAATCCCCCATGCACACATTTCGCACCGTCCTGACTCCTGATCCCCTTTTTCGACGCGACCTTTGCAGAAAGGACAGGATGAAGCACCGGTTCGGCCTCGACCCACTCGCCCCACGCGCAGTCGGTCGGAAACCGCGGCTACTGCGTGCCTTCCCCCCCGCTCACCAAAACACTACTACCGCCGAACGGATGACGTCACGACGCGAACCGATGACGTCACGACGCCATCCGCTGGAGTGGATCCTGGCAGGGGAGCGGATGACGTCATGCAGAAGAGACCGGATGACGTCACCTCTAACGGCGTTCATAGCTCAGAGGCAAAGGGGGGCATCCTGGATCGAGACGGCACTGCTGCGGTGAGGGTGGTGATTCCTCCATAGGCCCAGCAACGGAACCATATGCATAGCCATTCCGCTGCCATTCCGCTATTCCCTGAACGTCCCTTTATTCATTCATTTATGCATTTATTTGGAAGAAAAGTTGATTTGTTGTGGCGCATTGTCCCTGTACTTGACTCCTTGATAGTTTCGATACACCCTGATCTGCTCTCAAATGTGCCGTTTGGTCATGCTCCCCTCTTCTCCTCCCCCCGCCCCATTCTCCCCTCCCCCCTCCCCTTTCCCCCCTCCCTCTTCTCCCTCTCCCCCTCCCCTCCCGCTTCCCCCTTCTCCCCCCACCCTCCCCTTAAATTGTGTCTGCGAAGGGAGCGGCGCTAGCATCGCAATTGAACCCAACATCACTCACACCACAGCACCACCGCCACCACCAGCAGTCCAAGTCACCCCAGCACTACCAGCAGCAGCAGCAGACGTCGCCACGTCCCCCCCAAGCACGCTCGCCTGAACCCACCAGATGGCCGCCCGAGCCCCCGTTAGAGTCACACCACGGAAAAGGCACCACCCGTGGGGTAACCCCCCGAGAGGTGGGTACCAGGGGCCCAGAGGGCCATGGTGAGGGAGGTTCCCAGGCTAAGGATGGTTCTTCTCGAGGGAAGAGTGAAGATGTGGTGAATGCAGGGGCGGGTCGGGCGGGCGAAGAGCGTCGGGAAAGTTTGTCTGGAAACAGCCGTGCTGCACGAGAAGCAGGAGGAGCAGACGCAGCAGGAGCAGGAGCAGCAAGAGCAGGGGCAGAAGCAACAGGAGCCAAGACACCGGACTCGGAAACGGGAGGAGCCGTAGGAGCGGCAGCAACAGCTCCTGCACCAGCCGCACCAGCAGCAGCACCGCCGGCAGCACCAGCATCTGCACCACCAGCACGAGCAGCAGGCGTGATAGGAAAAGTCCCAGGTCCTGCAGAAGTCACTGAACTGCCCGTACCAGACTCCTTCCCAGACGCAACAGCAGACCCAGCAGACGCGTGGGTGCAGCGGCCGCCCGTGGACGAGGGGAGGCCCATCCGGTGGCGCAAGGGCGAGCTGATAGGCGCGGGCGCGTACGGGTGTGTGTACATGGGACTCAACCTGGAGTCGGGCGAGCTGCTGGCCGTGAAGCAGGTGCTCATTCCTTCTGCCTCCACCACCAAAGACAATGCGCAGGTGAGGAATGGGGGGGGGAGAGTGGGGGGAAGGGGGGTTGACTGCCTGTGGCTGTCCGGGTGTCTAGGTGTGCTTTGGCCTGCGTGAAAGTGCCAGCGTGAAAGGGGTTTGAGCTGATAGGCGCGGGCGCGTATGGGTGTGTGTACATGGGACTCAACCTGGAGTCGGGCGAGCTGCTGGCCGTGAAGCAGGTGCTCATCCCGTCCGCTTCTACAACTAAAGACAAGGCGCAGGTGAGGAGGAGGTGGGGGGCTTGCTGGGGGTGTGGATGTCTGGGTGTTTGGGTGTCTGACTGTCTGGCTGGGTGGGTGTCTGGCTGTGCTTTGGCTGCCTGAGTATATATGCGTGAGCTGCTGGCCGTGAAGCAGGTGCTCATCCCGTCCGCCCCTACAACTAAAGACAAGGCGCAGGTGAGGCGGGCTGCGTTGCTGTCTGGGTATTTTGCGTGTCTGGCTGACTGCGCAAGATGCAGCAGTGCATTCAGGGTCAGAAGAAGAGCTCTCGTTTTTCTCTCCCTGACTACATCCTCTGTTTCTACTGCTCTTTACCATCTGTGTGTGCATCGGTGCAGGAGTATATCAAGGGACTGGAGGCGGAGGTAGCAGTGCTGAGGAACCTCTCTTTCGAGTCGACTCACAAGTCACCTCACCTGGAATACATGTATTGTTTCTGTTGCTCTGTACCATCTGCATGCATGCAACAATGCAGGAGTACATAAAGGGACTGGAGGCGGAGGTGGCAGTGCTGAGGAACCTCTCACACCCCAACATTGTGGTGAGACAGACAGTCACGTGCTTTCACCATCCTGTTGCCAGCCTTCTCGCAGCACTAGCAGCAGCGCTAACGTCGGCGCCATCTCCAACGCCATCATGTTTCTGTCACTAAATAAATGTTTCTGGCTTTCGCTTATTCTGCTCTCGCCGTCTCATGATGTATGTGTGGCAGCGCTATCTGGGCACGGCGAGGGAGGAGGAAGCACTCAACATTTTCCTTGAGTTCGTCCCTGGAGGGTCCATTGCCTCTCTGCTCAACAAGTTCGGATGCTTCACGGAAAAGGTGAGGCTGTTCGAGGGACCTGGAGGGACAGACAGGCACCCAGAACCTGATAGTGCTTTCATTTTCCTTCTTTGGATCGTTTCTCGCTCCTCCAGGTTCGAACTCGTCTTGTGTTGACCTTCAGAAATAATTTCTGCCTTCTGCTTTCAGTAATATGTTGCTATTTCTGGTTTTTTTTCTTTCACTTTTCTGTGTTATGCCCTGGCAGGTCATCCGCATGTACACGCGGCAGCTGATGACTGGCCTGAGCTACCTTCATTATAATCACATCATGCACCGCGATATCAAGGTGAGACGTCAATTATTTACCTTCACTAGAATCACGTTATGCACCATGATGTTATAACAATATGCCCTGCCCCTTCCCCCTCGCCAGGGCGCCAACATATTGGTAGACAACAGGGGGTGCATCAAGCTGGGGCGTTGATCCGCAAAGCACCTGCTTCTCCCCCTCTTCTCCCTCCTGTTCTCTCCCCTCATCCTCCCCACACCCTCCACTTTTCTCCCCCCAGGGCGCCAACATTCTGGTGGACAACAGGGGGTGCATCAAGCTAACTGACTTTGGGGCGTCAATCAACAAGGCACCCGTTTCTTTCCCTCCGCTCCCCCCTGTTCTCCCCACAAATCTTCCGCACAACCCCCTCCCCCCCCCAGGGCGCCAACATTCTGGTGGACAACAGGGGGTGCATCAAGCTAGCTGACTTTGGGGCATCGCGGAAGTTAGCAGATCTGGCAACGATGAGCGGGCACAAGTCCATGAAGGGCACGCCCTACTGGATGGCGCCCGAGGTGATCAAGCAGACGGGGCACGGCAGGCCGGCAGACATCTGGAGTGTGGCGTGCACGGTCATTGAGATGGCAACAGGCAAGCCGCCTTGGAGCGAGTTCCTCTCCCAGGTAGGTACCAACCCTGTTCTTCTTCCGGGTGATTTTTTAGTCGACTCAAAAGTCGTCTGGAGTGTGGCGTGCACGGTCATTGAGATGGCGACAGGCAAACCGCCCTGGAGCGAGTTCCTCTCCCAGGTAGGTACCAACCTCTCCCAGGTACCAACCTCTCCCAGGTACCAACCTCTCCCAGGTACCAACCTCTCCGAGGTACCAACCTCTCCCAGGTACGTACCAGCCTTTTCTTCTTCCGGCCCTTCTCTTCTCGTCCTTCTCTCCACGTCCGCTTTTCCTTTTGCACACTGTTGCGTTAGGGGCATGTTTGTTCACAGCTGGAGCCATGGGCGACAGTTAATTTCGAATTTCTCCCACCCCTCACGCCCCTTCTCTGCGCAGGTGTCAGCGCTGTTCCACATAGCACAGTCCAAGGGCCCGCCTCTCATCCCCGACCACTTGGTGGTGCCAAGGGCCTCCTCGGTTCAACCCGCATTTTCCCCACCCCCTCATGCCCCCTCCCCCTCATGCCCCCACCCCCTCATGCCCCCTCCCCCATGCAGGTGTCAGCGCTGTTCCACATAGCACAGTCCAAGGGCCCGCCTCTCATTCCCGACCACCTGTCTGCCGATGCAAAGGACTTTCTGCTGCGCTGCTTCCACCGGTGAGAGCATGACAACGTGCGTGGCACCAATTCCCCACTGCTCCCAGCACACGTATAGCTCACATAGCGCCGGCCTCTCATTCCCGACCATTTGTCGGCCGACGCCAAGGACTTTTTGCTGCGCTGCTTCCACCGGTGCGGTCCCCCCTCTCTGCTACAGTCTCCAAAGAGCATGCGTGTCACTGCTTCTAAGAGGTCTTGAAGCTTGTGTTCTGTGGTGTGGGGGTTTCCATGCTCTTTCTCTCCTCAAGCCTGAGCCACAGTTGCTTTCAGTTTCCCCTACCCTACCTCATCTATTCTCGCATCTGTCTTTGCACACATGGTCCCATGCCCCCTGTGTGTGTGTGCCGCTCCTCAGGGATCCCAACAAGCGCCCAAGTGCGGCTGAGCTTCTTAAGGTAGGCCCTTTGACCTTAGAGTTTGGCCTGCCATGCTGTGCTTCCAGTTGTTACTTTTCCTTTCCTTTTTTCGTCGCTTCACTGCTTTCACTGCTCATCGCTCTCTCTCCCACCTCCCTTCCCTTCCCTCCCCATGCTATCCCTCTTGTTCACTGCAGCACCCCTTTCTGACAGAGATGCCTTCATCATTGGCTGACCCTCTCACCACCGCCCCTGGCTCCACTGCTACCACAGCAACAGCGATTGAGGCAGAGGCAGCAGCAGGAAGAGCAGCAGCAGCAGCAGCAGCAGTTGCGCCTGCAAAAGCAGGCATGCCTGCAACTGTAGCAGCAGGCACCCCACTCTCTCCCACTGCTCGTGGGAGGTTGGCGGGGCCAGCTACAGCTGCTACAGCTGTTGCTGCTACAGCTGCTGCAGGCACACCCATTGCTGCTGATTCGGCCCTCAATGGTTTGAGTGAGGCACCTCTCTCGCCCACCAGCCCTCCAGACAACTGGCATGACACACTCCCAGGGAGCCCCTCCCTTGCCTCCCCTCACCATCACCATCACCAGCGCTCTCCCAGCAGCAACCGCCCTGCTGATGGTGCTGACACTCCCACTTCTCGCCTAACACACCACCTAACCCCCCCAGCCGCACGCCTAACGCCCCAGAGCACGCACCATTCACGCCTAACACCGCATGACACCTTACAGAAGCCTGTAGACAGTGACTCGCCGGTCCGTGCTGCTTCTGCCTCGTTCTCCCATAATCTGACTGATCTTAACCAGACAGGAGAGGGGGAACAAGTGCAGGGACAAGATTGGCAGGGGAGGCAGGGGCAGGAGCAGCAGGGGAAGGGGGATGAGGGGAAGGAAGGCGAAGGGGTGCGAATGTCACGGGCGAATTTCCTGTCTGTCACCAGCACGGCATGGCAGCCCGGAACCTTCTCTGAGCTTTCTGACCTCTCGTTTCGGGTGAGCTGCTGTAGGCAAACCAGACGCCGTTTTCTTTGTTTGCTTGTTTCTTTCTTTCTTGGCTCTCGTTTTCCTTCTCCCAACCACCCTGCTGCTTCCGTCCATACACCCTCCCCTCCTCCCCCTCTCCCCCTCAGAGGGATTTCAACTCAATGGAGGAGCCATCTCACAACGATCCTCTAGGCTCATACGTCATGGCAGCACGTGGGCATGGGGGCGAGTCGTCTGCTTTCACAGAGGACGAGGTTACTGGCCCTCTCAGGGAACACTTGGGGGCTGATAGTGCCGAAAGGCAGGACACCCGTATCCCCCATCCATACCCCCCCCCCCGCTCTCGACCCCCCATCCCCGCCCCCTTCTTCCCCCTCCCCACTCTCCCCCCAGAGCGATTTCAACCCAATGGAGGAGCCATCGCACAACGACCCGCTGGGCTCATACGTGACGGCAGCGCGTGGGCACGGGGGCGAGTCGTCTGCTTTCACAGAGGACGAGGTTACTGGCCCTCTCAGGAAACACTTGGGCGCGGATAGTGCCTCTAGAGAGGATTTGTGCAGTGATTCTGTGGGCGGGACAAGCAGTGGAGCGGTGGGGGAGAGGGGACTTTTGAGTCGACTCAAAAGTCACCTCAATAGTGCCTCTAGGGAGGATATGTGCAGTGATTCTGTGGGCGGGACGAGCAGTGGCGCGGTGGGAGAGAGAGGGGAACGGGGAGAGGATAAAGGGGACGAGGGGAAGAGTGGGGAGGTGGAGGGACGGCGGAAGGAGGAAGGGTGGGAAGGGGACAGGGCTGGTAGAGGGAGGGAGGGGGTGGAGAGGGGAGGGGAGGATTGTGTAGCTGTGATGGTTAGCCGTGGGAGTGCAGGCGGGGAGGAGTTGAAGCAAGGGCATGAGGGGAAGCAAGGGCAGCAGAAGCTGCCAGTGGAAGGGCTGAGAGAAAGCGAGGAGTTGAGACCAACTGTGGGGTTGAGACCGTCGCTGAGACCATCATTGCCTCAGCTGGACTTGTCTCTTGCAATGTCACACATGCAAGGGGGGCTGGGAGGAGGGCACGGGGGACCGGGAGGGCTTGAACGGGAGGAGAGTGAGACATACTCAGAAGAGGCAGCATCTGGTGACAGCAGTGCTGCGGTCTGTGGCCAAGAGGGGAAAGCAGGAGCAGCACCGGAAGAAGGTGATGGGGTGCGGGCAGTGGGACAGCAGGCGGAGCAGCAGGGAGCACAGCCGGGAGAGCATCAGGCTGTAGCGTGTGGTGAGAGCGTCGGTAGGCCACCGTCTCCTTCCATGCTGAAGCAGGGTGGTGTGGGTGGGGTTGGTGGGATGAGTGGGGCGGGTGGGGCTGGTGCTATGGGTGGGTTGAGTGGGGTAGGCCACACCACGCCAGGGCAGACCACCACACCCAGCCGGCCTGCTGGGCTCTCCCCCTCTCCCCGCCGCCACCGCGAGTCCTCGCCCGCCCGGAAAAAGCGGATTCTCAAGGAGAGTTTTGTGCTCCCACGGGATTTGTCCCCCTCTGCCCGCATGCAAGCAGGGGTAGCATCTCCTGCAACGGCAGCAGCAGCAGCAGCAGCAGCAGCAGGGGCAGCAGCAGGGGCACCGGCAGAAGGAGCACCACCAGGACCAGCAACATCATCAGCAGCAGCAGCAGCAGGACCTGCAGCGGCCGTCTCTTCCCCTTCCACTGCCACTCAAAGCCCCTCCCCCTCCCTCCCCTCCCCCTCCCGCCGCTCCGCCTCCCCGTCTTCCTCCTCTTCTGCCCGCAGATCCCACCACCTTCCCTCCCGAATCATCCATTCCATCAGCCAATCAGCTATCTCCGTCCCTGGACCCGTCTCGTCCCCCTCCTATCACAGCTTTGAAGGGCTACTCTCAGGGAAATCAGGGGAGGGCCGTCGGGTTACTCGCACCCCCTCTCATGGGAGCGAACAGAGATCAGTGGGGAGTGAGAGGAGTGAGAGTGTGAGTAGAGGAGGGGAAGGTGGGTCCGGAAGGGCCCCTACTCTTTCCCCGCGGCCGCCCGGGATTGTCAGCAGCAAGTCGGGCAGCTGGGTGAACAGTAGCGAGGGCGACTTTTCCGGGCGGCAGCACCCGGGCAGCTTCGAAAGTTTTGGGCAGGAGGGGAGGGTGGGGAGACAGGGGAGTGGGGCGTTGCACAGAGGAGGGAGAGGAAGCGCGAGCAGCGGCAGAGCATCGGTTGGGGGAGGAGGGGTTGGAGGGTCGGTAGTGGGGTTAGGAGGAGTGGGGAGGGTTTTGAGTGGTGGGGGAGGGGTGCCGGTGGGAAGGAGTGGATCGGGGGGGAGCCTGTTTGCGAGTGGAGTGGGAGGAGGGCTGTACCCTTCTGGAGGGAACGTCCTGGCATTGCTACATGACAGCACTGACAGGTGGGTGGTGGGGATTTGAGTAAGCACTATGGTCCCATTAAAACCAATCAAATTCTCTTTATTTCTGCCATTGCACGCAGCTTGGTGCTGATAAATGAAATTGGCTGCCAGTTGCGACATTGAGGGACGCAACGTCTTGGCTCTGCTACATGACAGCATTGTTTGGTTCTATCAAGCTAGAGGGTGACATGACAGCATGTCACTCTCTAGCTTTTTTACCTGCTTGCTATATTTCCGCTGACTCAATCCTGTGGCCTGTCCTCTGCTGACGTCATCTGCAGCTTTGTTGGCCAATCGGGGGACCTCAAGCGGCAGCAGTGGGAGGCAGAGCTTCAGCAGGAACTGGCGTTGCAGAGAGGTGCGTGTTCGTAATAAGGTAACTCTCAAACCTGAAGCGAAGTTTTGAGTCGGAAGTTCTGTTGTTCATACAAGTCAATGCAAATGGCGTTATCTTTTCACAAGTGCCGCTGCCGCCCCACCCTCCCATCTATTGCAGAGCAGAAGCGCAGGCAGGTAGGTGTCACATCCCAGGAACAGCAACTGCTTCTTGACGTTCCTCAACGAAAGGCCCCCAGAAACGCTGAAAGAATGTCTTGCAGGAAGCCTTGTGTGTGATCATGCCTCCCCCCATCCCTACAACAGCAACTGCTTCTTTCACAGAGGAGAAGCGCAGACAAATGTCTCGGTCCAGCGGCAACATCGTCTTGAGGCAGCTTTTTGATGCGCATAAAAAATAACGAATGTCTCGGTCTAGCGCAACTTATTCTTGAGGCAGCTTTTTTGTGCGCGTCAAAAATAACGAATGTCTCGGTCTAGCGGCAACTTATTCTTGAGGCAGCAGACACATCCTTGCACGTGCTAGTGCTTCTTCTGTGCTCCTCTTGCCTCCTCCCCACCCTCCCGTCTTTCACAGAGGAGAAGCGCAAGAAGATGTCTCGGTCGCGCAGCAACAGCAGTTTGTGCTCATGCCTTTCCCCACTCCCCTCTTGCCTCGTCCTTTCACAGAGGAGAAGCGCAAGCAGATGTCACGGTCGAGCAGCAACGGCAGCGCTGCAGGGGGGGTTGGAGCCAGCCACACCAACAGCATCGGCAGCGCTAGCGGTGCCAGTGCGGTCGGCAGTGCGGTTGGCAGTGCAAGCACAAGCATGAGTGCGAGTGCGAGCGGGTCTCGAGAGTTCTTTGGACCCGCAGGCTCCGTCTCCTCTCCGCGTCGAAACCTGCCCGTCTAACTGCTTCCAATCGACTGCCATCCCTAAAATCCTGCTAAGCTAACCCACAACACACCTCCACCCACACAACCCACCGAGCACCCATTGTAACACCCGTCCGCCCACCCATCCAACAACCAATCCAAGCAGCCATCCTAACACCCATCCACCCAGGCTAACCGCTCCTGACTAACCTCCCAGCAGCCTCGCAATAACCAGCAAAACTTGATTCTAGAATGCCTATTTTTCCAATCCCCCCTTCCATCCATCCCCTGCCCACCGACGGCTAACACACCTCCCTAGCCTTCCTTAGGTCCCAAGTTTCCGAACCTGAAGCCGCTGCTAGTAGCCTTGCACCCGGCCCAACCTGACTCAACCCAGACCAACTCAACCCTTGCACGGTAATCGCGCTGGTGCTTAGTTATTGGGTGCTTAGTGCTTAGACTGCCCTGATCGCTGGGTTGTTGGTGGCCGTTCTGTTGCAATTTGCGATGCCAGCTGGGAGTGTACTAGAATGGTAGAGTGGCTGCTGAAACCTGTATCATTATATTCCCCTACTAGTGTGTTGTTTTGTGGTATGTTCGAATCCTTGGTGGTGTTTGTTTGCAGAGTATTCTTACAGCAACGCCTAATCACTAGCTTCAGAAGGTGTACAAGGGCTGTAGTGTACTGTACAGTACATGCCATGCAACAACGACAGCAAAATATACATAGTGGATGCAACCATATCTGGGTATGACTGTACTGGTAACTAGAATGTTCGCTCCTCTTCGTCTGATAGAGAGTCATCTGCCAGCTCAGACAACCAGTCAAAGACCTCCAGCTGTGCAGCTCCCCTGATTCCATCCACCAGTGTCACACTTGCCTGCTTCACTAAAGGCTGCTCCACTACTGTCACTGTTCCCCTTTGCACGAGCACCTGTTGTGAGGAGTTTCGAGTTGGCGAGGCTGTTGGGGCTGTTGGCGAAGCCATTGATTGCCAGGCAGCACCAGCAGGAGAAGCAGCACCAGTAGCACCAGTAGCGCCAGCAGCAGCGGCACCAGGAGCAGCAGCAGCAGTGGCGGCAGGGCGAGCAGGAGCAGCAGAGTTGGACCACTTGGTTCGTAGGGCATGGAGGATGGCCCGTGCCTCGTGCACTGCTACCCTCTGCTCCTCAGGCATGCCGGGGCTTACTCTCTCTAATCTCTCTGATGCTTCCGGACCGGATTTCTGACGTGCTAATCCCTCAGATGGTTCTACACCAGGTCTTCCGGATCTCTGGTGCGCTAATCTCCCAGATCCTTCCTGACCAATTCTTTGATGCTCTAACCGCTCAGATGAGATTTGACTCTCTAATCTCTTATGTGCTCGTGTCAAGGCTTTTGCTCCTGCCCCCCCTGCTGTTCCTGCCCCTGTGCCCCCTGCTGCTTCTGCCCCATGCCCCCCTACCTCCTGCGCCCTCTCTACCCAAGCTGCTCCCTCGCGCCTGCCTTTGGCTCTTGCTGGCAGCCCAGCTGACCGGAGGCGGCGGAGGGGTGCAGGGTGCGCAAGCGGACGGTGTGCCAGTGCCAGAGGGGGATTAAAGGCAGCGGCTAAGGGGTCAGAGGAGGTGGAATGGACAGGAGGGGGTGGGAGAAAAGGGAGGGGAGCGGGACGGATGGGTCCGAAAGCGAAGAGCTGAGAGAGGAAGGCGGAAGGGGTGGTGGGAGTGGGGAAGAGAGGAGGAGGAGCGGGTGGGAGGAGGGTGGAGGAGCTGTGGAAGAGGGGAGGGGAAGAGTTGGAGGATGGAGAGGGTGGAGTGTGGGGGGAGAGGGAGGTGGGGGAGAGAGGGGGAGTGGAGGTGGGAGAGAGAGGAGGGGTGGGAGAAGGAGGAAGGGTGGGAGCGAGAGGAGGGGCGGGAGGGGGAGCAGGGGTGGGAGAGAGGAGAGAGGGAGAGAGAGGAGCGGGAGAGGGAGGAGCAGGAGCGAGAGGAGTGGAGGATGTGTGGGGGGACAGGGAGGCTGTGAGTGATGGTGGTGCATTGCGTGGCAAGGCATTAGGAGGGGGTAGGGTATCAGATGTACCTGCGTCTGACGCTGTATGTGCGGCATGAGGAGTGGAGGATGTGTGGGGAGACAGGGAGGCTGTGAGGGATTGTGGTGCATTGCGTGGCAAGGCATTAGGAGGGGGTAGGGTATCAGATGTACCTGCAACTGACGATGCATGTGTGGTGTAAGGAAGGGGCTTAGGGTTGACTGTCGGTGCATGTGCGGCATAAGGAGGGGGGCTAGGGTTGACTGACGATGTATGTGTGGCATAAATAGAAGGGCTAGAATTGACTGTCGGTGCATGTGCGGCATAAGGAGCAACGGAGGTGGTTTCTGTTACCCTGGCAATAAGGGAAGCCTTTCTGGAGTCGGCAACTGCATCACCTGACGCAACCTCAGCTGCATTACCTGAGACACTATCTGAAGAAGCACCTGAACCAGCACCTGAAGCACCAACTCGCTGCGCTTTTCTATCTGTGCTTCCTGGTGGCAACTCTGAGCCGTCGATCAAGCCCCACCTCCTCTGAGAATGAATCACAGCCGTTGAACCTCCGAGAGCCATCTCCCTCAGCTCACACGCCTCTCTGCCATGATGCCACGCTGTCAGCCTATCCACGCTCACACCACCCACCAACAGAGCTGCATCTAGTGATACTTCAGGTGATTTCTCAGGTGGGTCCTCTTGAGGCACCATCGAGAAAGCATTTCTCTGGTCAGGTGATTGGCCAGCCGCTGACCACTCCCCAACCCCCGCCGGCGATCTCGCCAGCCTATCCACGCGTGCCAGCTGGACTGCCAGCTGGCACGACAGCCCTGCCACGGCTGCTTCTGCTGCACCGCCCTCCCTCAAAGCATGTTCCCGCTCTGCTGCTATTGCTGCCAAATGTGCTCTCAGAACGGGAGCAGCACCAAGAGAGGCACTCTTGTTTTGAGTTGCTTCAGCTGCTTCTGCTGCACCGCCCTCCCCCACTGCATGCGCCCTCTCTGCCGCCAGTGCTGCCAAATGCGCTCTCAGAATGGCAGCATTGTTCCGAGAAGAATCAAGAGAGGCACTCGTGGATTGAGATGCCGCATGTGACGCACCGCCCTCCCTCACTGCATGCTCCCTCTCTGCTGCCAGTGCTGCCAAATGTGCTCTCAAAATGGCAGCACTGTTCTGAGACGAATCAAGAGTAGCAGGTGACGCACCGCCCTCCCTCACTGCATGTTCCCTCTCTGCTGCCAGCGCAGTCAAATGCGCTCTCAGAATGGCAGCACCATTCCGAGAAGAATCAAGAGTGGCACTCGTGAACGGAGGTGCCGCAGGTGACTCAGCACACTCCCCCACTGCATGCGCCCTCTTTGCTGCTAGTGCTGCCAAATTCGCTCTCAGGATGGAAACACTGCTCCAAGAAGAATCAAGAGTAGCACTCGTGAATTCAGGTGCTGCAGGTGTCTCAGGTGCTGCAGGTGTCTCAGGTGCTGCAGGTGCCTCAGGTGCTGCAGGTGCCCCAGGTGCCTCAGGGGCCTCAGGTGCCCCAGGTGCTCCAGGTGTCCCAGGTAAATCAATAACTTTTCCGCTCCCACGCGAATCAAGCTCTGCTCTGCTCACATGCGAAACCTGCTCCACCCTGCTCCCTTGAAAATCACGATCTAATCTGCACTCATTCGAGCACTGATAGAGACAGAGCTTCCCCGCGTCACTATGCATCGAACCAAGACACACGCTCCGCTGCTCCTGCTCCACACTGCTACTGCTGCTACCGCCTCTGCCTGCATTGCAAGAGCTGTTATCCGCACTCTGCTGCTTGTGATACCCAGTCCCATGCTCCTCCTGCTCTACACCGCTGCTACTCCCTCGGCCTGCAGTGCAAGAGCGGCTCTCAGTGCTCTGCTGATTGTGATAATCGATTATCCGCGCCTGATCCACCCCGCTGCTGCTGCTGCTGGTCCTGCTGCTGCTGCTGCCGCCGCCTCTCCCTGCATTGCAAGAGCTGCTCTCAGCGTGCTGCCACAGCTGTTCCCTCAGATGCTCCCGCTCCATCCCACTGCTGCTGCTGCCGCCTCTGCTTTCACTGCGGGAGCTGCTTTGGGCACTCCGTTGCAGACAAGAGTCACTCGGATGCTCCTGCTTCACCCCGCCGCTGCTGTCGCCTCTACCACCCTCCTCCACTGAATGCGCCACAGCCTTGAAACGCCCCAAAACCGAAGAGCAGCTGCCAACACTCTGGTGCTGATGATAGCCCTTCAGTAGCCCCTGCCGTACCCCACCGCTGCTGTCGCCTCGACCGCCTTCCTCCACTAAATGCTTCAAAGCTTTGAGACGTCCCGAAACCGAGGAGGACCTGTCAACACTCAGCTGCTGATAACAGCTCTTCAGTTCCTGCTGCATCCCACTGCTGCTGTCACCTCGACCACCCTCCTCCACTGAATTCTCAACAGCCACGAAACGTCTTAAAATTGAGGAGCAGCTGTCAACACCCTGCGGCCTGACCTCCTCTCTCCCTGCCCTCGTATGCCTATCCTTCTCATTCCCCTCATTCTTCTTCCCTCTGCTCCTAACTGCCCCATTCTCCCACCTCCCATGCCTCCCCTCCTCATTCTCCGCCCTCTTATGCCTCTCCTCCTTATCTCCCACTCTCCGCCTGTCCCCCTCACTTCCTTGTTCCCTATGCCTATCCTCCTCCTCCTCCCTCCCACGCTTCGTCTCCTCATTTTTCGCCCTCTTATTCTCCCCACCTACTCCCACCTTCTGACCAAACCCGTCCAAAGCTGCAAAACCTCTTCCCCGATTCCTCTCACCCTCCGAACCATCCACACTCACTCTTTCCACCCCTTCACCCTCAATCCTCTCCTGCTCTCGGATCACCACCCCTCCCCCTTCCCCCACCATCAGTCTCACCTTCTCCAGTTCCGCCTTCACCAGATTCACCTCCCCCATGAGAGTCCTCTCCGCCTCTAGACTCATCACCCTCCTCTCTTCCTCCACCATCATTCTCACCTTCCGCAGTTGCGCCTTCACCAGTTCTACCTCCCCCATGAGAATCCGCCTCTCCCTCTCCCCACTCTCCATCCGCTCTTCAAGCCTCCGCACCTCCCTCCCCCTCCGCTCCGCTTCCCTCTCCGCCGCCCGCCTTTCCGTCCGCATCTGCTCCATCTGCCGCCCGGCTTCCGCCACTTGCGCCTCCACGCGCGCCACTTCCGCCGCCCAGAATCTCTGCTGCGCATTAAGTGATTCCCGTACTTCTTGCAGGAGTTCTTCAAGGTGCGTTTTGAAAAAAATCCGTTCCGCTATAAGCTGTTTCTGTAGAAGCAAAATGACCTGCTCTGGAGGTTGATTGTCAGGCCAAGAAGGAATTGACTCTTGCGCGGCAAAGAGGGCTGGAGCTATTGGTGCTGCGGTTGATGGTGCTGCGGATGATGGTGCTGCGGATGATGCTGCTGCTGCATCTGCTGGTCTTATTGTCGCGGTTCCTCCAGATGCTGCTGCTTCTGCTGCTGGTGCGGCTGCTGGCGGTGCTTCTGCATCTGGTGTTGTTGATCTCGTGGTAGCTTCTGCTGCTGAATCTGCTGCCGCTGTTGCTGCTGACCCTGATATAAGCATGGCGTCCCCTACTGGTTCTGCTTCCACAGTAAACAGTCTACGTGACGGGTATTCCTGTATCGCGTGTTTCTGTGACCGTTGTTCCTGTAGCCGACGTTCTTGGAGCCATCGTTCTTGTCACCGACGTTCCTGTAACGGACGTTCGTTATCATTGGGTTCCTGCAGCTGCTGACCCTGTAACGGCGACTCCCGAGGCTGGGCTACATGCACGTGGTGTTCCTCTATTGATTGTTCCACTAACGAATCTCCTCCGTGCCCTTCGTCTAACGGCAGTGCTGCGGGCGGCATGGCGAGGTGAGGCATGGTTACACGTAACGCTGTAACCAGCGGCATGGCAGCGGTTGAATCTGCTCCCTTCGCCTGTGTCGCTATATTTCCGGAATAAATTTCAAAACAAGCAACACAAAACTCGATGAGCTGACAGAGATTCACAACTGGCACAGCAGCAGCTGCTCCACCTAACGACTAGCATGTGGCCCATGCCGCCGTGCTCATGTTGAGAAACACATCCATCGATTTGGAAGTACGATGCAGCGTACGGTACGGAAAACCTAGGTACAGTACGTTTCTTATGTTTCGGAAACGGTGCGGAGCGCTCATGGCTGAATGGAAGTGAACATTGTCTCCCACGATATGTTTCTAAGTCCGCTGCTCTGTTGCTGTGGTTATCCTGTTTTTTCTGCAGATTCGGCAAGCACATAATGTATCTCAAGAGTGTACCTTTGTCTTGAATATCTTGAATATTGCGGCGTAAGAATTCAGGAATGCGTAAAATTTGTGGAGTCGCATCCTTCGCTGACAACAAGTGTGATTCGGATCACACCGCTCAGTTGCTATTCGTCAATCTTTCGGCAAAGAAAGGAATCCAACCCTCGTGCACTCCACGTCATCCAGAGTTCCATGCCAGCGCTTCTGGTTCCCAGCTTGCGATTGGTGCTGGTTTATCCACCCGAATTTCGCCTCGCGCCTCTGGGAATCTGATCAGCAAAACAATTTTGAGGTGGGTGGGCCGTCGAGAAATTTCTCCTGCTCGCTGCTACTCCTGCTGCAGCTGGTCGCTGCCTGATCACTCTTGAGGGATTCTTGGCCTGGTCCGGTCCATTTGCACAACATCAGCGTCATTCAAGGACAGTGGCTCCTAGCCTGGCCACTGACGGAAAGTCCTTTAGGGCTTGAACCGAAAGACTGCTGGGTCGGTTTGTTCGAATAGCGTTTAGTATCCGTTTGGTCCGAATCGGACGGATTTCCCTGTCCTTCGCATTGTCTTTTCACCAGTTTTCTTCGACAAGACAGTAGCCAGTCACGATGTCGAAGTCGAACGATAAGAAGAAGGAAAAGACTGGTGAGGAAACGATCACTAGCCGTCGAATTACTCGTGCATTAAGCTATTTTAAGGAAGCGTTAGATTTCTTCCAGTTTCTCGACCTGCAAGCTCTCGCTCGCATAACACTAATTCCAAGAAGCTGTTCACTAAACTACTTACGGGCGTAGGCGTTATCTCACCCATGTCTTTCCTTGTCTCGTTCTGCCTGTTTCGACGGGGAATGAGCAGCGCTCCTGGATGGCCTGGTCACGGACCTGTTCAATCGCGTGGAGAAGCCCATCGAGTACCACAAGCTCTCCCCGTCCGAACACATGGACAGCATCACCGCGATTCACAGGATCCTGTCGCAGGTGAGCTTGCATATCGGCTTATAGGCTTTTATGCTTCCAGGGTGGGATAAGTTACTGGAAAGCAACAAAGGCGCGGATGGAATGCGGTTGCTTGCAAAGTTGAAAGCTCACTACTGACTTTCTCGACCCCTTGATTATCGGATGATGGGTGCAGTCACATTCAAAGCGCAAGGTACAATGACACGTAAACACACTCGATTAACGGGAAATGCAGGGTCGAGCTTCGACATTTCTTATTATTCAAAATCGAGATTCGTCGTTCTTCCACCCAAAAATAATGGTTTGGACACCTCTTTACCTTTTTCATCGTTTCTCTTGCCAATGAAACCTTCTGCTCCTCTCTCCCTTGCTTGCTCACCCTTCAGATTCAGAAGCACGAGAAGGGACGCCTTTCAACTGAGCCACCAGCCGATGCAGCTACTCGCATGAAGTACTTGCAGGAGTGGCTAGAACAGAACAATGTGAAGGTGAGTCCCGAGTGAAACGGCTGCAGTTGTTAATTACGACTGGAAACGGCTGTGCGGCGGGCAATGACCTGGAACGGCTATTGCTGTTGACAGTCTGAGGTTTGTCTGCTTAGGATAAACAGGGGACGGATGATATCAATCGGCCACCACATTGCGTGAAATAAACATATTCTGAGCCTCCTCCACAAAATTTCCTGAATGGCTGCTCTTCACTTTCACTAACGTGGACATTGTGACGTGTCAGCTTGACGGGGTCAAGCTTGACGGGAGTCTGCCCGAGGGTCCCGGAGTGGTGGCAACGCGTGACTTTAACGAGGGCGAGCTCGTTGCTTCGTTCCCGTCCGAACTCATGATGACTCAAATTACTGCCGTCCAATCAGTTGTAAGTAACAGGCACTCTTAGACTCAGATAGATTGTGGATACTGCGGGTAGATTCAGACGTAAAACAGTTTACGCAACAGCAAGCGTGCATGGGTTTCCAGATGTTTTCTGGTCTTGTTTCTCTCGCTGTCTTCCTCACGTACCTCCTTGGCTTCATGTTTTCTGGTCTTGTTTACCACACGAGCAGAAGGACGTGGGGCTGATTCACTCCACGGACGTCTGGTTCAGGGCCGTGCCCTCCCTCATCCTCGCCATGCACCTGCTCTTCGAAAAGGTCTGTCCAGCACTCCCTCTCGAATTGCAACCTGTATTGCAACGTTTCCAGATTCGGAACGACTTCCAGGCCCTCGCTCTTTGAAGCACACAGGTCTACCCACTTCCTCAAACTGCAATCAGCACACTGTAACGGAAATAAGAAACCAATCTTGTCACGTGTCTCACATGAAGCTTCCTGTATCGACACTTGTCTTTCCTGTTCACTGGATTGCAGCATCGTCCAGCAGGCTCCCCGTCCAAGTGGTTGGGGTACATCAAGTCTCTGCCAGGGCAGCACTGCCTGTCCGAGTTCAACCAGGACGCCTCCCCTGACGACATCATCCTGCCGCTCGCTTTCAGGTCAGCAGCGGTTATGATTTTGAACTACGTTGGTGGGCAAAAGAAGTATCTTTGCTGCTGCTAAATGGCGGGCTGTAACGGTTGTTGCTGCTTCAAAATGGCGGGCTATGATCGTTCGTGCAGCCTTCTAATAAGCTCAAAGGTGTTTTGGGAACGCATGGTTTTTAATATTCTAGCCAGAGGTAGTTTCGTTGGTTTTCACTTCTGAAGATACCTTCCACTGTCCCTTTACCCAAACCCCCTTTCTCTCCCTCTATCTCTCCCCCCACCCCATCCCGGCCTCTCCCTGGACTACCTGTCACTGTGTGCCCACCCACCCCACCTGCATGGTGTCACAGTCTCGAGACTGTCTCGCTCCTGCAAGGAACCACGGTATGCCACACAGCCTCTTGCTCTTTTAGTGCGTCATGCTGTACGCTGTGCTGCGCACCATAACCCAAACAGCACCAAGAGAACAATCAGCATTATCACATGCGCACAGTCCTGGCCCTTTTGGTTGTGTTTATAAACAGTTCTTCGTCCCCTTTATTTTCAATAAACCCTGAACCCTCTCAGGCTCTGCCGGAGTACCACCGAATGCTCCGCACAGTGGCTAAACAGTATTGCCACATGCGCACAGTGCTGCGGCAGCTGGGAGTCATTGCAGCCCCCCTCAAGACCGCGTCTAGAGAGTGGTTCTGCTATGCTGAGTTCCGATGGGCTGTCTCTGTGAGTATATTCTTGGCTTGTCGGCTGTTTTTCGGCATGATGCAAGTGTTCGAATCCGTGGCTGGCGACTCAGGAGGAGGGTTATGTCCCATGTGCCGTTTGTTTTCTATCATCAATTAGTGTCTAATCAGGTCCAGGTTCCCCTCGTTCATCTTCTTCTTTTCCGTTGTTCTTTTCCCTCCCTGGTGCCCTTTGTACAGATGGTGATGATGAGGCAGACGCAGGTGCCAGTGTCAGCAGAGGCACTAGAGGCAGCAGTGAAAAAGAACCCCAGCGCTGCTGCTGCTGGCGTTGCAGGCACCCCTATTGAAGCTGCTGCCACTGCTGCTGCTGCTGCTGCTGCTGAAGCTGCTGCTGCTGCTGCTGCTGCTGCTGGTGATGCTGCTGCTGGCGATGCTGCTGGTGGTAATGCTGCTGCTGGTAATGCTGACGCTAGTGCTGCTCCTGTTGCTGACGCGTCAGCTGCAGCAGCTGCTGCTGCGCCTGTTCGCCAAGTTATGGCGCTCATCCCCTTTATAGACATGTTCAACCATGAGGTACGTGTAGAGTAGGAAGATATCCTTGTAGGTGGCTGGTTTGCCAAATGATAGCTCTCATCTCATCCCCTTCGTATACATGTTTAACCGTTCGGCACGTGTCTGTCTGCTTGTACAGGAGGGTCCTATAACGAGTACGTTTGGCGGTGGGAGCAACGTGATGGAGGTCACTGCCAAGCGCAACTTCAAGGCGGGCGAGCAGGTGAGTTTGACTGTAAAGGAGATCAGATGCGGTTGTAGGTATGTGCTGGCGAACAGGTGGGTGTGATTATTTTGGACTGTGGGGCTACTATCAGGTGTATGTGAATGTACAATCACCACCCTCTTGTCTCCTACTCATCAGTCCATCCCTCGCCCACTCACCAGGTGTACTTGTCGTACGGTTACCGCCCCAACACTGTTTCTACCACCCCACCGTTGCCATCCCTCCCAACCTATTCCATATATCAGGTGTACCTTTCGTACGGTTACCGCCCCAACACCATCATGCTGCTCTACTCGGGCTTCATCCCCTCCTCCAATGACAGAGACCGATTCCGGTGAGGCTTCCATCCCCTGCTGGCCCCCACTCCACTCCCCTGCCGCTCACTCCCTCCCGGCCCCCACTCCCTGCTGCCCGCCACTCCCTGCTGCTCCCCACTTCCCTGCAGCCCCACCTTACCGCACCCCACTCCCTGCCGTCCCTCACTCCCTGCTGCCCCCGCCTCCCTGCTGTCCTTACGCTGAGGCGTCCCCCATTCACTGTCCATGACTACCTTCCCTTACTTGCCTGCCTTCCCTTACCTGCCTGCCTTTCCTTACCTGCCTGCCTTTCCTTACCTGCCTGCCTTTCCTCACCTGCTGGCCACTCCTCCTGTGTCTGCACCTCCCTGTCTTTCTCTGCCCCTGCTGCTTCCGCCCCTCCCTGTGTGTCTCTGCCCCTCGTCTGCCTGCAAACAGCATACCACTGGAGCTGTCACCCTCCGACCCACTCTACAATAAGAAGGTACGGCAGGAGGCAGGATGACAGTAAATACGAAAGAGCTTAGAGAAAGGTGGGTGTAACATCTTACAGGAATACGCTTGATCTTAGAAGAGGCACTTTCTGGAAGGCCAACTTCAAAAGAGCTCCTTTAAATCACCTCTGAACCTTTGAAACAGCACCTTGAAACAGCACCTTTAAAATAGCACTGTTGAAGCAGAACCTTTTGAATGGCAATTTTAAAGCAGCATGTTTGTTACCGACCTGTCTGTGTTGCTCATCCCACTCCCTCATTTCATCCCTCCCTCCCCCCATCACCCACTCTTCCAACCCAGCTGGCACTCCTCAAGTGGCTGGAGCTACCGCCCTCCACCCATCTGGACCTCTTTTGGACTGGCAAGCCATCCCCTGAGCTGGCCACGTGGCTTAGAGTGGCGACCACCACTGATGAGGCACAGATTACAGAGGACCTCCGAGCGGCCATTGCTGCACGCGCCAAGGAGACAGCTGAACTACTGGAGGCACATGGGAAGGATAAAGGTGAGCGCATGTGAAGGGGGGTGAGGATACGGGGCAGAGCATGAAGGGAGTCAGAATCAAGATACGAGTGATGAGGCGCAGATTACAGAGGATTTCCGAGGGCCCATTGCTGCGCGTGCCAAGGAGACAGCTGAACTGCTGGAGGCACATGGGAAGGATAAAGGTGAGAGCATGGGATGGGTGAGGGTGAACATGTGAAGATTGGCAAGAATGGGATAAACATGGGAGCATGAATGGGGGGGCAAAGGGCACGAGGGGAAGATGGATCACAAGGGACCATGAGAGGGGTTATTGCTGCTGTGTGAGTTTCCATGCCAGAGAAGATGACTGTCTTGTTGCTGGACACGCACCCCAACTATATTTCAGATATGGTTCTCAAACTTAAAATAACAAAACAAACAAACAATTTTTATTTCCCCTCTATTCTCTCTCCTCTTGTCTCTTCCTCCAGCAACGGCAAATGGGCATGCGGAGCCCACCAGCAAACCAGCAAGCAGTGCAGATGTAACACTGACCAAGGCCCAAGCCGCCCTGCTCAGCAGTATCTGCCAACGCAAGCTACAGGAGCTTCAAGCAGGGGCTGCAGCAGCGTCACCCGCGCCTGCTGGTTTAGGCTTGGGAGGAGGCTTGGATGCACGTTCGGCAACAGCCAAGGCGTGTGAGAAGGAACTTCAGCTGGCTCGGCAGCTGAGGGAGGCGGAGGAAGGGGCTTTGAGGAAGGCTGTGGAGTTGTGTGGTCTAGTTAGCGCTTAACCTTGCGTAAAAAGAGTTAAACCGAAGCCATGGAACAGGCCTTGTGGAGAATAACGTTTAAGGAACGTACATGTTTTGGCTGGGTATATGCATTATGCACCATTCTGAAGTGAAGAGCATGCCATTTCAAGTTTCTGCATTCATCAATGGGGACGTCTTCTGATGAGCAACATGTAATAGCAGCCTAGTGAACATAGCAGACATGGTTACACTCACTGATGTATTCCTGCCCACCACCGTACTGTCTTGCTGAAGCATCAAAGGGGCTGGGTGGGGTAATTGTGGCTCTCAGCGCGTTTGCTCTCCTATAAAAAAAAAAGAAATTCATAGCAGGGTTCACAATGCGTTATGCTACCAAAAACGGTCTATTGTTATGGGGTTCCTCACCCTACCATTGAGATTGAAGAGCAAAAGGTGGTGAAATACGTTGCTGTGCGTGACAGAGCGGCTATTTTTCTGTTCTCTGCGTTTCAGTAGGGTTTCAGTAGAAGCAAATTTGAACTCAAGAAACGCCCTAATCGCCTCGATCGAACCGCCTAGGTCCTGTCAGTGCCACGCTCCTGGGCGGCTGCCGCCGCAAGCCACAATTCCTCCCTCAGTCACCAAAAGCTTCCCTCCCTCCCCTCTTCCCTGCTGAGAGAAACCGAACGGAGCAAACTCCAGCAGTTGCCCTGTCAGCCTCCCACCTAACCCAGTCCTTACCAGTCCACCAAACCAAACCATCTCACACCTTCGAGCTATTTTTGTTGGCTAGCCCACATTTTGTAGTCGATAGTACGAAGGTGGGTAGCAAGAGAGTTTCGTTTGTATTTTACGCTGGAATGTACAGGCTAGAGAGAAATAAGCGGCTCAGTAATCCTCCATTCCAGTCAGGAAACTCCAGTTTCGACATTAACTTGTCAACCGACTTGCAATGGCGAAAGCAAGGGTCGCCTCTCGGCTCCTCACCTTCACCACAATAGGTCTACTCGTTGCTGTCAGCTGTGCACAAACCTACCCATTGTGTCCGTTCACTGGCCTCCCTCCGTCGAAGCCGAATGTAACGGTCTCGCGATGCCTCGACGCTTCCGAAATGACGTGCTGTAACGACTGCTCCGATAGGCGATACGCGCTTTTGGAAGTCAGCGCGAACGTTACAACGCTCATTTCTACAGTAGATCCTCGCCTTTTGAAACTCCTAACAGGAGACGTCCAGGTAAGCTGAATTCTTACCCTTGGAATATGTACGCAACTTTATAAATTTTTACGAGGGTGTGTTGCTTCAAGCACTTATGCCGTTCCTTTTTTTTTTTTTGTTTTTCCCGCAATATGTTGCTTATTTTTCATGCAGATATGCTCGTCGTTCGTGAACCACAGGGAGTGTCTAGACATTCTCGAGCAAATGATCTGCGCTACGGGCTGCAATCCAGGTGAGCCAGAGAGATTAGCTCTTCAGCCGACTCGGTTACCACATTTTTTTTATCAGACTCAGGGAGTGTATCGACTCATTCTCGAGCAAATGATTTGCGCCACGGGGTGCAATCCAGGTGAGCTGTAGACCTCTAGAAAACTCTCCAATGCTGTCGTTCAGGGACTCTCTGGTCTGGACCCTCTAGAGCAGATAGTAATCTGCGCTACGGGTTGCAACCCAGGTGAGCTTTAGACTCCAGAAACCCTCAAAGTGGCTCCAACCAATGTCGTTGTTTGTCAGCTTCAGGGAGAGCCTGGACGGTCTAGAGCAGATGATCTGCGCTACGGGTGATCTGGAGAGGCTAGCTCGCGAGTTGGAAAGTATGTATTATATAAGAGAAAGCAGTGATTCGAAGATCATCTGAGCCACTTCAACATCTCCTGTTCCTCAGTTCTCTACGTCTGGTGGCTTGATTAAAACTGCCTTGCAGATTCGGGGAGGTATTTGGAGCTACCACCAGGGGAGACGGGCTTGATGCGTGTTTGCGAGCATTACGCGCAAAGTGCGTGTTCATACGAGTTTCCTGCGTCTGATTTTTTGAAACTGCCTTGCAGATTCTGGGAGGTATTTGGGGTTGCCACCAGGGGAGTTGGGCTTGATGCGTGTTTGCCAGCCTTATGCTCTGGAGCTGTACGACAAATGCAAGGATGTGGCGCGTAAGTCATGTAACCTGGTAACCACTCGGCAGGATGCTGCGTAAGCTGTGTTAACAAGCGAGGAGCTGTACGTAACATGGCAACAGTTGTTTGCGAGCCTTGCAAACAGGAGCTGTATGACAATTGCAAGGATGTGGCGCGCAAGTGATGTAACCTGGTAACCACGTATCCACGTCGCCGTCTCGATGTGTCCCCTTGCACATTCTTCTTCCCACACTTCCCCACTCCTGCAGTACCCGGGTTCCAGGGCTCCATTTCGCTATATTTCAACTCGGCAGAGCAGCTCATCGCAATCATGTTTGGGAGGGCCAGGAGGTTCGGAAAGGCTGGTGGGTTGAGGCGCCTCAAAACTCCTCCCTCCTGCTGTTTCCCACCCTCACAGTGCCCGGGTTTGAGGGCTCCATTGGGCACTATTTCAATTTGGCTGAGAAGCTCATCACAATCATGTTTGGGAGGGTGGGCCACGCTTGTGTGTTGAGGCGACTCAAACAAATCTCCTCCCGCTGCTCCCCACTCCCGCTTCTCCCCACCCCACAGTGCCCGGGTTTGAGGGCTCCATTGGGCACTATTTCAACTCGGCTGAGATGCTCATCACAATCATGTATGGGAGGGTGGGCCACGCTTGTGTGTTGAGGCGACTCAAACAAATCTCCTCCCGCTGCTCCCCACTCCCGCTTCTCCCCACCCCACAGTGCCCGGGTTTGAGGGCTCCATTGGGCACTATTTCAACTCGGCTGAGATGCTCATCACAATCATGTTTGGGAGAGTTGGCCACGCCTTCAATGCTCTCAACTACACCGTGCAGGTCTCACCGGTAAGCTCTTTGCACCGCACCATATCGTACTGGCCACTCTGGTGAGCCTTTTATATGCTTCGGGTCACTCTGGTAAGCTTCTTAATTGACAGGAACACTTAGAAGTGCATGCAGGCTTACTGTATACCTCTATCCCCTTCCCACACCCACTCTCCCAGACGAACAAAGGCGCAGACAAGTGCTGCAATGCAACGGCTCGCTGAGATCAACGCGGGCTCCGACCCGCTCCCCTTTGTTCCTCTCGCCCTGCCCTTCGCTTTCCCAGTCCAGCAACGGCACAGACAAGTGCATCAACGGCCCCACGAGGCTCCCTGAAATCAACGCGTGCTGCTTTCCCTGACTCCTCTCCCACTCCTCTTCCCATACCCACTCTCCCAGTCCAGCAACGGCACAGACAAGTGCATCAACGGCCAGCTGAGGCTCCCTGAAATCAACGCGTGCTGACTCCTCTCCCCATCCACTCCCTGTCTGTCTGTCCAACCCCTGTCTTCCTGCTCCCCCTCACTGTCTTCCAGTCCAGCGACGGCACAGACAAGTGCTACAACGGCCCCACGAGGCTCCCTGAAATCAACGCGTGCTGCGACCCGCTCCCCTTTGTTCCTCTCTCCCCTCTCCCTCACTGTCTTCCAGTCAAGCGACGGCACCGACAAGTGCTACAACGGCCCGTCAAGACTCCCTGAAATCAACGCGTGCTGCGACCCGCTCCCCTTTGTTCCTCTCTCCCCTCTCCCTCACTGTCTTCCAGTCAAGCGACGGCACCGACAAGTGCTACAACGGCCCGTCAAGACTCCCTGGAATCAACGCGTGCTGCGACCCGCTCCCCTTTGTTCCTCTCTCCCCTCTCCCTCACTGTCTTCCAGTCAAGCGACGGCACCGACAAGTGCTACAACGGCCCGTCAAGACTCCCTGAAATCAACGCGTGCTGCGACCCGCTCCCCTTTGTTCCTCTCTCCCCTCTCCCTCACTGTCTTCCAGTCAAGCGACGGCACCGACAAGTGCTACAACGGCCCGTCAAGACTCCCTGAAATCAACGCGTGCTGCGACCCGCTCCCCGTCACCCCCGAGTGCCCCCTCGCAAAACTCAACGTCTCTAGACAACCGCAGACCCTGCCTTTCATCGGCCGGACCATTGCCGATCCCTCCTGTCCCACCGCGCAAAGCAGCGCCAGTGCTGCTGCTGCTGCTTCTTCTGTGGTCCCGCCGCCTCCTTCCCCGCCCAAGTCAGCTGCCAGAAACGTCCGCACCAGTCTAGTTTCTGGGATGGGGGGGTTCAGCCTGTTTGCGCTGGCAGCTGCTGCTCCTATAATGCTTTTGATGTAGTAAGCCTGAAATTCGGGTGGTTCATCAGGTGAACAAGCACAGATCCCTACTGTCCCACCGCACAAAGCAGCGCCAGTGCTGCTGCTGATTCCTCCTCTATAGGCTCTCCGCCTCCTTCCCCACCCAAGTCAGCCGAACGAGGCACCAGTCTAGTGTCTGAAATGGTGGGGTTTCGCCTGTTTGCGCTGGCAGCTGCTGCTTCTTTCCTACTTGTCATGTAATCCTAATCCAGACGGTTCATTATCGGTCGGACCATCGCCGATCCCTCCTGTCCCACCGCTCAAAGCAGCGCCAGTGCTGCTGATTCCTCCTCTATGGGCTCGCGGCCTTCTCCCCTGCCAAAGCCAGCTGAACGTGCCAGTCTAGCTTCTGGGATGGTGGCTTCAGCCTGTCTGTTTGCGCTGTTATCGGCTGCTCCTTTCCTTCTCGTGTAGTAAGTTCATAAATCAGTAGAGTCTGCTCATCGTCGGCCGAACCATCCCACACACCCCACCCACCTGTCCAGTCGCACAAAACAAACCAGCAGTGCTGCTGCTCATTCTTTCCCCATGGGCTCGCCTTGCCACCACCTCCCCTGCCTGAGCCAGCTGGATGTACGGTATCAGAATAGCTTCTCGGGTGGGTTTCAGTTCAGCCCCCTTGTGCTGTCGTCAGCTGCTTCTTTCATGCTTTTCGTGATATAAGTTCATAATTAACATGGTTCATGAGAACGATCGTGGATTTCACCTGTCCGGCCGCACAAAGCAGAGCCGAATGTGCCTTACATGATTGGTTCCAGACGAGGCTACTTGCGCTAGCAGCTGCTGCATCTCACATCGTTTTGTTATAATACCGCAAGTTGACTATCGGGGCGGCTCAAGAGTCATTCCCGGTTCCGATGAGAGTGTATGGTGCTGCCGCTTATGAGTTTATCGGAGTACTAGTTGGGGGCCATGGCATGGCATGGCATCAAAATTGGCAGCAGCTTACAGTATGTTGAAACACCTGTATAGAGTCAAGCAAGCTGAGCTTACAGTGCTTCTAATGATGAGCAACAATGGTGTTGCTGGTTGAATCAACCTGTCCTAAAATTCATAACTGACAGTTACCCATTACCATGAACTCCCATGAACCAACCAAAGCCGTGTCTCAACAGAACCAAACCCATCTAGGTAAGCCTCACAACCCTCCCCACGCCAACCACACCCCCAACCAGCTCAGGACAAGCCCCAACCAACACCCCAGCAACGCTCCACCCCTCCCAATCCCACCACCACCAGCGCTCTTCTTCCCGGCAGCCCCGGCATCAGGCGCCGATCCGAGCATGGCAAGAGAGGGATTCTCAGTGCATCCCTTGCGGTCGATGTGGCGCCCCACAAACGGGCGGAACTCGGGGTTCTCCTTGAAGCTGATGGTCCCTCGCGGGCACGTCCGGGGGACCTTGAGCGGGTCGCAGCAGAGGGTTGTCGCTGGGAGGGCCTTGGGCCCATTGTAGCATGCATCTGGGCCCTGTATAGGAGGGACGGTGTAGAATGGGATGGGTGCAAGAGGTGCTGCGTTGTTTGGATAGTGTAACCAGGGGGACAGGTGTGGGATTAGTGTCATTTATCATGGGAGAGATCAACGACTAGCCTGATGGCAGCTTGTACCGTACTAGCCCATGTCGTCCATAGATGTCACACCTCCGCCAGCCTACTCAAACGATTTGGTCAGTCCAGCAACAGCAGAATTCAGAGGCTCACTGGCTTGATCTTGACGGTGTAGTTTAGCTTACCGATCAGCCCTATGACTGCTTTGACTATCTGAGGTCGTCTCTTCTTGTCACCTCCGCCACCAGCTTATTGAAATGTTTGGCCAAGTCGAGCAACGGCAAAGAGTTGTAAGCTCACCGGTTTGATCAAGACAGTGTAGTTGAGCTTGCCGATCAGCCCGATGACTGCTCCAAAGAGCTTGGTCATGAAGAGCTCTTTAGTGGGGAAGGAAGAGTATGTGGATCCAAGGTGTGTGGTGCGCTGCAGCAAATAAGCGCAAAAGCTCACCGGTTTGATTAAGACAGTGTAGTTAAGCTTGCCGATCAGCCCGATGACTGCTCCAAAGAGCTTGGTCATGAAGAGCTCTTTAGTGGGGAAGAAATCCGCCATGGTTCCAAAGCCAGGCACTGATGATTGCAGGATGGGGGAGAGAAGGGGGAGGAGGGAGGGGAGGGGAGGGGGAGGAGGGAGAAGAAGAGAGTAGAGAGAGAGGAGGGAAGGACTACTGATTGGGCTGCACAAATGCACTAGTAGCACCAGAACCTTGGTCAGATAGGTATATGATATCGGGGACCACTGGAGGAGTTGTAGGGGTGCAAAAGGGTTGAGAGCGGTTCATCTCACGCGGAAGGTCCTTGCAGCTCTTGTAGACAACAGAGGAGTAGTCAGAGCACACGGACAGGATGCCCTGAAGTAGTATTGGAGGATGTGTAATGGTACAAAGAGGTTGAGAGCGGTGCAAAGAGGTTGAGAGCGTTGCAAAGGCGTTGAGAGCGGTGCAACTCACGTGGAAGGTCCTTGCAGCTCTCGTAGACAACGGAGGAGTAGTCAGAGCACACGGACAGGATGCCCTTAGTGTTGCGCTCCACAATTTGCAGGTAGTTTCCCGACTCTGCACGCACGGGCAGGTGAGAAATTCGGATGTATGTAAAATTGATTGAAAATAGGACACATTGACATTCATGCCGGACGGCTTGCCTGGAAGAAAAGAAGAATGGTAGTCTGTGGGGACGTATGCAAGCAGCGCTCCCCAGTCGCAAGCGCTCCCCAGTTATACTCATCCTGACATCGCACACAGTCGCGCTAGGATCACACAATATCGCGCTTGGTTCGCACGCAGTCGCACCTGCGTCGCACACAGTCGCACCTGGGTCGCAGCCGTTGGCGCAGACGACTTGTTCGAGATGCAGCTGACACGCGGAGTTACTTGCGAATATGGAGCAGAGCTGGAGGGGGGGGGAAGGGGAAGAGAAAAAAAAAGAGGGGAAATGGGGGAGATGGAAGTTCGAAGGGGTAAGGAAAAAGATGGAATTGCAGAGGAGGGGAGGATGGGAGTGTAGAAGTGGGGAAAGCAAACGACGCGCACCAATGCCGACCCTCCAGAGCGGAAACCTTCGGAGCGCTCACCTGGATGTCTTTTTTTGAGGCGCCTCAAAAGCCTTCGGAGCGCTCACCTGGATGTCTTTTTTTGAGGCGCCTCAAAAGCCTTCGGAGCGCTCACCTGGATGTCTTTTTTTGAGGCGCCTCAAAAGCCTTCGGAGCGCTCACCTGGATGTCTTTTCCAACGAGCACGCGGCCGAGGCCGGACGAGACCTGATTCGGGTGCCGGAGCCCTTGGCGCTGCCTGCTTTTAGCTTTCTCGACCTTATTTTGACGTTCGAACAGCTCACCTGGATGTCCTTCCCGACGAGTACGCGGACGAGGCCGGACGAGATCTGGTTGAGAATGCCGGAGCCCCTGGCGCTGCCTGCTTTTAGCTTTCTCGAGCTTAATTTGACGTTCGAACAGCTCACCTGGATGTCCTTTCCGACGAGCACGCGCCCGAGGCCCGATGAAATTTGATTGAGGATGCCGGAGCCCTTTGCGCTGACGGCCTTCTTTAGGTCCCCCATCTCCCCCACGACTCACCTGGATGTCCTTCCCGACGAGCACGCGGCCGAGGCCGGACGAGATCTGATTGATAATGCCAGAGCCCTTTGCGCTAACGGCCTTCTTTAGGTCCCCCATTGAGATACTTCAACATGCCTCCCCCACGACTCACCTGGATGTCTTTCCCGACGAGTACGCGGCCGAGGCCGGACAAGATTTGATTGAGAATGCCGGAGCCTTTTGCGCTGACGGCGAGCAGCGCGAGTTTCAAGTCGTAGCAGTCCGGGCAGCACGTGTACTTGGTAGCGCCCACGCACCGCGTGAATGTTAAGTTGGACTTGGTAGGCGGCTGCTTGGTGTACGGACATAGCGGATAGTTCGGCGTGTCTTCTGCTGAGACGGATGCTATGAGAGTGAGGAGGAGGAGGAGGAGGAGGAGGGGTAATAGGAGACGTGAGGATAACGAGATTTGGGTGGTTTGCCGGGTCCGTGTGTCAGCCAGTGGTGACTTCCCCATCTTGGGTGTCTGTTAGCTAGAAGAGTTAATTCGGTGGAACTAACGAAAGGTTGAGAAAAACGTTGTCGACTATGAAGGTTTTAACTAAGGGCCACGTGGATTAGTGAATGTGACGCCACGATAGGCTCTAGTTGATGGTCCTTATATTCTGCTGAGGTTTAGCCTACCTCTGATGGCTCTAGTAGCTCTTGCGCGAAATTGGAGCTCAAACCTACTGGATATATGCAAGGAAGCTTTCGAGCAGAAAGTAATAGCTACTGAACGAGGCGTAGTTCTGAGCGAATCACTAACGTTGTTTACTGACAACTGGCAACAGTGAATGAAACAGCATACCGATTTTGACGAGAATGAGCAGGGAGAGCATGAGGGGGAGGAGGGTGGAGGGGGAATACGAATTGAATAGGGGAAGGCAGGGAGGGAGGAGTTTTTTCCGCCCAATTATTCACTTCCCGGCCCGCCTTGCATTCTGACCGAGGTGAGGTCAGGTTCTGGTGGGGCGACGGTCGCGGTGGATTTTGCTTTGGAAATCGAACCGCTCAAAGCCACAAGCGCCTCGGCTGGCGAAAATTTCCGCGACGGCTGCGGTGTTTTCTGACACCAATGGGACAAGGAAAGGAACGCATAGAAAATGTAGAACGTCAATTGCAAATTCTAAAATGATATGATTCACACAAGCTTCGTTGTACACACAGCTACTATTGAGTATGAGTCGAAGCGCGACGGTGAGCTTCTGCGGGTTGCCGTGCAGCAAAGGGTTGCACCGTTTTGCTTCTGAATAGGTCTCACGCTCTGTTTTGCAACGGAGAAGTGTAGCAGAGTCGAGCGAAATTCACCTTCGAGTTGACGAATGATTACTGCATTGTTCGAAAAAGACCGTTATGGCGGAACTTCCGCAATCTTCATCCTGACACTTGGATAAGCAAAACTCCTAGAGCCCAACCGAAGTCCTCAGGCCTGACTGACGACCACCTCGACGGTGTCGCGTCCCGTCATGTTTGGGAATGCCGCCAAATTCGTCATCACCAAGGCACCCTGCTCCCACACTCACACAAATGTGGCCCTCTGCTGTTCTTGCTCATCGCTTTCCGACCGAATCACCTTTCTATCCTCATTTTCAACCCGCTAGTGCAGCAAACGTATATCTCAAGGCCCAGGCTTATCTTGTCTGAACAATTGCACATCCTGGCCATTACGGGTGGTGAAGCCTGGTTCTCAGTCAAAGAAGCTTGACTGCTCCTAGCTAATTCATCAGTGGCCGTGTCGCAATGGCGAAAGCTAAGCTCGCTACTTGGTTCCTCGCCATAGCTCTTCTCGCAGCAGTCACCGTTGCGGAAAAGTATCCTCTATGTCCGTTCACTGGCCTCCCTCCGACAAAACCAAAAGTCAAAGCCTCTCGGTGCCTCGACGCCGCTGAAATGTCATGCTGTAAAGACTGCTCCGATAGACGATACGCGCTCGCCGAAGTCAGCGCGAACGTTACAACGCTCATCTCTACAGTAGATCCTCGCCTTACGAAGCTCCTTGCCAACAAAGACATCCAGGTAAGCCGAGAACGAAGTGAGTGTGTGCAATCGAGGTCGTGCCGTGTTGTTTTTTGAGTCTGACTCAAAACACGATCATCTCTACAGTAGATCCTCGCCTTACGAAGCTCCTTGCCAACGAAGACATCCAGGTAAGCCGAAAACAAAATATTTGTGCATCAGAGTCGTCAGGTGTTTACTACCCATGTGTGAACGCCACCACCTGCTGAAAAAGTCACCCTGAATCGTGTGCCGTTCCTGCATTCGGCTTGTTGATTGTGCGTGCAGCTGTGCGCGTCGTTCGTCAACTTCAGGGAGTGCCAGGACCTTCTCGAGCAGATGATATGCGCCACGGGCTGCAACCCAGGTGAGCCGGACCGGAGAGGCTAGCTCTTGAGCCCACTCTAAAAGTCACCACGTTAATCATCGAAGGAGTGTCAGGACCTTCTCGAGCAGATGATCTGCGCCACGGGCTGCAATCCAGGTGTGCTGCCGAAGGCATCTGAGAGTTCCCAAAAGAGGTTTCATTATCATCGTTCATGAGCTTCAGAGAACGTCAGGACCGTCTCGAGAGTGGAGTAGCTCCTTTGGTAGATTTCAACAACCTTCGCAACTTTCATTCGCCAACGCTCCATTTCTCAAAGTTCTCCATTTCTCCGAGCTTCTCCATTCCTAATTCTCGACGTTTTTGCGTCTGATATTTCAATCTGTATCTCAGATTCGGGAAAATACTTGGAGCTCCCGCGCGGGAAAGTCGGCGTTATGCGCGTTTGCGCATCTTTTGCGGACAAGGTGTACGAGAAATGCAAGGACCTGCCGCGTAAGTAATGTAACCTGGTAATCACGCCTTTCGCCCACAAGGTGTACGAGAAATGCAAGGTCCTGCCGCGTATTGATGTAATCCGTTAAACCCTGTTTGCTGCGAAAGCAATGTAATCTGGTAACCAATAATGAAGCAAGTACTTGCCTTGGTGGAACCACCTAATAAAAATTATACTCCAAATTCACCCCCATACCTTCGTGGTCGCTTCCCTCTCGCAACCTTATTTCCCCACCTCCAGCCGTTTGTCCGTCTCATATTGTTCCTTGACTTCCCACTCCCACAGTACCCAGGTTTCAATGCGCCATTTCGCAGTACTTTTGTTGCAGTACCTAAAACTCAACCTTTTTCTCTTGGTCTCATCATCCCCAAATCCCCCCTCACGCACAGTACCTGGGTTTCAAGGCGCCATCTCTCAATACTTCAACTCGGGAGAGACCCTTATGACGACGCTGTTTGGGAGGGTCGGCCAAGCCTTTGATGCTATCAATTACACAGTGGAGGTCACTCCGGTAAGCCCTTTGCACCGCTCTGCACCCTGCTGGTCACTCCGTAAGCGCTTTATACCGTCCTGCACCATGATCACGCCAGAAAGCTCTTTGTACCGGTCTACATTATGCTGGTCGCTCTGTAAGCATTTTATACCGCTCCATGGACACATAGTTGGTTCCCAAGTCTTCTTCTCCCCATTCCGACTCTCTCCTGACCCTTCACCCCACTCCCATGAACCCCGGACTCCTCTCCCCCATTCCCACTCTCCCTGAATTTTTTTCTTACTCTCTCTCCCCTGACTCCTCTCCCTGTTCCTTCTTTCTCAACTCTCTCTCTCCCTCCCAAAGAGGCACTGACAAGCGCTACAACATCCCCACACCAATGTGTGCTGTGACTTGCTCCCCGTTTTCTCTGACTCCTCTCCCTCCTTTCCCTGCTTCCTCTCTCCCAGGTTCTTGAAGGCACCGAGAAATGCTATAACGGCCCGCTGAAGCTCCCCAACACCAATGTGTGCTGTGACTCACTCCCCTTTTCCCCTCACTCCTCTCCCCACTCTTGTCTTCTCCCCTCTCCCCACTCCATCCCTCCCAGGTTCTTGAAGGCACCGACAAGTGCTACAACGGCCCGACAAAAATCCCCGACACCAACGTGTGCTGCGACTCACTCCCCGCCACAGCCGAGTGCCCCGTTTCAAAGCTCAATGTTACCATGCACCCCGAATACAAGCCGTTCATCGGCCGAACCATAGCAGACCCCTCCTGCCCGGCAGCACCGAGCGGAGCAGGTGGTTCCACTAATGGCTCTGCCAGTGGTTCTGCTAGTGGCTCTGCTACTTCCTCTGGTACAGGCTCGTCGTCGCCTCCTCCCCCCAAGGAGGCTGGACGGCTGGTGCTGGCTTCCAGGGGGGTGTTTAGTGTGTTTGCGCTGGCAGCAGCAGCTGGCCTCGCGCTTTTCTAACTTGCTTATGCACTTTTCTGTGCACGTAATGTCAGCCAAGGTTAGTGGGAGTGTAGAGAAAACGATGGAAATGCAATGCTGATTTGAGGCTGTGCAATGCTTGGTTGTTCATTGGTCATTGCATTGACCAGAATGCAACTCAGAACAAAAGTATTAACAACAGTGTTTTCTCAATTACACAACATGGCACTTACCGTGAGTTAATTTTTTGTGATGATGGGAAGGGAAGCCACCCTACACACTAAGCAATCTATAAGAGTGAAAATTCCTCAGTCTTCTGAAAAACCCAGAGAGACCACAAATTCATTACCACCCACCCAGAGACCGCCAAACCACACTCAATTGCTACGGTCCACCTATTGCAAATTCAGCTGTTAGTTCACATCTAGAATAGCCGTTGCAAGGTCAAAGCTTTTTATGTGACTGCAACCCGTGCAATCTGGGCACCTGGAGAGGTCATAAGGGCAAGATGGTTGCAGCACTAACATGCCTAAGGGAGCGTTGCATCATGGGTCTCGAAACTGGAGCGTCAGTAGCGGTCCGAACGGCGGGAGTAGCGGTCGCGAGAGCGAGACCGCGAGCGAGAGCGAGACCTGGGATGGGGGGTGGGGATGGGGATGGGGATGGGGATGGGGATGGGGATGGGGATGGGGATGGGGATGGGGATGGGGATGGGGATGGAGATGGGGATGGGGATGGGGGATGGGGATGGGGATGGGGGGAGATAGGGGATGGGGATGGGGATGGGGATGGGGATGGGGATGGGGATGGAGATAGGGGATGCGGATGGGGGATGGGGGATGGGGATGGGGATGGGGATGGGGATGGGGATGGGGACCCATCTTGCTCACATGCACCCCAGCTCGCTCACATGCACCCCAACTAGCTCACATGCACCCCAGCTCGCTCACATGCACCCCAACTAGCTCACATGCACCCCAACTAGCTCACATGCACCCCAACTAGCTCACATGCACCCCAACTAGCTCACATGCACCCCAACTAGCTCACATGCACCCCAGCTCGCTCACCTGTGTCGCCTGTCGCGGTCGTAGTCCCTTCCGCGCCTATCTCGGTCCCGGTCCCTGCCTCGCGCCCAGTCGTCATCACGGTCCCTCTCCCTCCCCCTGTCCCTGTCCCTGTCCCTGTCCCTCTCACGATCCCGGTCCCTCTCCCTGTCTCTATCCCTCTCCCTCTCCCTGTACCTATCCCTGTCCCTATCCCTGTCCCGATCCCGATCCCTATCCCTATCCCTGTCTCTGTCCCTATCCCTGTCTCTGTCCCCATCCCTGTCCCTCTCCTTGGCCTTGTCTCGGTCATCTGTCCGCTCCTTGCGCTCCTCAGAACGAGGCCTGGAGGAAGCACGGGAATGAGGAAAGGGGGGAAGAGCAAGAGGAGGGCGAGAAGCGCATGAGAAGGAACATACAGGGTATGGAGAGTACGCGGAGCAGGAAGAGAAGAGGAAGAGGAGGGAGTGGCAACGGGGAACAGCATGAGGAAGGGCATAAGATAATAGTTTATCATGAATTTGTCAGCATCAGATACATGGGTAAGAAACCCTATGTTCACTTGCAGAACTCAGAAGATAAAATAGCCTGTGTCCCATCACATGGACTCACCTCAGCTCATCCTTCTTTCTCCTCTTCTCCTGCACCCAGAACCAACAAAAAGGGCATGTTTGATAAGAAGGTAATTATTTCCGGCGATAACTTCTCACGGTCAGAAAAAGACACCACCATCAAAACAAGTGCGGGTGGTCAAAATGGAACAATGCAAGTGAAGGGAGAAATGATAAGTAAGGGGGAAATGAGTATCATGGACAGGAGCTCACCCTACGGGGCTAAACCAACCCATTGAACAGACGTCTCAAGGCAGAGCTATTGTACGATGTGCTGTGCTGTGCACCATAGAAAGAAATGCGCTACAATATATATGATGTGCACAAGCACTCACCCGAATGTCATTAATCTTGTCGCGGATAAAGAGATAGCCCAGATGCAGCTTCCCCCCAAAGTGGTCAGCCAATCGCCTGTCGCTGTTTGTGCGTGGAACGGTGTGTGTGCGTATAGATAGAGGGAGAAGGCAATCAAGAGAGAATAATGAGGAGAGAGAACCAGAACCACACGGTTAAGCATACAGTATTGAGCAGTTTTGAGCAGGCACTTATCGCTGCACTGGACGCCAGACGCACTCAGCGAGTCTACACGCATTGGCACTCATCTCATTGCACATTGAGTGGAGTAGACTTTAAACGCACTCAGATTCAGACGCACCTGTCAAAGATACTGAGGAACGCCCCACAAATGTCGCACACCCGCAGCTTCTGATCCGCCTGGCAGACACATAGAGCAAGCAGGCGAGGGAGGGAGGGAGGGAGGCGGAGATAAAGGAGCAAACAGAGACGATTCTTAAGGCCCCTTCAGAGGGGGCATATTCGAATATGGTGAGGAATGTTTTTTTAGGATTCTCAAAAGAACAGACTAAGGCGCCTTCAGAGGGGGCATATTCGAATGTGGTAAGGAATGCCCCACTGAAACGAGTGGAAGCGCAAACGGGGTGCGAGCAAAGGGAAGGATGAAATGATGCGAGAGAGGAGGACTCACGATCTGGAAGCCGAGACTTGCAATCGGGTCAGGTTTTGGAGCCATGGCGAGCTGCAAGAGAGAAACATTAACGAGAGAGACGGGCACGTGAGTATTGAGATGTCTCAGAATTTGGCTCAGGTTTTGAAGCCATGGCAAGTTGCAAGAGAGAAACATTCGAGGAAGCGAACGGGAGGAGTGAGGAATTTGTGTGAGGAACAGAGGTGGGGAGAGGATGGACGCATGAATGATTGTGCAGCAGAACGTACAGTGCACCAACCCACCCACCACCACCCAATTCAGCCACCCACCCTACCCATCACCGCACCCCACCCACCTCCTTGAGCGCATCTGCCTTTTCCATGAGCTTCTGAGCCTCGTCCACCCGCCCCTAACAACCCACCCAGCTACCCAACCCAACCACCCCACCCAATCGCATTGCATCCTGCTCCACCCTTTCACACCTTCTGCCTCCCCATCAGCTTCTGAGCCGCCCAACCCAACCACCATACCCAACCGCACTGCACCCCACCCCACCCACCTTCTTGAGAGCATCTGCCTCCTCCATGAGCTTTTGAGCCTCGTCCACCCGCCCCTCCTCTCCTGCGATAAAACGACGAGGAAGGGGAGGGGGAAGGAGGAAGCAGCGGGGGAAAAGAAGGGTGGGGATGCAAAGGGTGTGGAAGGTGGGTATTGAGGGGGATTCAGGAGATACAGGCGGTGGGAAGGAGATAGACGGAAGCGAGAAGGAAACAGGGCAGCACAGGAAGGGTGGGGATGCAAAAGGGGTGACGGGAGTGGGTTTTGAGACACAAATGAAAATCTTGTTCGTTGATAATCTCCTGCGTATTGCTGTCCGGCTGGTTCAGCACCGGTGCTGCCACCCCTGCTGGAAACTTCCCAACGTCCCCAACCTTCACTCTAACCGGGCTTGAAACACAGCCACACAATACCCACACACACACCACTCACCGGCTTCCTCCGCGCGCCTTAGCTGCTCTTTGATCATCTCCTGCGTCTTGCTGTCCGGCTGGTTCAACACCGTTGCTGCCACAGCTGGTCCTTCAAACTTCCCAACCTCTAAAACCTGCCCGAGCCAAGGAACCAAAGTGCACTCACCGGCTTGCTCCGCGCGCCCGAGCTTCTCTTTGATCATCTCCTGCGTCTTGCTGTCCGGCTGGCTCAGCACCGGTGCTGACATCAGCCCTACCCTGAAACTCACAGCTTTTTTTAGAGTCACACAGCACTCACCGGCTTGCTCCGCGCGCCTTAACTTCTCTTTGATCATCTCCTGCGTCTTGCTGTCTGGCTGGTTCAGCACAGGTGCTGCCACTGCCGGCCCTCCAGGGGCGGGCGGGCCGGAGAGGCGATCCTTGTTGAACGCATCGAGAATGGATGCGGCCTGATGGGTTAGGAAAGGAAGGAGAACCAAGGGGTTAAGCTATGTATGGGTGCTGCAACCAGCAGCCCTCTGGGTGCTGGCGGCCCGGAGAGGCGATCCTTGTTGAAGGCATCGAGAATGGATGCAGCCTGACGAATCGAGGAGAGGTTCAGGAGAATAGGAAAGGAAGGACCACCCAGGGTTTAGTTGAGTATAGGTGCTGCCACCGCGGGCCCTCCAGGAGCGGGCGGGCCGGAGAGACGATCCTTGTTGAAAGCATCGAGAATGGATGCGGCCTGAAAATTAAACAGCAGGAGGAAGGAAAGGCAGATCAAGATGAGAACTTACGGCTGCCACCACCGGCCCTCCAGGTGCTGCTGGCGGGCCGGAGAGGCGATCCTTGTTGAAGGCATCGAGGATGGATGCAGCCTGAAGGAGAATCAGCAGGAGGGAGGAAAGGCAGCGGATGGTTGAAAGGCATCTGAAGATGGAATATATGGGAAATCAGGCCTGCCACCGCTGGCCCTCCAGGTGCTGGCGGGCCGGAGAGGCGATCCTTGTTGAAGGCATCGAGGATGGATGCAGCCTGATGGGTTGGGGGAAGAAACGAGAACCAAGGGGTTGATTTAAGTACGGGTGCTTCCACCACTGACCCTCCAGGTGGTGTTGGCGGGCCCGAGAGGCGATCCTTGTTGAAGGCATCAAGAATGGATGCGGCCTGGAAGAGAATCAACAGAGAGGGGAAATGGAGAGGGGAAAAGGAGCTTAAGCTGGGAAATGTCACATCAGGGCTGCCACCGCGGGTTCGGTGCTGGCAGGCCCGAGAGACGATCCTTGTTGAACGCGTCGGGAATGGATGGGGCCTGAGAAAGAGCAGCATCACTAGGGGTATAAAAACAGAAATGAAAATAAGGAGGACTTGTTTGACTCATAAACCACTGAAATTAATCAATGTTCGTCCTCAAACTGATTATGTGGTGATGGTGTGTGTGTGTGTGTGTGTGTGTGTGTGTGTGTGTGTGTGTGTGTGTGTGTGTGTGTGTGTCTCTGTGTGTCTGTGTGTGTGTGTTCACCTGCTCGCTCCTGCTTCAGCTTCCCTAGGCCCCCCACTGCCCAAATCTTGTCGTTAATTCTGATTGCAATGCTTTAGCTACACACGCAAGCACTTGTGCTCTAAGTTCAGCACACGCTGAGGTGAAGGTGCTGTGTGTGTTCTCACCTGCTTGTCCGCTCGCTCCTGCTTGAGCTTCTCCAGTTCCTCCACTGCCCGACTCTTCTCATCCATCCTGTTTGAATTGCGTCAGGCTACACGCAAAGCCACTTGTGCTAAGTTCAGCACGCACTAAGGTGAAGGTGCTGTGTGTGTTCTCACCTGCTTGTCCGCTCGCTCCTGCTTGAGCTTCTCCAGTTCCTCTGTGGCCCGAATCTTGTCGTCCATTCTGTTCTCCAGCTCTGCAGAGAGAAAAACAGAAAGAGAAAGAATAAGGCCAAACGGCAAAAAGGGATGAGGATATGCTTTGTTGTCAATTCCAACTCGGGAAAACAAAAACAACACAGCGTCATTGACAAAAGGGAATTTGGAAAAAAATGAAAAAATGCTTACCCAGCTGATCGACCTCGGCCATTTTCTGATAAATCTTCTTTGTCAGCTCAACAGACTCTGGAGACTACAGCGTGGGAGAAAGAGGAAAAAACGAAAGAAACGAAGACGCAAGTTAATCAGCACAAGAAACAATAAGAAACGCAACTAATGAAACCACTCCCTCTCACCCTCTCTCTATCCCTCTCCTTCTCCATCTCCCTCTTTCCATCAAACCACCATCACAATACATCAGGAACTTTAAACACATTAAATGCGTTCACAACTGCCCCCATTCCTCTCAGCCGGTTCAAAATTTCCTATTCAATAAATTACACTTCTCCATCAATCCACCATCGGCTTACATCAGTGACTGCAGACACTTTAACGGCGTTCAGCGCAGCTGCACCCTCCTCGTCCTCCAGGCGCTTGAACGACCGTTGGATCTTGCGGTCGCACTCCACGATCAGCTTCTCCAGAATGCTCTCCAGCTCTCGCTCGTAGTCCACCAGGCCTTTCGCCTTCGCTTCTTCATACCTGTACGCGTTAGGAACACAAAACAGGGAATTTGTAAGAGAGTACAGCGAAGTGAGTCTTGCGATCGCACTCCACGATCAGCTTCTCCAGAATGCTCTCCAGCTCTCGCTCGTAGTCCACCAGGCCTTTCGCCTTCGCTTCTTCATACCTGTACGCGTTAGGAACACAAACAGGGAAATTGTAAGAGAGTACAGCGAAGTGAGTCTTGCGATCGCACTCCACGATCAGCTTCTCCAGAATGCTCTCCAGCTCTCGCTCGTAATCCACCAGACCTTTGGCCTTCGCTTCTTCATACCTGTACGCGTTAGACGCACAGTTCAAGAAAGCTGAAAAATCTCAAGAAAAAATAAATCAAACTATCTGCTGGATTTACTCGTGCAAAGACCCTTCTCGTTAAAAACGAGCACAAATCTTGCTCGGCTTAACTAGAAGTGGTTCAAGATACAAATCTTGTTAAGACAAAAGAATTCATAATCTTTGGAAAAACAGGATTGCTTACTCTTTTCGCAGGCGGAGTGAATGCTCTTTGGAGCAGGGTCCAAGATCCATTTTCTAGAAGAAGAGAAGGGAAAGAAAAAAAAAAGAGAAAAAAATGAAAGAAGAAGTGAGAAAAACGAAAGCGCAGAGACGGGGAAACGGTGAGAAATGAAACCTGAAAGAACGGTCACAATCTGCTGAATATCACAACTGGAAAAATATTATTTTAACGTGAAAAGTTTGTGCGGTCAGAGCCCGAAAGGGAACGCGCGGCGCAAGTCCCGGCCGTAGTATATCTCAACTTCTTAAAAAGGCGAAAAAGCTCACGGTTAAAGTGAACAGATCGTGCGGACAGAGGCCACACAGGAACGCGCGACAGACATCCCGGTCGTAGTAATTCTTGTTCGTCTCCTGCACGTCGCCGTTCCTGTTGGCGCCCATCAGCGCGTCGAGCTGCTTCCGTATCGCGTCCATCGCGAAGCGGTTCTCGAACGCGCGCGACTCTCAAAATCAACCGACGAATCGGAAAACTGGATCTTTTGTGGACGGTATAAAAAACTGCGATGCTCGGCCGTCTCACACCCGCAGCAACGGAATAGGAAAGGTGGATATCAGGCGTAAAGAAAGGGAAAAAACTCTCTTCGTCTAGACGCGGTCCACACTCAGCGGCTCTGGCCAGGCATCCATTCGCTGAAAGCTAGGTCAGAATTGGAAGAACTTCCAGAAGATTGCTGGAGCACTATTTGTGCTCCTTGGGAATTCCAGATCCCTGCTGGAACCCTCGATATAAGCGCAAGCTGCGTGTGCCGTCTCACGAAATTGACACATTTGTAATGGTACACTTTCGTGACGTAAGGTTCCCTTATATGGTTTGTCATGACGAAAGTGATAAAAAAATCATGAACCATAATATTTTAGATTATCAAGATTATTGTACACTTTTGATGAGAGAATAACTCATTAATCAGCTTTCCCGGCCTTCTCTGTGGACGGGGCTGCTGCGCTTGATGGCTTGTCTCCATCCTTCTTAGTCACCTCACCGTCATGATCACCATCCTTATCGTCACCATCCCCGGATTCATCATAAGCCAATAGCTGCTCACAGCAGAAAGCAGCAGATAGTTAACATCACCATGTCAAACCATAATGACTTCATAATGCAAAAATAAGGACGACAGACAGTGTCAAAGCATACCTCCTTGAGTTCTCCTCGAATTGCGCCGTGTACACCTAGGAAACCCATGACCCCAGGAACAATGTAAAGCAGGGCAGGCTGCACACACATATAAAGGGCATCCATGAAGCACATAAGAAACACATCAGAGAATGCAGAAACAAAACTTCCAGCCTTTCTATGATAAAAGAGTTCCTTAACTTCTGCATGCTTATGGACATACCTGGGCAGCTTGAAAGTAGTTCATAACGAAGATTGTAGTAATGATCCCAGCCATGTAACCAGCAAAGGTGGAGACAAAGTAACGCGGCCCAGTGCCTCTCGAGACGTCGAACCTTAGAGCCAGGGCCACAAAGATACCTGCAGTGGGAAGTGTGGGTGCAGAGAGGGGTAACGGGTGCACAGGTAGGTGGTAAGCAATGAGTGAAACACAGAGAGATGAAATATTATCCCGAGAATCCTCAAGGAAGAATGCAGTGGGAAGTAGTGGACAACAGTAAGCAGCAAGTCCTCACCAGAACCAACAATTTTAACAATCAAATGACACGTTCCATAGTGATCCTATACAAGGGGACTTCAAAAGCGCCAGGTGACAGCAGAAACGGCAGGGAACAGAAGGAGCAGTGGCAGCTAGCATACCAGGGATGACAATGCCGCCTAGTCCCAGCAGGGAGAAAGGTCTTTAAAAAACTTTTACGAATTCTCATACATTGCTGACAAGAGTAGCAGGTTAGAGGAGGAGTAGCAGGAGGAGCATACCAGGTATGACAATGTCACCCAGTCCCAGCAGGGAGAAAGGTCTTGCGAGGTCACCAGTTGGAAACAGCAGCTGCAGCGGTTTGGAGAAAAGGTGAAGGAGTTGAGACATCAGGAGTGTAAGAATGTGTTAAAGGAGAGTGTGAAGGGCTCTTTATGAGGGAGATGCACACCTTATCGCATGCGAGGGTTGCATGCGATGGTTGCATGCGAGGGGTGCATTCGAGGGTTGCATGGGAGGGTTGCTCGTCACGATGATTACCTTGCAGCTCATGTGCTTGTTACTCGTGCATACCTTGATGGGCGCGTCAAATGACTTGGCCACAGAAACCATAACCGGCGTGAAGAAGACCCAGAAGATGTCATAAAAGAATAGACCAGTCTGGGGGGGGTGGGTGCAAGGTTGAGAAGGGCGAGGGGAACGGGATGGGCTGGAGAAGGTGAACTTTGGGGAGAGAGAAGGGAACAGGATGGAAACCATAACAGGGACCATAACCGGCATGAAGAAGACCCAGAAGATGTCCTAGAAGAATAGACCAGTCTGGTTGGGTGGGTTAACGAAGGCCCGGGTGGAAGAACGTAGGGTGGGGGAAAACGGAATGGGAAAGAGGACAGGGGAAATTGGAGAGAAGGGAAGAGGATGCAAACTGGTAATACGAGGGTAATCATTAGGGAGTAATCATTAGGGAGTACTTATTAGGGAGTAATCATTTCCAGGCCAATGGTGAACCTGGAAACCTGTGGGTTATTAATCACTAAACCACCCACCAACTAGGCTTGACAATTAAGCCCACAGCCAAACCTCACCAGCAGGATTGCGCCGATCTTAAAGGAGCTGAGGGAGAGCATCCCTGCAGTGCAGACCCTGGGAACCACCGAACCACCCACTGAACTAGGATTAACAAAATGCCCCCACAGCCCGGCCTCACCAGCAGGATTGCGCCGATCTTGAAGGAGCCGAGAGAGAGCATCTCAATTCCTTGCAGCGAGAAGGCGAGGCCGAGGGCGTTGTTGGCGAACCAGTGCTTGCGCGTGACATACCACACACAGAACGCTGTGCTGGGAATGCCCGCCACCACCTGCGCCAATGTCAGCTCTATCTCAAAATCTAGAGGTGGAGAGAGGTACGGAGAGGGAGGGGAGGATGGGGAAAAGCGTAAGAAATGCTCACCACCCACCCACCTGCACCATCGCCATGTCTATTTAAAAAGGTGGTCGTTTTTTTTTTTTTTTTATTTTTCTTTTCTTTTTCTTCTTGACGACTTGAGCCATAGTCAGATCGATTTCGAACGGGATGAGTGCATGTGAAGAGAGAGCGAGAGATGAGTGAGGGGATGAGTAGTGGAAAGAGCAGCAGGGAGTAGGATGGGGGAAGGATGAGAGGGAGGGGGAAACAGAGCAGATGATACAAGGACAGAAATTTAAGCTGCAAACACGTGAGTGTGGTGTTACATGTTTGACTGCTTGGAACTGTACAGTGTATGCTTGCGAACAAAAAGAGAATTCGTCATTAAATACCTTTAAAATAGGGAGCTTTCCAGTAGAAAATGTCCTCATTCCACTTTGCAGGCACGAATCGTGAGACAAGAGGGAGAATTGTCGCCCTGTTGAAGCAGAATGCAAGATGCGTAAGGCGGGAGCAGGTTGGGATTGCGAGAAGAGTGTAAGGCAGGTGGGGAGCAGATTGAGAGGAGTGTGCAAGAAGCCTGGCTTGTCCGATGGCCATGACTCTAAGGAAGATGAAATAGGTGCTGAGCCTTCTTGTCTGCTGAGCTCTCCCGCTTTCCCCTGTCCCCCTCTTCCTCTCTCCCCCCCAATCCTCCCCTCACTCTCCTTCGCCACACGCCAGTCAACAATCGCTTACCCGATGGCCATGACTCCGAGGAAGACGAAGTAAGCGCTGAGCACCATGTTGACCAGGTCCTTGGGGAGGAACTTGAAGAGCAGGAAGAGGGAGAAGAGCACACAGCTGCCGATGATGGGGAAGCGCATGGCGTGCTCCTTTGACATCGTCTCCTGCACGCATGGGAGGCGGAAGGGGGAAAAGGAGCAGCAGGGGGGGAGGAGGTTGGGAGGGGGGTGAGGGAAATGGGAAAGGGTGATAACGGCCAATGACGGGAAGCGCATGGCGTGCTCCTTTGACATCGTCTCCTGCACAGATCTAAGTGGAAAGGTGGAATATTTAAAGTGAATTCAAAGTGATTTCGTGTCTGTGATAGAGAATGAGGAAGAGAACGAAGGGGGGATAGGGATAGCGGACGGTGGTGAGGACATGCGATAAGAGGTAATTCCTGTTTTTGTCAGCTTAGAAGATAATAAACGACTAGAAATCAAGGCTGGCGGTGCTAGTCGTAACGAGAGTATAAGCTATAATACGATTTTAGAGCCACAAGTACCGAATGCTCTACTCACAGCTGGGGCTGCCGGCTTGACGGATCGGTAACAGCCAGCGAACACGGTTAACGAAGCCATGGCGACGACATTGAAGTTGGGGTTTATTTTCACGAAAAGAGGAGCCACCGATAGCCCTGTCGCAGTCAGCCAGAATAAGCAGCAAAAACGGAAATATCAAAGGGATGGTGAGCTGTTGTTCAGCTGGAAACCTAGGCACATAAATTTCAGGTTAAGCGACTGAATTTCCGTAATCATACGAAGATGAACTCGAATGAAAGTACGGACCCAGAATGCGTTTGACTACTAAATGTACGAAAGATGAACTTGACTAAATAGTTATAAATTCTTCAGATCTCGATCTGGTAATTGTGAAAGCACTTGAAAACGCACGAAAGGCGGAAGGCACCAAAAAGGTCCTACCAGCTAGCAAGACGTTCGAAATTATCTCCGCCTTCCCCATGATGTCGAGCCCTGGGCTCGAATAAGTAGAGGACCAACTAATCTCGACCGAAGAAGGATCACTGAAGTCAATCCCACCTGCAATTCAAGGTCTGGTGTTGATCTGGCTGCAGAGCCGAACTATATGGGCTGGAGAAGCCGAAGTTACTCCGTCCGTGGCTATCGAGATCAAGCCACCTACAAAAAATATATGGCGACTTGCTTCTTTGCGGTACAGAACGTTTGACTACGTTTTGCTCATTTTTCTGTACGGTGTAAGAATATTCGGTATGGTATTCCTGAATTCGAGAGCGCCCTGAACCGAACGGATCTGCGAACGCGTTCGCGAAAGTGCATCAGCAATGAATCAGGGAGAGACAGCGAGAAAGCAGTTGAACGTAGGTGTTCGTTTTCGATAAGCTCTTGGTCGGGCCTCGAGCCTGACCGAATTGACAAATGCGATAAAATTCGGTGACACCTGAGGTAAACTGGTACACTACAATCACATATACCTTCATATTTGTATACATACCCAATCATACACTAGCATGCCATGACTAGCAATCTTGCTATATTCCCCTTTCAGGTGTCAACATCCATCTCTCCAATAACTAGCTGGGGTCTCGCATCCCCTCCAGCCGCGTGTTGTAAGGAACTCGGATCCGCTGTCCCCTCCCTTCCAATGTTGGTACCAGCTCCACCCGACCTTTCACTTGGATTGCTAGCATTTGACTCTAGTTGCCGGGGTTGTTGTCCTTGTGGAAGAGATGGTTGTGTTCGTCCCTGAATTCGCATTCATATAACAAGAGAGCACTTCACTTGAAAAGCTCGGAAATAGGGGGAGGAGCTGAAAGAAAACATAAACTCATGGACATACCTCGATCACCTGTCTGCTGAGCATGAAGTATTGATTTGGATGTGTGATCCCTGTGGGGCATGGAGCTCCTTGTGATGCCTCAAATGTTAAAGCACATGAGATCTGCCACAGGTGATCACGCATCCAAGGGAAAATCAGGAGTACAATGGACATCTTAAGCCACAAGTCTGTGCTGCAAACCCTGTGAACATGAGAGTTTGGCTGGAATAGTACTAACGTATCCATTTATCTCGGTTACCATGCACTAACTCAGTGAGTTTACTGCAAAAAAGTGGTAGCCTACCTGGTAGTGCTGCTGCCGTGTCTTCTGCATAATCTCATCCATTGCTGCTCCTGACGACACCCCCATGCGAGAAAGGGCAGCCCTCAAGTTGTCCTCGCTGCGCAAGGTACAGGCATACCAGACGGGTAAGAACATAATAATAAGACCTTTGGGAACTCCTTCCGGTAGACTAAGAAAGGGCAGCTCCAAAGCTGCCCTCGCTGCAAAAGCACAAGCTGAAACAATGACTAAGGAATCCCCATCCAGGTTACCAGACTTGACGTCATCCAGCTCACACACACCTGAAGTGCTTGAAGGGACACCCATGGTGATCCCCCACCCCAGGTGTGCTCATGATGACCTCGACGCAGGAGAAGGGAGCGTAGTCTGTGCGCTTGCTCTGCTAAGATCTTTAAGCAAACTGCTGTGCTGGTAAGGGAACAAACACCTGAAGTGTTTGAAGGGACACCCATGGTGATCCCCCACGCCCGGAGTGCTCATGATGACCTTCACACAGGAGAAGGGAGTGTAGTCTGTGCGCTTGCCCTCCTCACACTAAGTGAAGTTCTTTCCTTGTAAGGGAACACACACCTGAAGTGCTTGAAGGGACACCCATGGTGATCCCCCACCCCTGGAGTGCTCATGATGACCTTCACACAGGAGAAGGGAGTGTAGTCTGTGCGCTTGCCCTCCTTGCCGTAATTGTGCCGGATGGAATACGCATACTCCTTGTCAAACCGCTCTGCACCCATCTTTCTGGAAAACTCAGAGCGCCAGAATGTGAGTGCATCCTCCAATCTCAGCCCGATGCCCTGAAAGGAAGAAAGATGAGGGGAGGAGATAGGGGAAGGGACTGTAAGGAGAAACGGAGACAGCAGGAGAGCGGAAATGATTGGATGGAATGGTGAAGACACAGACGTAGGAACGTCAGAAGGTGAGTGCATCCTCCTGGCAATTGCAGCTCAGCTGCATACTTACCCCAACTTTCTACTAGACTCACAAATCCATCCCGAACCGTACCTTGAGAAACAGTCCCAGCTGCATTCTGCCTCCGTGCCGCAGATGATGCTCCTCCCTCAACTGGAGGTGGTTATGCGAAGCATGCGGCGTGGGGTACAAGGCATGAGTGGTGGATCACAGAGGTGATAAGGCTGAATTGAGTAGAATAGATGGCGCACGCTTAGGGGAGACGTGTTGCAAACGAGTGTGCACAACCCTGTGGAGCAACATAGTGTCTTTAAACCGGCGGCAGTGCAACGAAATTCGAAGTGACCCGAAGCAGAAACTGCCAGCGGTGCAGCAAATGTGTACCTTGAAGAACAGGTGCCGCATGCAGAGAGGGAAAGACTGCCGCGCAATGATGGTGCAAGGTTGAGTCATGTTGCGGGTCATGGCATGAGTCATGGGCTGGAAGGAGGAAGGCGCGGGTCAAGCGGGTACCTTGAAGAACAGGTGCCGCATGCAGAGGGGGAAAGACTGCCGCGCAACGACGTCCAAATCACGGAGCGACACCTCAGCAGTCTCGCCAGGCTGGCAGAACAGTAGACAGGGGGTGGGAGGGAGAGGGGTGAGGGGGGGGAGTTTGGCGAGGAAGGGTGGATTTTGAGTTGGCTCAAGCCTACCTCAGCAATCTGGTCAGGCTGGCAAGGCAGTAGAGAGAGAAAAAGGGAAGGGGCCGGGGAAGGAGGGTTGAAGAGCAATTGACTCAAACTAGCATCTGCAGTCTCGCAATGCTGACAGGGCAGGGAAGGGAAGCAGCTGGGAGAGAGTGGGGGGAGGGGGGGGATGTATTACCTGGGAGAAGTCAGGGCCTAGATAGCGTGTGCTGAGCGCCTCAATCACCGGTGTCAGGCGCTCCTGCTCGTCTTCTTGTATGTGAGCAAGCCACTTCCTGAGAGGCAGGGGATAAGATGGAAAAGGTGTGTTGTTTTGGGAGTAGGGAGGGGAGGGGATGAGCAGCAGTCACGGGTGTCAGGCGCTCCTGCTCGTCTTCTTGTATGTGAGCAAGCCACTTCCTGGGGGACGGTGTGTTTGTTGGGAGGGTGGGGAGGAGGGGGGAAAGAGCAGCCGTTACCGGTGTCAGGCGCTCCTGCTCGTCTTCTTGTATGTGAGAAAGCCACTTCCTGGGGAATATATATTTATATTTATATTTTTATATATATGAAATCGAAGCGGTCGATACAGTTACCGCTTTGAGAAAGACAGCAGTCATAAGACGTGCTCTCTCGAACCCATCCCTTTCACCAGAATTCCCTATAATCTACCTGTTTGTTGCCACGAGTGCTTTGGACAGCTTGGCTCGGAACTGACCCACCACAATGGCCGCCAGCTGGCAGGCACACGCATGGAGCGACAGGCGATGAAATGAAGGGAGAGAAGAGAAGGGAAACATGGAAGAGAAGGGAATAAAGGCACAGTCATGAGGGAAACGAATTGCGGCCAAGGGAGCGAGGCGAGGAGAGAACACAGTCATGATTTTAGTATATCAAAGGTCACACAAAAGCATTCTGGTTGGTGAACACTAATAGAAAGGCTTTTCCTACCAATGGAGGGACAGGCCTTACCTGGTCTCTCGGGACAAAGGCAAAGCCCTTTTCGAGATAGACCCTGCGAGAAGCCACTAGATCGGGGACCTCCTCAAATAGAACCTGCCGTGGGGGAGAGATAGGATGGAGGATGGGGATGGGCGATTGGGGGGTGTGAAACATCCACACTGCTGCCTATGTGCGCCTGCATGCAGATAGACCCTGCGAGAAGCCACCAGATCGGGGACCTCCTCAAATGGAACCTGCCGTGGAGGGGAAGATCATGGGTGGTGGGTGAAACGAGCAAGTATGCACTAAAACGAGTTTCTGCAAAACGAGTTTCTGCAAAACGAAGTGGATGTACCTTGTAAAAGACACTGTCAACTGGAGCAGTCGTGCCATCGAGGTCGCCATGACGAAATGCGCAGGTTGACAACGGGCGGGTTGGAAAAGGGGCAGGATGGAAAAAGGGCAGGTTGGGAAGCGGCAGGTTGCAAAAAATGCAGGCTGGGCAAACGACAGACGTGTGCCAGGATATCATCGTGTAGTAATAAAGGAGGTGGGGGGAAAGGAGGTGGGGGGAAAGGAGGTGGGGGGAAACGAATCACGGTAGTGACAGAAGCATCAGAGGAAGGTACAAAGCATCAGAGGAAGGTACAAACAAGATTGGACAGACAAAACAATGGTGGGCGTGGGCGAGTATTCCGAGCTCTCTAAGGTAGATTACCATTAGGGACAGGTAGGTTGAGGGACCTGGCCACTTGAGTGAGCTTCTCTCGCACTTCCTGGGTTAGCAGAGGAGAGGAAGAAACGAGGGAGGGACGCATGGCTATCGCGTTTGAGCATGGAAATCATGTTAGAGTGGGAAACTTCAGGATGTAAATCAGCAGCTCAGCATTATTTTCAAGGATGCAAGTAAGCGCTCACATTATACTTACCATCACCTCTGATGCACCAACAGCACGATAGGGTCAGCCGTTTGCATTTAGGCGCCTTAAAATCGCCTGAACACCACACACTGTGCACTTACTGTCATCTCCGCTGCACCAATGGCACGATAGGGTAAACCGTTGCTCTCCAAAAACCACCTCTGTGCGCAGATCGAGCAGGAGGTTCAAAGAGAGGGAGGGCGGGAAGAACGGTGGGGAGGGGAAAAACCAGGGGGGAAAGGGGACGAACGGGGTAAGGACGGTAACATGGAATGGCTTCACATGCAGTGGTGTAGGGACAAAGGAAGCAAATTCAACTCTCTAAGGTGGTGTATCCGAGTCGTAGCTGGAAACTCACCTGGGTTTCAGGTGTCTCGGCTTAAAATCAGTGGCGGAATAGAGTCGATTCTTGCGCCAACAACCAGGAGAAAAAAAACATAATAATAAAAGGAGAGAGAGAGAGAGAGAGAGAGAGAGAGAGAGAGAGAGAGAGAGAGAGAGAGAGAGAGAGAGAGAGAGAGAGAGAGAGAGAGAGAGAGAGAGAGAGAGAGAGAGAGAGAGAGAGAGAGAGAGAGAGAGAGAGAGAGAGAGAGAGAGAGAGAGAGAGAGAGAGCGAGAGAAGCAATTCAATAATTTGTGCACGTCAATCAAAGACTCAACTCACCTGGTTCTCAGGCGTTTCAGCTCGGAATCGGTGGCGGAATAGAGCCGATTCTTGCGCCAACAACCACCGCCGTAGCTCCTCCCTGAACCACCGCCAAGTGATTAATGGACCACTCAATAAGGGGTACGGGATTGCGAGCCACAAGTAATGCAATCCTTTAGGCGATAATAGAGGTGGTTTCAAAAGTCTCTAGCGACTCGTGTGCGACAATAGGCGAGTTCTGAGGCGTCTCAAAGGTCTCACGTGCGACAATAGGCGAGTCGCAGGATGTAGTGCGATATGACATCCTTGCGACGAGCGTCAACCAATGAGCATCCTGCTCGCATGTACTTCCGCCATATGTCAGATACCTGCACATACCAGGATTTGGCACGAAACATGCGAGGCACCATTACCCTACACGAAAGAAGCGGCATGACGATATGCTTTTCACCCTGTTCAGGGCCATCATGCACGTTCCTGCCATGTCTGAACGTTTCCGCCACCCTTTCAAAGGTAGGACGCACATACCATGCTGTCGAGCTCGTCCACCTTGGTTCCGTGCACCTTGGTTCTGCAGGGTGATTTACAGAATTCTCAAAAACACCCTGCAAAGATTTCTGCAATTCTGTCATGACAAAAACGTTCGCACCATGCTGTCGAGCTCGTCCACCTTCGTTCCTCGCGCCTTGGCGTCGTCGATCGCCTTGAGCACTGCATACAAGGAATCGCAAGGCTCTCTTCAGATTCCGCGAGGTACTCCAATTGAAGAGGAGGAAAACCATCTCGTATGAAGAATTTCACAGAGAATAACACCAGCTAAAGCACCCGCGCTATTACGGAACCTTGCATACAGAATCCAAAACACTCTCAACTGGTTGAAGTGACAGAATGGCAGAAACGACTAGAAATGGCACGACTCCGAACATTGTATCAGCGCTACGCGATGGATATTGGATCGTCATTTTAAAGGTTCCATTCTATGCTGCACGCTTCGATTACTAAACGTTCACATAAGTCCCGCGCTTCCCGGCCATATTTTTAACCCTTTCTCTTTATATTCCTATGCTAGCTCACCCCGGAGTCGGTCCAGTGCAAACTCCTCGAATTGCTCCATGGCTACCTCCTCCCCCACCGGCGCCTCGTCGTACATCGACAGCTGGCACGCGGAAGCTCCGCCGCTTCCTGCGGTGGATTTCCATCCCGACGGACCTACGCCGCGACCGTCGGCGCCGACCTCGCCGGGACCCTGTGCTACGGAAGGGGCTGCTCGTTTTCGCGAAGTTACGTTAAAATCCATTGAGAAAACGTTTAGTGACGCCTATAAATTGTGACGTTGGATGGGAAACGAAGCGAAGTGCGAATCTAATCTAGGGCCGAGGGTTGGGAATCAAACGTCACGCGCTTCGGAATATCACAATGCGGTACACGAAGACTAAACTGTTCGTTGAATCAATAACCAGAAACTCGTAGGGCTCTCAGACGTGGTCTTAAAACACAAGTCTAAAAAGCTCGAAACTGAAATACGCATGTAGTGTCTTCACTATCGAGCGTCACTCAGCTGGGCAAGCAAGCAAGAATGAAGAGACTGATGAAAGCGAAACTGGAATCCCCGAAGCAATGGCTAGAGAATATGGAGAGGGACAGGCAGAAAAGCAGTTTGGCGGGAAAACGAACTCGAGAATTCAAAGCTGCAAATTTCGCGGCATCGGGATTCACTGTACTCTTCTAAGGATGCATCACTTACGGTAAGAATTTGTGAAGACTTATCTGATCCGAAAACACTTCCGTAAAATTACATTCTAGATCCCTCTCTCGAGCCTGCGTCGCGTTTTCCTTGCCGTGTGATGCTGGAGCATCTATGGACGGGAGATGGGCTGCGCTGCCAAAGCTCCCTCCTGTCCCTTTCCCGCCTCCCGCCAGCCTGTCGTTCCTCCTTAGCACCGACAAGCCACGCGGTAGCGCAGCGCACCAAATGTGGTGGTTGGGCCACTGGCTGGCCAACTATTCTCCGCCACCTGCCCGAATCAGCGCTTTTCTCCAGCTTTCATTCCGCGTCCACGTCCGCGTGCTGCGACACGCGCACATCAGCACAGCACACGACTTGCGCCAGACAGAATTCTGCTGCGGCCAATCAACCACCGTTCCCCCCCACCACACGGGAAGGTCCGGGGCCAACATCATAGACATGCAAATTAGTGTGGTAACCCTATCCAATGGTATGCAAAACCGTCTTACCTCTGTTTGCAAGTTATTGACATGCTGCCCTGAAAGCGCGTTCGTTTTTAATTCAAATTTGATCTTTACCGCGCTTGCCTTCGCGCTAAGACGTGATTTCTTCGGGCCAAGAAAAAAATAAAACCCGATCGGAAAGGGATGCGTCAGGGAGGCATCAACCCTAAAAACAATGTCCTTTCCCGTGTTTAGGGTTGATCCCTCCCAGAAATGCGTCCAGGTCCCTAGGGGTTTTATTGTTTTTCTGCCCTGCCCCTACATTTCCCGGTAGCAATATATTGGTCCAAATTAATGTTATCGAAATGGACCCCGTAGCCTTTCATTCCAGTGGATTTTTCGTCACATTTAGCGGAAAATAGTAGCCGGCAGGAATATTTGTTAGGCGCCGAACAAGACGCGGTAAGAACCACGACGATACGAAATCGAAAACGCAACTGATTCAATCACATATTTTCTTCCTTTTCTGTGCTGCGTCAGCTGTTACACAGTGTTTTGAGTGGCGCTACCAGACAATTTTGCGCAGCAGAACTGGGGTATCGACGGTTTTGCATACCATCGAATAGGGTTACCAGACTAATTTGCATGTCTATGATGTTGGCCCGGAAGGTCCGTCACTTCTTGGTGATGGCTGCCTTGCCGCCATTTTTCCCCGCAGCCACCAAGGCCTTCCCCCTATGTCCATTGTCCGCCCCGCCGTCACTCCCGAATGGCGCTTTTCCCCGATTACACTCCCCCTCTCCGCTTTCCGCCACCCCGCGTCTTCAGTTTCAGCGCGACTTCTCGGCTCGTCCGCCTGCCAACATCCATCTCCCCTCCCTCTCAAGGGTGCCCTGCGTCCATCTCGTTGCTGTTCGGTTTGATGCGTTCCAAAACGGCGAGCGGACAGTACCGTACCAGAACTCGGGGAACCTCATTGAACCGTATGTAAGGACGCAAATTATTATGGCACTGAACATCCATGACTTCTGCATGAGTATTCAACCCGAACAACTGTCATTCGCGTTCGTGGCACGTCATAGTCTCCAAATGAGTTCCCCCCCCGCTTTGTTTCTTTGTTCCAAGACGAATGGAGAGCAGCAACTTTTCGCAATCTACACAAGAGGTCCTGACTCGTTTTTGGGAACTGCTTAGCAACGAGTTGGCTCGTTTCTCGCGTTGCGTAGCCGCGGTGCTCATCCTAGTTCCCGAATCCTGAGCGTAGAGGTCAAATGTCGAACGAGGAAGACTCGCTAGTTTTAGTAGACTGCGGAGACGCGTACGTCCTTCTCTACGATTCTAAGTACCAGTCCGTCGAAGAGGCAATAGTCGACAGCGCCGGACGCGCCTTGGCGAGCGACGCGGCGTTACCTTTGGAGTTGGCTCATGTAATCGACGGTGCTGCGAACTCCTCGCAACTCGACTCCTTACCAGAAGATTCCGTCTACGATTCGCAGCAAACTGACGGGCCGGATCTTCCGGATAGTCATGAAGTTGACGCGCAGTCTTCGGCTCGTCCTGATAGTAACGGAGCAACGTTACCAGGTTCGCGGCCTGACTTACAAGGGTTACAACATGAATCGGAAACGCTGTCAGGGTCCGCTGGTTCTGCAGGCGCGGCGAAGCAGGTTTTGTCGTTGCACCGCCTGAAGCAAATCAGCCTGCGAGGCGGGAAGAAAGGCGCGAAATGGATCCGGCGAACCGTCGATGTGGTTACCAACGGGAAAGGCAAGACGTTTTTTCTGTCGGGACTGAAAGGCGCCGGAAGTGCGGGAGGGACCGAAAAGGCAGGAGACAGCGGCGATGTGGAGCCATCGTCGTCACAAGCTTATAGCGAGGATGATGTCATGCCAAGGCTTATGAACTTAACTCGCGCGCTTAGTAGAGTCACGGAGGCCGAGAGCTGGCAGGAGAGAGGGGAATCGTGCGACTTGCGCAATCGCCTGACGCGAATTGCGGATCTCGAGTCGGCCGCGCTGGAGATTTCTGGCAGTCTCCCCCCATCGAGTGCGCTTGTAACGGGTATATATAACTCTTTTTATGACGGAGATGATGTTTTCGACAGTACTGTAGATGGCAGTGCGGATATGGCCAGCTACAGTGATTTCGGTATCTCGTTTGATATGGTGGGGAAGGCGGGGACAAGCGGGGAGGAGCAGGTGAGTTTTACAGATAAGTTCAGGCAAGTGGGGAAGCGGAATTTAATGCATATCAACGCGATTAGAAGGGCCAAGGAGAGGAGTCGCTCTGCCTCGTTAGATGGTCAACTGCTGGACTCTATAGCGGAGCACAGCAACTCCAACCGTACGAGCGGCAGACAGAGTGAAAATAACGAAGGAGCTTCTAGCGAGGCGCGGGAGGCAGGGGAAAACGGAGCGGGTACCGGATTAGAGGAGGATTGTGATTCAGGGAATGATGAGATTTGTAATTTAGGAGACGACGGGTCTGTGGAGATGGCGAGCTACAGTGATTATGGCTTATCATTTGATATGGTTGGGAAGGCGGGGGCAAGCGGTGGGGAGCAGGTGGGTTTCACAGATAAGTTTAGGCAAGTGGGGAAGCGGAATCAGATGCATATCAATGCGTTTCGGAGGGACAAGGGCAGGGACAGGCACGGGTCTGACTCGATAGTGGGTGGGTTGGATGACTCTCTAACGGTGCAATCCGGTACCAAGGTTGGTGAAGGGGGTTGGGGATTGGACGGAAACACGAGGTGCGGAGGACTTGGTTTCGTTGAAGCGGGTGGCATGGGTGCTGCTGGGGTTACCGTTGGTGACAGCAGGGGAGGCAATGCTTGTGCTAGTAGCGAGAGTGACATTGTCGAACAAAGGCTTGATACGAATACTGCAGCAGTGGCGGGGGAAGGCACGGTTGACAATGCTGGGGAGCAGCAGGCGGGTGGGGGCCCCATTGAAGCGGGTGCTGGGGGAGGCGGTGGGGGAGGCGGTGGGGGAGGCGGTGGGGGAGGCGGTGGGGGAGGCGGTGGGGGAGGGGCAGTGGATGGTATGATCGTTGGTGATGAAGAGCTTTTTACTAGACCTCGGGAAGGGCATGGGGAGCCATCAGCGTCATCCCTCTCGTTCCGACCAGCATCTGCCTCCCTCCCCCGCACGGAAGCTTTTGCGTCCCTGGCTTGCACAGACGCGGTCCCGTCTCTCCCCTGCACGGAAGCTTCTGCTTCTCTTGCTTGCACCGACCCACTCACGTCACTCCCCCGCACGGAAGCTTCTGCAGAGTCCTCTTCTGGGAGCTTGCTGGCGTCAGCGGTTCTCCCCCCGGCCCTGCTGGCGGTCCTGGCCAATAGGGAAGAACCACCTGATGCTTCACTTGCCTCAGCGGATGCTTATGGGATGATTGGAGATTTGTCTGCAGGGGAGGCGAGGGGTGAGTGTGGCGCCATTGGTGTGCCAGGAAATGTGGCAGCAGCAGCTGCAGCAGCAGCGACGCCAGGGGGGCCTATAGCAGCTGAAGTAGCTACACCAGTAGCTACAGCCACTGCAGCTGGGGCTACCTCCGTGCCAGTGGTGGCAACGGCAGCTGAAGTAGCTACACCAGTAGCTACAGCCACGGCAGCAGCAATAGCAGCAACAATCGCTGCCAAATTGGTAACAGCAGTCAATTCCCCCCAGGTACGTCCTGGTGCTGAGTCAGCTCCAGCTCAGCATACACGCGCTTTTGAGTCACCTCCAGGTCAGCACCGCCGTCTGTCTGTCCCCTGCCGCCCGGCCTCAGCCGCCAGGTGGCGTGCCACGTGTGGCCTGCCGTCCCGTGCGGCCATCGAGAGAGACGCTGAGCTGGCTGCCAGGCTGGCAGAAATCCGAGCTGGATACTCCGGGCGGTGGGTGGGAGAGGATAAGATCGAGCGGGAGGGCTTGGGGGTTCAGACGAGCAGTGGCCGCAGTTTAGGGAGCAGCAATTGTGACAGTGTGTCGAGTGACTGTAGGAGGATGGAAGGGTTCGGGTCACAACAAGGTGCCTCAGTGCAATCACCAGAGCACAAAGCGCAGCACTCACCACCACAGCAGCACTTGTTACAGCACACGCAGCAACACTCACCAGTGCGAGGTACTCAATCTCAGGAGGACACAAGACTTATACAAAACCGAGTGCAGCCTTGTGAGGCGTATCGAAAGACCAACAGTGAGACTGGGTTACCGAGTTGGGTAAACAGTCGTCAGGAGAGTCAGGCCAGGGAAGGAGAGAGGGGAGGAGGGGTGATGGAGGAGAGGGTGGGGTTGGTGGAGCGAGGGGTAGAGGGAGAAGAGTTGGTGGAGGAGAGGGCGGGGTTGGGGGAGGAAAGCGGGGAAGGGGAACGAGAAGTGTTGGTGGAGGAAAGGGTAGAGGTAGAGGGAGAAGTGTTGGTGGAAGAAGTAGCGGTTACTCTAGAGAGGATTGAAGCAGCTTTCAGCCGATTCAGCAGCCTTGTGGACTCGTGTGAGCGGGGAGAGGGAGAAGGGGAGGGGGTGAGAGAAGGGGAAGGAGTGAGGGAACTGGGGGAAGGAGTGGGAGGAGAAGGGGACGGAGTGAGGGGAGAAGGGGAAGGAGTGGGAGGCGAAGGGGAAGGAGTGGGAGGAGAAGGGGAAGGAGTGGGAGGAGTAGGGGAAGGAGTGGGAGGAGAAGTGAAAGGAAAGGGAGAAGGAAAGTTAGAGGGAGAAGGAAAGGAGGGAGGAGAGGGTGAGGAGGAAGGAGTGAGAACAGAGGGAGGGGAGGAAGAAGAAGGGGGAAAGGGAGGAGAGGGAGGGGAGGAAGGGAAGGAAGAGGGAAAGGGTCGAGGAGGAGGGGAGGAAGGGGAGGGAGGGGAGGAGGTGGCGGTGGCAGTGGGCAGGATAGAGGAGGCATTGAACCGACTCAGCAGCCATGTTGATGAGCTGGCAGCTCTCAAGGCACAACAGGCTGCTGCTGCTGCCAGCGCTGCTGCTGCTTCTGTATCTGCTTCTGCTGCCACTGCTGCTGCTGCTGGGACTGCTGGGACTGCAGCTGCGGCCACTGATGCCACTGTGGGGAATGCGGCTGTTCCTGCTGCTAATGCTGGCAATCCAGTGAAGAGGGTGTATAGTATCCGAGTGAAGCCATCCCACATGCACGCTGCTGTGCGAGCAGCCGTGCGGGCTGTGCAGGCTGTGCCATGGGCGCAGGTGGGAGGGAGGCAAAGGCAGGGGGAGGAGAGGGAACGAGGCAATGCGGACGGGGGAAGGGAAGGACCGCACTGGCAAGGGCAAGGAATGCAGGGGGGAGCTGTGCGGGCAGTGCAGGCTGTGCCGTGGGAACAGGTGGGGCAAGGGGAAGGGAGGCGAGGGGTGCAAGGGGTGGAAGGGCGAGGCATCTCAAGTGCAGAAGCAGCAGAAGAAGAAAGTGCAGGGGAGCCTGCTTCTTGGTACGCCCCAGTACCGCTCTCAACCGTTGGGTTTCCTGCAGAATCGTCGCTTTGCTCCGATGAAGATGTGCTGGCAGCAGCAGCGATGGTGGAGGCAGCCATTGGAAGTTTTGTTGCAGATTCCAGGGTAATTTACCCTCGTGAAACAGGGACTACTCGGGCAGGAGCGCGCGAAAAAGTTCAAGGCAGGGAAGAGGGAGAGAGAGGGACAGGTGGGGGGGCAGAAGGCGGGGCAGGGGGGACGGAAAGTGGGTTGATTCGAGCACCAGCGAAAGTGGTGGCGGAGGGAGGGGTAGGGCCAGGGATGATTGTGAGGAGGAAGGCGGGTCAAGCACCTCGCATGTGGGCTGTCCCTACCATGGATTTAGAATCCGCTCTAGAGGCCGCTATGGGGGTGGCTGATCGGGTGGCTGAAAGGGAGGAGAAGGGCGGTTGTTGTGAGTCAGAGGCAGCTATGAGGGTTGCTGATAGGGTGGAGCAGGGGGGTGGTTGTGAGTCAGAAGCGTGCAGGGCAACACGGGACAGCAACTGGATGGGTCAGAGGGTAGGAGAGAGGGAGCAGGGAGCAGGGAGCAGGGAGCGGGTCCTGACTGAGAGTCTGGATTCGGCCCGTCGCAAGTGGGGTGTTCCCAGCATGGACTTGGATTCGGCTCTTGAGGCGGCTGTGGGGTTGGCTGATAGGGTGGAGCAGAGGGCGGGTGTTGAAGCGAACCAGGGGCATGCTTCATCTGGGGTTGCGTTTGGAGGAAAGGGAGAGGGAGGGGGAGTGGGAGCGGGGGAGGGAGAGGGAGAGGGAGAGGGAGAGGGAGAGGGAGAGGGAGAGGGAGAGGGAGAGGGAGAGGGAGGGAGAGGGGAGAGTGCTGGAATGGTGGGGTCGTTTGCTTTTGATGTTGGGATGGGAGCAAGGCGTGACTCAGGTGACAGTCTTTCAGCATCTCTTGAGACGTCTGAAAAGTCAGAGAGTGCTGGAAGGGTGGGGTCTTTTGCGTTTCAACAGTCAAGGCATGACTCAGGTGACAGTCTTTCGGCGTCTCTTACGCCGTCTGGGTGGATGTTTCCTTCCGCGGCTTATGACGCTCTTGAGGATGCTCTCAACGAGTACGACGCTAGGAGTGTGAGCATTGGCAGCAGAATCAGTAGCTCTAAGGGAGGAGGGGGGGGTTCAGCATTCCCTATCTCGTGCCTGGGAGGGGGGTTTGGGAGGAAGCGGAAGGGGACGAGGAAAGGGAGGGGGAAGGGAAAGGCAGAGAAGAAGGGGGAGAGGAGCAGGGAGGGGAAGGATAAGGGGAAAGGGAAGGGGCCAGGAGGGAGCAACGCAGTGCAGGATGCAGGCCCTGCCAGTGCCACTGCTGCTGCTGCTGCTGCTACTGCCGCTGATGATGCTGCTGCTGCGGAAAGAGGTGGGGGCAGTCTGGCAGGAAAGAGCTATTGGGAAGGGGAAGTGGAAGGGCATTGGGAAGAGGAGGGAGGGGGGGCACGTGGTGAACGTGAGGAAAACGAATGGAACGAAGGAGAGGAGGACGAGAAAGCGGATGGGGATGAGGAGGAGGAAGAGGAAGAGGGGGACGAGGGGGAAGAGGAGGATGAGGATTCAGATTGGGAGGAGGAGGAAGACGATGCAAGCTCAGAAAGCAACAGTATGTTCATGCTCCCAGTGCCCATTCTCGATCTGTCTGATGGCTTCTCTCTCTCCTTTCCTCTCAAAGCCTTTGCCAGCTCTCGGTTAAACACCGGCTCTCAGTTGAACACTGGCTCTCAGCTAAACACTGGCACTCAGCTAAGCAACGGTAGGGACAGCGGGATATTCTGGACGGAAGAGGACCCGTCGTTTGACGGATCCTTTCGAAGCCTTCTGGACAGCAGCAGGAGTGACTGTAACGGTGGTAACCAGTTGGTGGGCAGCCCTGGCGAAGGTGGTAACCATGTTACAGCGGCAGATGGTAACCATGCTACGGCAAGCCCTGTGCCTTCCCATCTGAAGCACAGCTCTGGAGGCCATAACCCCTTTGGACAGTGCCTTGGGTTCAGGGGAGAGGGGAAGAGGAGCGAAACTGATGCTGCTGGTGACACTGCAACTGCTGCTGCTGCTGCTGCTGCTGCTGCTGTTTATTCTGGTACTGCTGCTGCTGCTGCGGGTGCTGCATTTGCTGGCACCAGCAGCACAGCATCGCACTCCACCGCATCAACCGCCAGCAGCACCGCACCTGCCCCATCCAGCCCTTCATGTCTCAGCCCTAGATTATCAATCTCTGAGTCCGCTAAAAAGAGTGCCCCATCTAGCCCATCATGCCTCAGCCCGAGGTTTGCAGCAGTCCTCAAGTCCCTCAGCAAACCTGTCGGGGCGTCTAAGAGTAGCCCAGAGAGACAGGAGAAAGTGGATGCAGCAGCGAGGCGGCTGCTGCAGCTGCAGGAGCATCTGAGGCGGCTCAGCAGTCAGGGGCTGATTGCGGGGGAGGGGGGGGATGGTGGTGGTGTGGGTGGGGGAGTGAGAGAGGAGAGCACTCTTGAAAGCCAGGGGATCTGCCAGGGGGTGTGCATGGGTGTAAACGAGGGGGGCCTTGCGGGTGAGGGAGTCAGGGATAGTGCTGCTGAGAGCCAGGAGGTAGGGCAGGGGGAAGGCCAGGGGGTAGGGCAGGGGGTGGGGCAGGGGGAAGGCCGGGAGGTGCTGCAAGGGCTCGAGCAGGGACCAGAGCAGGGGTACCGGCGGGGAATTGTTTCTGAGACAAACGGGTTGACTTTTGAGTCGACGCAAAAGCCCCGAGATGACTCGCAAGTCACTGAAATGATCCAAAAATCTGTTCCTGAGAAGGAGAGCCAAAAGCCTGTTCCCGAGGAAACGCATGAGGGCCAAGGCTGGGACGTGGAGAGCCAGGAAGACAGTGGCGGTTTGGGGGAGAGCAGCGGTGACGGCAGCACCAGAAGTGAAGGGTCTTTCGAGTGTGGGGATGCTGTTCGTGGTGCAGCCGTTGCTGCTGGTGATGCTGCTGCTGTGCAGGCGAGCAGCGGGGAGAGTGGCAGTGGAATCCTACGAAGCATGAGTGCAGATGGGGCTGAGAGTGCAGCCACTGCGTGTGAGTCTGATAGTAGCTATGGCACAGCCAGGTGTGACAGTGTTGCCGCGTGGAGTTCTGCTAGCTCTGCTGCTGCTGCTCCTGTCTCTGCTGCTGATGTTGCTGGCACCTCAGCCGGTGTCAATGCCAACTGCGATAACGTTTCAGCCGCCCTTCCAAGGAGCGTCAGTGTCGGCAGTGCTGCTGGCAACAAACCCAGTTTCAACGGTCTCACCACCATTGACAGCATCAGCAGCATCAGCAGTGTTTCCAGCAGCACGAACAGCATCAGCAGCAACACCATCAGAAGCAGCATTAGGCCCCGAGTCCCTCCCCTCTCCTCCACACTCTTGGATTACCACCCTCCCACAGCCCGCCGACTGCCTACGTCACACTCCTACTCCTCACCCTCTGTACAGTCACGCTCGCGTACCAGCCCCTTCTCCTCACCCCCTGTACAGGCACATTCGCATGCTACTTCCCCGTGCCTGCCATCCCCCGTACAAGCACACTCGTTTGCCGAAGTTTCTTCTCTTCTGCAGCGCTCGCCAGGGCATGCTAGTGCTAGTGGCGCTGCTGGTGCAGGTGGGAAGGATGGTGGTAGAGGGGGCTCGATAGCTAGAGTGCCAAAAAGCAAGATTCTTTCTCTGCTGAAGGGAGGAAAGGTGGAGGAAGGGAGTGGACAGGGCCGTGGGGACAATGGGAAGGGGCAGGAGGAGAGGGAGAAGGGACAGGAGAGAGGGAATGAACAGGAGGAGAGACAGTCAGGGCATGAGGTGAGGCCAGAGGGACTGAGACCATGGAGAATGAAGGGTGGTAAAAACAAGTCTTAGGATAGGGCATTGTCTTACTATTAGTTTAAATTTAGCTAGCTCTTGTTCATTATTGCTAGCAACTATGTGTGCAAGAGAAAGCTCTCACTGGAAGTGTGCCTATGGTGCATAAGAAAGACCTGAAATAGGGGATTGGTTGGGACCATATGTGTACAGTCCCTCAAGATTGGGTATGCACATGACACTGTACACGTACGTAGAGGAAGCCAAAGCTGTGGCGGTAGCTACAACAACAGGGGTCTCAAAACATGCGTAATGATTACGCTTTCAAGGACGAATCAGGACCTCCGTCGAATGGCCAAGGGATGGCCTGGCCGAGTTCCACCCACCATCGCCCTCCTGCGCAGTCGATGACTCGGTGACCAGTGACCACCAATCCCGACTGCCCGCGCGCGTACCCCGCCAGCCCGTTATCGAGGCTTGCGACAAATGCCTAGCTTCTTCGCAAAAACTCCAGCTCCTTCACGAAAAGAGGTGATGCGAACGGATTTTTCTGTAACGAGTAGTCGCAGGCTGGTATTCCCTATGGCTGCGCACAGCGCTCGAGCCAACGAATTCCATTGACCAATCGAAGGCGAGGTTCATTCAACTTGCCTCCAGCGCAGTTCCCGAACTGGAGGGAATGACGGAGCGCCCTGGTTTCGGGTTTCCGATTCCTTTGGGCAGTGGTTTTGACAGCGCCTCGCTTCGCGCTCGCGTCCGATACCTTCGGTCAGTAAATTACGCTATTTTCCCATTTGGAGTCCAGAAACTACAACTTTGTTTTATTTAATGGGACAAAAAATATAAACCCCTCACGGGGGGGACGCCGTCAGGGAGGCATCAACCCTAAACACCATGAGGCAAGGTGTTTAGGGTTGATGCCTCCCTAATGGCCAGCCCTCCGAAAGGGGTTTATTTTTTTTCACTGGCCACTAGACTAATACCAGGTACACTTAATAATTTTTCTGGTCACCGGAAACTGGAAATGTCGAAATCAGCTGCCCCAAGGAATCGGACGCGAGCGGAAAAGCGAGGCGGTGTCAAAGCCACTGCCCAAAGGAATCGGAAATCCGAAACCGGGGCGGTTCGTCATTTCCTCCCCGAACTGTTTACTACAGTTCCGCAACGCGTCTCTGCCACCATTGATTGATTCAGCATGGCCGATTCACTCACCGCCATGGATTCCATTCATGCTTGTTCCTCCTTTCTTCCTCTCCTCTCCTCTCCCTTCCTCCCATCCTTCTCCATCTCCTGCCCTCTCCCTCTCTCGATCTCTCCGCCGCCTGTCCATCTCTCCTCCAGCTCATCATTTTCTTTGCAGCCACAGCATAGCATTCTTTCGCACCATCATCGCCTCTCGCACTTGTGAAACTCGAGCACGGCACTTGCGTGACTGATGTCCAGCTTCATACGCGTCTGCAGCATTGTTTGCCTTTTGACTGGGCTCCGAGCAAGAATCGACCTTTCTTGAAAAGCTCATTGCTATTAAGTTTTGACAAGCTAAATTCATCGACG